CCCGAAGACGGCAAGCCAAAATCCCTCCTTGTCTTTTTCATTTCTTGACCATTTAAGACAAAGTATCGAGCCGTGTCGCCCGCCCTGGGTGCGCGGTTTCGTATATATTATTATCGTCGGCTCCTTTCCTCTGGACCCTTCAGCAAGCCCCATCGTTACTCCGTCCTCCGTAAGCAACAACGCATGCCCGCATATGCTCTGCAGAGTTACACCACGGAGCCCGTCAAGCGTCCGGCACGCCTGAAGGGAGAGGGGGTTCCCTAACTAGCTAGCTCTTCTGATCCTCTGCTGAACAGAAAAGAAAATAGAAAGAAAGCCAAAAAACGGAAAGACTTGCCATCATCAGCCTTAAGCCTGGCGAGCGAGCGAAGGCGCAGGCGCAGGCGCAGGCGCAAGCGTGGGCGTGTGAATCAATCGCCGGCGCCCGCGGCGCCCCACCTGAGTCGTGCGGGCGTCGTCGCCCGTCATCAAAAAAACGGGCAAGCTCAGCGCGCGCGCGCGCCGACGGCACTGACCCGTGACCGTTCGGTACGCGCGTACGGTACGGTACGGACATGGTTCCGTTCGGTACGCAACCCGGCAACGTTCGATGTTCTTCTTTCGCTCGCGCCAATCATCGGAACGCCTGAGACGATTAGTTGGTTGGCTGGCTGCTTGCCGGAAGAGGTTTCCGCGCTGCGAGTCTCAGGTGCGACATGATGGATGGACTAGGTGGGTAGTATTATTGCTGTTGTTATTATTCGTGCGTCCCGTGCTAGACTCCGAACCCTAGGAACAGGCCCGGAGCTGTCTTGTGCCCGTTACCATGGTTCGAAGCTCCCCCCCCCAAGCACCCACGGACCGAGTTACGGAGCACCGACTAGCTAAACTAACTAGGTCGCGACAGAATAGACGCCAACTCAGTCTGCTTTTAACATTTTCCCCCTCTCTCCGACCCAGACAAACGAAAAAGAAAGCTCTCAGCGAACTGTGGTAGTAGTGGGAACTCCGAGCGACACAGCAAGTACCAAGTGTTTGGAGTATCCACGCCCCCAACGCCCAGCTAAGCATTTCCTCACGGCTTTTCCCTTCGTCTTGGCCTGCTGGGCAAAAACAAAAAAAAAAAAAAAAATAACAGATTCGCAGTTGTCTAGAAGACAAAAAACCCACCAATAACAACGCCCCCCGTCTATCAAGAGACCAAGCTTTGCGCTTTCTTCGTCGTCACAACGACGACGACGACTGTCCTCGTAACTCCGGGGCTATGTATCATATCTGCGTGTGAATATAAGCCCACCAGTGGTCTCGGCGCAAACGACAACCTGCATACGTCGTCGTCGTCGTCGTAGTCGTCGTCCTACCCCCTCTCTTTGTCTGCTGATGATTCCATACAAGCCTACGGGTGTGCCTTGTGGGGCCCTCTTTCTACTACCTGCAGCTATATTGCGCGCGCGCGGGGCCCAGGCTGGGCCCGTCTCTTTTTTTTTTTTTTTTTTTTTTTTTTTTTCTAGCTAAAAACGGCTGTTTTTAGCGCTGCGATCGAATTGGCCTGGGGAGGGGGGGGGGGTCTTGGGCGGGCTGGAACGTTGTTAACTATATGGTGGGGAAAGGTCTGATATGATATTTGGTGGTGTTCCGCGGAAACGCGCGCGTCGAGAAGGGCAGAACTAAATGGGGGATGCGATGGATTTGCCCTTGCTCCGAGCCATGGATAGTCATGGGAATAATAATATTATTATTATTGCCAGAAACCTGGGGCTGTTTTCGGGTGTTATGTTATGTACGGAGTAAAACAAAAAAAATAAAAATTGAAATGAAGAGAAGGACCGTGCAGCCCGTTAACTATGCCTTGCAGGGGGGGATCAGTTGGTGCCTGCCGAGGTATTTGCCGAGTGCCATCTTGGATTCCAGCAGAAGTGACTATTATTACCATCATTATTATTGACTCCTGCAAAGAGGAAAAGGAAGCCTCTTTCTTGTGTTCCGGTGATCCGTCCACTCTGCTGATGCCTGCTGAAGGGCCCGTGGTTGGGCTGCTACCTCCCAAGTGGATCAAACAGAGGACAGGAACAAAAAAAAATAGGCTGAGTCGATTCCATACACCTTGCGAAGTGCTAACCACTGCTACCACTGATCCTGCAATAATACCCTTTATCGTTTTTTTTTTTTTTTTTTTTTTTTTGCTTTTGATGTCCTAGCCCCGTAAGGCGCTCTCATGACGAAAAAGACAAAAATCCTCGAGATTTGCTCTTTTTTCTGCAAATCTCTGGGTCGGGCTATTGGCCTTCGGCGTTTGTGTGTAACTAACTACTAGCTACTAGTTGCCTGTCTGGAACGCCAGGTTGAAATTCTCATCTCGAGTCTGTTTGGTGGAGGAGAATACGAGCAGGACCGGCGCTTTTCTGCTCATCATCCCTAAGTTTCCCCCCCCCCCCCCCCCCCCCCCCTTCCCCCCCCCTCCCCCCCCCCTCTTTCCTCGCTATTGCCTACCGCCTCTCCACTCTCTTTCCTGCTTCTCGCTTCGCTTCTCCTACCCACATTTCCCCCCCCCCCCCCCCCCCCCTCTTTTAATTGTGAGTAGTGGCTGATATGGGGCACTTCTTCAGATCTTCACGCGCGCATGCGAGATCTACTACTACTAGCTAGTTACTCCCTGGGTGTATCGATCTGGCGGAGCTCAGACTTTCCCACTCTCCCACATGACGACGGGCGTCAGAGAGAAGCGATATGGCTAATTCATTACAAAAAAAAAAACAAAAAATGCTACCGTGCAAATGATCGAGTAGCATGGTTTCAAACAATCCACAGACCTACATACAACCCCCCTTGCTGGCGGCGACGTCTTGGGCTAAACTAGTTTCCCCCGCTGGACAGGTCACAGAGATACGCTTTTTTTTTGGAGGGGTTGATTGACAAATTCGCCTCGATCCTGCGGACATCTCGTGCGCCTCCGGCTCTACGGACAGGGGAGATGGGAGGGAAGAAATCTCTGCCCCGTTGATGGTATTGGACATCTTCGTCGGGGTATTAGGGCCCGGGTTATCCTCCTGCACGTCTATGTGATTGGTCTTGGGGAAAAACCTCAGGTCAGAGGCAATATAGCCGCCAGAGTCCTCGGACCCCCGAACCCCCCCCAATATTGCATCATGGATCGATCATTTCGCTGGCGCCTGGAACTGATGTCACGGCCCCCCGGTGGCCCTGACTAAAGTTTTGGCAAAGCAGCAAACAGTTCCAAAGGGGCGGTGTCCACCACTCTCAATCAAATTCCAAATCATACTACTATTATGATTATTTATTCAGGAATCGGTAGTCGGCCCTCGCTCTGTGGGTCTCCTTGCTGTGATTACCAGGTCCTGGATCATCCGCTACAGAGGCTAGCGGTGAGCCGGTTCCCCCTACGTTGACCGATGACGGTCTCTGTCCTGCTTTCCCCCTTCGGCTGAATGCTTGAGGTTGACAAGCGTGCCTTATGATAATACACTCAACCTGCATGATGGCATCCGCCCACCGCCCACCGCCCGCCGGCCGCAACCAGCACAGCGCTTCGCAAAAACCCCCCTGTTCATTTCCACCTACGTCACGGGCTCGCTGCACGCGGGCACAGTTGGCCGGCGAGCTGTCAGACGCTTCCCCGTCTCCCCGGCGCGTGTGTTAGATGAGCGGCGCACACCCGCGCGAGCGTTACACGATGACTTTGCCTCCCTGCGACACCGCGGTGTGTGTGTGTGTGTGTTGCCCTTTGGGCCGGCGGGCAGGGCTCCACGCGGCGCAACGCCCGGTGGGCTAAGCTTCCCGATCATGGCGCACGCGGCGGCGCCTTGCTCTCGAATTCCCATCACCACCATCATCATCATCGACGGCGCTAGTACTCCGTACTTACCCAGCGATGTGCAACGCCGTGATCCGAACCATGGTACGGCAGCGCCTGCGCAGGGCCAGGACGGTCTCTGGTATTAGGGATTGCTGTTGCTGTTAGTGTTTAATTATTATGATTGCGGGTTCTCGACCGGCTGGGGTTCCCCGCAGATGGGCGAGTTAGTTAGTTATGCGACGTCGCTGGGAAATTTGGCCGTTTAGCTAGTTCGCTGGTCCTTGGTAGCGACCGTTCGGCGTGCGTGCGTGCGTGCGTGGAGTGGGCTGGCCGCATCTGCAACGAGGTTCTAGCCCGCTGGGCCTTTTTTTATTTTATTTTATTTTTTTTTCATGGGCGCGTGTGAAGCTGAGGCAGATCCTCCAAGAGCAGCGGTGCGTACAGCCGGTCTGCCGGCGACGATCCGATCGGAGAGGAGGCGCGCGATCGCCCGAGAGAGCTCATACATCCGTCAATGCATGCAGGTGACGCTGCGGGCGGGCGGGCGAGACAAGTCGTGACAAGGCTGGCCGCCAGCCCATCTGGCCTCTCTCTGGATGCTGGTTGTTCCGCTCGCTGCGACGAGGTCTTCGCTGGCCTGGCAGGGCAAACGCGGGGCCTCACCGCCCACGCCGAGCACGGCCGGCCATTGGCTGCGTTCTGCCCACCAGGCACTTCCGCTTCGACTTCGATTTCGCTCTTCTCTCCCACTACGAACTACGAACTACTTCATCCTCATCCACTCTCTCTACTTGCTTTGTCTGCCGGCAGCGAGCCGGTTCTCCACTGCCGCCCCAGCAACAACTACCCGGCCTCACGCTGCATCTTTCTTTGTCTCACTTCGCGCCCTGTGCCTGCCCTCCCGGTCGCCCGAGGCTGAGCTAGCTCGCTGGCTAGTTAGTCGTGGTGCGGCCTCGCTTCTGCCTGCGCCCGTCCCGCCCCCGACAAATATGTCGATAAGCAAGGTCGGAAATGAGAACCTGTACCTTGGCGGGTATGTTTTGCCCTGCCCTGCCTTGCATGACTCTGCGATCTGCAGTGCGTTGCCTGCGTGCCGAACACGACCGCTGAGCCCGTTGCCTTCCTTGGTCGCCCTCGTTCTAGCTTCCTGTCCCTGAGCAATAAGCTTGCGCTGGCCGACGCCAACATCACCCATGTCGTCACCGTCATGCGCGGCGGCGCCGACAGCGCCCGCTTCCGCGCCTTCCAGCACCATCTGCACATCGCCGTCGACGACATGGACGACGAGGACCTGCTGCAGCACTTCCCGACCACCAACGCCTTTGTCCAATCGGGCCTGGCATCCGGCGGCGGCGTGCTCATCCACTGGTCTGATCCACCCCCCGTCCTTGATATCTTGCTCGCTTTTTAGTCTACCTTTTTTTTTTTTTTTTTCTTTGGGTTTTGCGCTTTCCTTCCGCTTTCAGCGTATGTGGTCTTGGGAGATCGACGTAGGAGCCGCTTGGCCCACGCTCGCCCGACTAATGGCGACTATCAAAAACAGCCTTCGTCGGCGCTACGAGGCGCGGCGCGGGGGGGTGAATGGGCGCGCGCGCTGCACTGGAGCTTCGCGAATGGTGTAACACTGATGTGCAGCGCGCCGACGATGATGATGACGACGAGGTGCTTTTTTTCCTTTGGCCTAAATGAGTGTCTTTGATCGGAGATGTGCATCAGCCCACCACCTGCGTCCAGATATGCTACCCAAGGCTTCAGCTCCGTCCGATTTGCACGTGCGCCCGGCCGAGTCCGACCTGGGTTTTCCTTTGTTGCGCTGCCTGGCTTGCTTTTTGGTTGTTGGAGACAAGATGAGTGGACTGTGAACTAACTAACAAATTGACATGCATAGTGCAATGGGCAAGTCACGATCCGCCACCGTCTGTATAGCCTTTCTCCTACATCGAGATCCTGCCGCGATTGATCCTGCAGAAGCACTGATGCTCCTACGCCGGACGCGGCCGATGTGCGAGCCCAACGATGGCTTTATGGAGCAGCTGCGGCTGTACCACAAAATGGCCTGTCCGGAAAATGTCGTGGACCATCCGCTCTACCAGCGCTGGCTCTATCAGAAAGCGGTTGAGGACAGCGTGGCGTGTGGCCGCGGCCCAGACCTGGACGAGATCCGGTTTGAAGATAAGGCGACGACGAATGATAACAATGCTAACGCGCGCAGTGACAAGGGCGTCGAGGTGAAGTGCCGCAGGTGTCGGTGCGTGCCCGCTGCGAATTGTCATTGATGATTTTTCTTGATTGCGCTTCCTATTCCGGCTGAGAGCCTAGCAGCGATGACACGATTGATCAGCCCCTGGCTAACGCAGATGCTCTAGGCGCCAACTGGCCACGCTGCCCTTCATCATCGGCCATGATCTGCCTGCGAAAACAAGTATTTCGTCTGCTGCCCCAGCTTCCCCGTCGTCGCTCTCGTGCGCGCATCTCTTTCTCCACCCGCTGACCTGGATGCGGCCGTCGCTGTTCCCAGCGTCGTCGCCGCCCAGTAGTAGTGAGGCAGACGGCGGCGGGCGCGAGTCGCCGCTCTCCGGCCGGCTGACCTGCCCTGCGGCAACGTGCGGCGCGAACATAGGGAAGTTCGCTTGGCAAGGCATGCCCTGTAGTTGCGGGACATGGGTGGTGCCGGCGATCGCGCTGGCCAAGGCGAGAGTTGACGTTGTGGACATGGGAGTGAGACACGCGGGCGGTGGAGCCGGCATAAGGATGCCTCCGGGGGTCGCGAAGGATGCCGTTCCTAAGGCTGAGGCGGGCAGAGGCCTGCTGTAGACCGCCAAACCACCCAAAAAAAAAAAAAAAAAAACAAGCTGATGCTTGCAGCTGGCAGCTGCGGGCTGGTGGCGGGGAGGTCTGGGCGCCAGGGACAAGTGGTTTCTCTCACCGGTGGGAAGAGGCGTTGGCTGCCTTGACTACCTTGTTGCATCGCCGGGCGGGCAGCTAGTTAGCTCCGCGGAGCATGGGAGTAGGGATTCTGGCAGGCGTTGTGTTTCACTGGCTCGGTACGGAGTACTAACGGTCAACATACCTACATACACCGTTTCTGACCATAACAACGCCTCGCTGCGAATGCATCCAACGGGTTTTCGCATGGCATGTGAACACACACACTTATTCTATATCTATCGCCCGATACTCGACCGCCACCGTGCACCTCATCCCGTACTCCGTAGTCCGAACAAATTTCCCCCCCAACTCACTCATCCCCCCAGCCCACACCCGCCCCCTCGACCGCCCACCGCACCACACTCGCATCCTCCTCGCGCGACAGCACACGCAGCGCCTCGTCCGGCGCCATCCAGCGCACCTCATAATCCTCCCACGGCTCCGAGCCCGCGTGCGCACGCTCCGGCGCGGCGCGCGCGTCGGCCGCCGCCAGGAACCAGAACACCAGCTTGTGGCAGCCGTCCGGGTACGTGCGCTGCTGCACGGCGATGGGCTCTACGTGCGGCGGCGCCAGCGGGTGCGGGGCCGGCTGGCGGTGTGAGAACCCGTCGCTGTTGTTGCTGTTGCTGCCCGTCTCAGCGCCCGTCGCAGAACTAGGTACAGGATGATGGCGAGGCAGAGCAGTAGCACGAGGAGGACTAGCAGGAACACGGCGAGTAGCGGCGCGAGCAGCAGTAGGAACGGGAGAGACAGCAGGCTGAGCAGGGTCGTGAGGAGGATCTTCACCACCACCATTATTATTGTTATCCTTAGTAGTCGTAGTAGTAGTAGTAGTAGTAGTAGTAGCAGCAGTCGGCTTCGCCTGGTTGGTCGCGTTGGTGGGCAGGCGGTGCGGCCGCAGCGCGACGCGGTAGCCGGACTCCTCGAGGGTCTCGCGCACGGCGGCGGCTGGCAGCGACTCGCCGACGTCCTTGCGGCCCTTGGGCAGGAAGTGCGTGTTGCTGGTCGGCGAGTAGAGAATCAGCACCAGCTTCTGCGCCGCGTCGACCGTCACCGTGCCCGCCGACAGCACGAATGTGTCGGAGAGATGCAGCATGGTTGGGGTGGGGGCGTTCGGATGGAAATGGTGTTATTATTGCTGCTGTTGCATGGTCATACGAGGATCACAACGCGGCGGTGGTGGAGGGCTGGCGGAATGGCGCTGCCTGGGATTCTGTGAGTCGCTGCAGGGGAGGGAGGGAGATGTGCCGTTCGCGGGACGTTTTCTATAATTAATCTGAATGGTGATTTGATAATGCCTCCCGATATGATAGCAGCAGTAGCAGCAGGGCGGATAATAATATGACAGATGTAAGATTGGAGGCAATTTGCGCTCCAACACGACGCAGCGTGGGAGACGCCGCGGGCGAGGTAGCATTCACGTCGCTGAGACTTGCCCGCTGGTAACGGCCTGTACGAGCCCAATTTCATTTCGGGGATAACTACAAGGCCAGGTCATTGAGAAATCCTCCGCTGGAGCAGCATATTATTCTACACTATAGTTAATGTCGCTCTTCCAAGTCCCCAACCTTGTCGCAGCATGTAATATACTCGTACACGAATGGGGTATCGTCAACTCTCTCGTGCCTATAAACCAAATGAAAAACTATCTATGAAAAGAAAAAACGCCCGCTGATCTTGTCACGAATCCCTGGTTTTGGTGTGTTTTGTAAAGAAAAAAAAGAAAAAAGACCTCTGATATTGGGAAGGGAATCTGGAACAGCCAATTACTCCAACGCGGAGAGCCCAGCAGCCTGCCTTGCCATCCGGAGGTCTTTGCCCACAACACCCACCTCCTTGAGGTATAGCCGGAACGCACCCAGCAGCTCTTTCAGGCCTGTCTTCAGCGCTCCCAGCACAATCTCCACCTCGTCAACCCGGCGTGCGTCCCTCCGCTGCGCCTCGGGTGCAGAATCGGCCGGGAAGTCGACGTCTGTCCAGTGAACCTTCAGCCCCTTTTCACTGACAAATCCCTCCAGAGCCAGAATGCTCTCCGTAAACAGCCGTATTACCGCCGGCACGTCGTTCTGTACTTTCCCAAACTGATCTTCGGCCAAACTGGCCACGAGTAGCCTCGTCAGCACCTCCACAGCGTCGACGATGGGCACCAGTTGCTCGTACGGCGAGCCGAGAACCACCTCGCGCAGCCGTCGGGCATATGGCCGCCGGAAGAGAATGCCCAATGGGCTTCGCAGGGCCTTCTGCAGAAGGGGGTGAACCGTCAGTCGAGAGCTCCCGGCTTCTGCTTGGGGACTAGCAAGCAGCTTTAAGTCTTGGGCGGACGCCGTAAGTCTTCGCTTTTGCTCCGGACTTAGTATCACCGCAGAGGCCCGATCAAACATCTGACGTGCTTTGGCTCTAGCATTGGGTGTCCAGTCCTCACTCTGGCCATAGCTTTTGGCCATAGATCCAAACGCCGCTTCAAACTGCTCTGGTTTGCTATTTCCCCTGACCGGCGGCAGGAAGATGTTGTCCTCCTTGGGTGCGGCCGTTAGCCGGGGCAGTGTTGGGTATAACTGGCCTTCTGTTGTTGTCGTCGCTGGAGCTGGGTCTTTGGATTCGGGAGCTGGAGCAGCAGGCGGCGCAGGGGGAGCTTCAAATTGCGAAATTCGAGTAGTCATCCCTTTTATAACACTTGCGCTTGTGTCTAGGACCTGACTCCACGCCGGCCCGCCCTCACGGTCAATATCACTAAATATCCCTTTCCGACGGTCGGGGAATTGTTGACTGATAAGGCATAGCTCCCATAACGAAAACGCAACCACCGGCCCATTTTTCGCCTTCAAGCCATTTATCAAGCTCCCATTAGGGTCTTTTGCCTCGTTTGTCAAGGGCATACCTTTTTTGAGCGGTGCTTGGCCTAGGAGCACGGAAAAAAGTAGGTTGGATGTCTGCCACAGTACGATCAACAGGATACCAGACACTGCTGCTTTAAGTAGAAAACTTATGTGTAATGGCGGAATGATACCCGGGGGATCTTGCGCGGATCTAGGAAAATTCCAAAACATCTTTGCGAAGTAGAGCGTAAAACCCCAAGCCGTTTTCCTCAAAAATAGTATATAGAAAGGAAGACCTAGAACTGAAGTTACAGCTGTCTGAAACAAAGCTAGGCGAAGAATTTGTGGTGCAGACTTCGTGAGGGAATGAAGCAATGGCTCCAGTGGATGGGTTCGTTGGTCTTCGGGTTTTTCGGCGCGGTTTGCGACTGGAATATACAGCTGATCCCAGTCGTAGTATAAATGTAAGGTCGCCTGGCCCACTGCGAGAAGGAAATAGTAGCAATGGAGGTATATTGGCCGTTCATTGAGCCGCGCTCGTTCGAACGATCTAGTCACTGACGTTAAACCCGGCGTTCAAAATGGAGAGTAGGGGCCTGCTAACCGTCCAGGGTTCACCCAGTTCAGCTGTTCATTAAGTGATGCCGACCAGATGTATACTTCGCTAAACCACCAGGCCGAAAACATGTACCAGGCAAAAGTCTGGACGAGTCTGAGCGAGAATGTCGTTTGCCTCCATGATTTGAAGAGTGAGACGGTAGTGCTAGCGCCGATATGCAGCTGGCCCACGCGAAGGATGAATATCGATAGACTTGAAATGAAGAGAAGCAATGTTCGAAAGCCGCAGGCGCCCAGCGGAAACCAGGACCAGAAGACTTAGACGAAACAAAGCCGTTAGCAAGTCGTTATGAAAAGTTGCTTAGGGCAAAATGGGTTTGGAAGAGGCTAAGCGACTTACGAGAGGTCTTGGTGCCAATAAAAAATGCTACGACATAGCAGACAAGAAGAGAAAAAGCGGAGGCATGGACAAATCTGCGATGCAGTGTTGACGTCAAGATTCGTCGATATGGCCTCGTTTTCGCGGGTGGAGTAGCAGCCATTGTGGTTGACAGAAGGGCGATGTTTTAAATAATAGTAGTACCCCACCGCGTCATTCTTGGTAAGGACTGTAGAGGCGGACGGGCGGTTGCTGAAGCTGAATCACTCGAGCAGCGTTTATTGTTGTTGATCAGAGCTTCAATTGCGATTCTTTTAGCGGGCAAACAAAACAAACAGGCCGACCCCCAGGCCCAGCCGCCGATGACATAAGCAGAAGCTACTGGTTACATCATGTGGCCGCAGGCATCACAACCCAATCCTCAGACATCAACAAAAGAGACTCTCGTTGCCGCGTTCTCGCCTGTTTGTTTGCATTGATCCGTTAGAGCTACACCGAATACCCCTGATTTTAATTCCTCTCACCTGCCGGTATGTCGTTTGACCGCCTTTCGTCGTTGGAAGCCCAGACTTCATCTGCACGAGGCACCAGCGCAGCCTACCATGATGACCCGGATTTCCAGCACTTGACAGAGTCACTGTCAAACCAGCTGTTTACGTTGACATCAAATATATCCAAGTTGTCAAATCAAATTGGTCTTCTTGGAACCAAACGAGATACGGAGCGCGTGCGAGAGAGAATACATAACCTGCTTGAGGAAACCCGGGATGGATTCCGGGAGGTTGGAGAAGGTGTCAAGAAAGTCCAAGTTTGGGAAGATATAACTGTAAGTGGCATTAGAGAGATCGCCAGTTACAGTGGTTAGGGAGTGTGCTAATATGAGTTTTGTGTGAACATTGCAGCCTGGCCAGAAATGGACACAGCAGAAACTATCCTCCGAGTTCAAATCCACGCTCGAGGAGTTTCAGTCCGTCCAGCGTCGCGCGCTCGAAAAACAGCGCGCCTCCGCTGCCGCAGCTCGTTCTGCTCTGGAGGAGACCGGCGCCGCCGAAGCTCCCCAGGACGGCCAATCGCTGCAGCAATTACAAGAGCAGCAGCCTCGCCTTGCGTCCCAAGAAGAGGTCGACTTTCAGGATGCCTTGATCATCGAACGTGAAACCGAGATTCGAAATATCGAACAGAGTGTGGGAGAGCTCAATGAGCTTTTCCGTGACGTCGCGCACATTGTCCGCGAGCAAGGCGGTCAGCTGGACCTGATCAGTGAGAATGTTGAACGAACCAGAGATGACACCCGGGGAGCGGATAGGGAGCTACGCAGCGCAAGCAGATATCAGAAGAATGCAAGAAATAAGGCCTGCTGTCTTTTGCTCATTTTGGCGGTTGTGCTGGTCATTATCGTCCTCGCTGTGACCCTTGGTTGAAGAAACATGGATATACCCATCCGCTATATTGTTATTTTGTCAGCTGTTCTGTAAAATTCTGGTGTCCTGGTGTTTTTTGTTATTTACTCGGGTTGATTCCCCTTTTTAGCACTCCATATGCTTTCATCCTTACACCGCGCTACTCATTGCATGAGATGAAGTGAGTTGGAATTTTGCATGTCTTCTCGCAATATCGTACAGTGTCTTCTCTTGGATTTTATAATACTAATACAGTTCCAAACATATGATTAGAGTATCTGCTGGTTTTCATATAAGGGCTGTTGCCTGGTCATCATCATAGCCCAAAAAACCGGCTGATCCTCATTCTACACCCTTCCCATGAATTCAACTTTGGTCTGACATCCAGGTAGAAGCTCAACTTCCCATCTGGATTGGCAGGGCCTAGTCCTTTGGCCTGAGCGGACTTTCCTTGGTAGAAATCGATCACGTACTCGACCCTTTCACCACCACATCTTTCCACAACCCAGTCATGGCGATCAAATGGAAGCTGATAGCCGAGAAGGCCATTGAACCGCGCCCTTGGGCTCAGGAATTGGCTCTCGGCTCCTAGCCCACGAAACGAATATAATTTTGGCCCGCCACACTTTTGGCTCCCGGGGTCTAGGGAGGGTGAGCGCGATTCCCAGGATAATATCTCCGACCAAGCGCGTTCATTTACTGCGTTATGAATGGGTATTATAGACGCCACGGACGTAGCAAGCTCCTTGGCCGATGTTGTCGATGTAGGCGTGCCTTTTCGCACTAGGGCTTCGAAGAATTGCCGCTCAGACGGGTAGACCCAATTTCCTGTGCGCTCGTCATGACCTGTCTCCTTTTCTGAGTTTGAAGGAGTGCCGTGTGATGCCACTTGGGGGTAGGATTGTTGGGCGTATGGGGAGGAGGGTTTGGGAGGTGCCGGGTTTTCGGAATAGCTTGGTAAAGCTCGTGGAATGTTGCTGACTTCTCTATCGGTTGAAAGAGCTCTTTGGAGTTTCACTGGAGGTTTCTCTGGGGCTGTGGACTGTGATTCGGGTGTAGGATTTGGGGATGTATCGGACGTGGAGAGCCAGACAGCTCGGGCTTTGTGATCAATGGGGCAGGCCGGAGCTTCCTCCGGAGTCGAGGACGACGAGGCTGGGAGCGGGTGAGGCGCTGTCCCCTGGCCTTGTGAGAGCCAGACTCCGCGGGTCTTGTGGTCTACAGGGCAGGATGCAGCTGGTGAATCTGGGTTGGCCGCGGAGGCCGTAGGTGTGCTTGCGCCAGCTCCCATGATGGGCGAGGAGCTCTCATGAAATCATTCAGACGGTGGATTATAAATTCCGGGTACGCGATGTTATAAGTTTCTAGAGTATAAGCGTTAGTTAAAAAGTAGATAGCTGTTGTTTCTCTGCTGTTCGTGGAGAAGCTGACCGTCGAATCCCCGAAAAAAAGCTTTGCAGCGATAAGCAGCGCTACGGCGGACTGGGAGCCGCAGTCGGGCCGCTTCCTTCACCCCACCATATCGCAACGACATTTCTACCCAATTCACAAGGCATCTCGACATTTTGCAATATCCGGTCCAGGGAGCATCAAGATGTCAGGCAATAATAAGACGGTTTATCGTTCCAGCACCACAGCTCCGGTGAATATCGCTGTCATCAAGTAACATTTACCCTCACCCGCCTGCCTGGGAAATGGGAAAGCAAAGACTGATGGCATGCTAGATACTGGGGGAAGCGAGATGAGGTCCTTAACTTGCCAACCAATTCCTCACTGTCTGTGACTCTTTCACAGAGCGACTTGCGTGCACATACCACAGCTTCATGTTCCGATAGTTACCCCCATGCTGAAGGCGATACTCTAACGCTCAACTCCCAACCGCAAAACATCCGTACCTCCAAGAGAACGCTGGCCTGCCTGGCCGATCTACGAGCCCATCGCCGAGCCTTGGAAGATGCAAACCAATCTCTTCCCAAGCTCTCAACCTTCCCACTCCGCATCGTATCCGAAAACAACTTCCCTACCGCGGCCGGGCTGGCAAGTTCCGCCGCTGGCTTCGCAGCTCTTGTTCGTGCCGTTGCAGATCTCTACGAATTGCCTCAGTCGCCAAGCGAATTGAGCCGAATTGCTCGCCAGGGTTCCGGATCAGCATGCCGCTCGCTAATGGGTGGCTATGTCGCCTGGATATCTGGCTCTGAGGCGGATGGAAGTGATAGTTTGGCGCAAGAAGTTGCGCCAGCGAGCCATTGGCCAGATATGCGCGCATTGATACTCGTCGTGAGTGATGCCAAAAAGGATGTTCCCAGTACCGAGGGAATGCAGTCTACTTTTAGAACCTCCCCCCTCTTTCCTTCACGGGTTTCCTCTGTTGTACCTGAAAGGATGACTGGTATGGAGAACGCGATTCGCGCCAGAGACTTTACGGCTTTCGCAGAAATTACGATGCGTGACAGCAACAATTTCCATGCAACTTGTTTGGACACTTGGCCGCCGATTTTCTACATGAATGATACCTCTCGTGCCGCTATCAGGGCAGTCCATGACATGAATCGTGCGGCTGGTGAAACAATCTGCGCCTATACGTTCGATGCGGGTCCTAATGCTGTTATTTACTATCTCGAAAAAGATGCAGACCGGGTACTGGGTACATTTCGACAGGCCCTGAACCTTGACACCGAAGGTTTCGGCAACATCAAGCCCTCTCAGGCATCTCTCCTTGGCGCAATTGATCCCAGGGCTGCGACATCGCTTAAAGACGGAATCAATCGCGTGATCTTAACTGGTGTGGGTGAAGGCCCCATCAAGGTGAATCATCATCTCGTTAGCGAGTCGGGTGACACCTTGGGTGGCTCCTCCAGTTGATTTTGGTTACGAAAATCCCTTTAGTATTGAAGTCTGTCAATAGATGAAAATGTAATGAGAAATGACCTCAAGCTGAATAAAATACCAGCATGCTAGAGAGCTTTTATATACATACAACTCCAAACTTAATCCGTTCCAATACATTTTTAATTCCAAGCATCAATTCGCATCCAATCGGCTCGTAATCAACCACTTAGAAGCGCTAATTTTTTGAACTCTTTCAGTATGGGTGGTTCTTTCGGCTTAGAGCTTGCCTCCAAGCTATCCCAGAAGACACCCTCGGCACCAGTAGTGATCCTTTGGAAGGTTTCCTCTGCTTGTTCTCCAGGCTCTGCACCCTCTGATCCAGGAGCGACTTGAGGCTTGATCTCAAACACTTCATCCATGCAGTCCTTGCACATGGTTATCACCTCGTCAAGGTTCTTTTCAACAACAGCAGCTCTCTCCCGCATACCCCGTCTCAGCATAGCCTGCACCAAGACTTCCACTTCCTCAACAGCGCCATTGATCCTTTCCATCAACCTATAGACGCTATTTACTAGATATTCCTCTTCGTAGACTGTTCCCTTTTTGCCACGCGCACGTTTTCGTTCCTCGCGGCGTCGATTTTTGCTGGTTCTCTTTGAAACAGATGTTGAGCCAGTGTACCTAGTGAACATGCTGCGGCCCGCCATCGTGCTTGCGTCGGTGGGTGCAATGGAGATATTATCCAGTATATCACCACCTTCCGCTCCACCAGCCGGTTCTCCGCCAAAAAATGCCAACGGGTCTGTGGCGCGGCGGATGCGCAGCTCTCTGATACGAGGCACCTGTGAAAGTAATTGAGTCCTGCAGTCTGCAAGCAGTTCGATCATGTTGCCCATACTCTCGCCTAGCGAGCTGTCAACAATGTCTATTACGAGTGATTGGTGGCCATTCAATGCGAGGATGCGGCAAGCATCCCCAAATTTCGAACCGCGGCAAAGCAAGCGCGCGGCGGCGGGAATATCTTTTAGGTGGTCATTGTATATGTGAGCTGCGGAAATATAATCTTTAATTTCGGTAAGAGCGGAGACTAGGGATTGGGATAGCTCTGTCATTTGGGCGTCTGCTAATGGGACGAGACTTGCACAGTAGAGACATTCTTGCCACATATTTGCAATCTTGTACGTTTCGTAGGCGGTCTCGAATTGGCCTAGTGATTCATAGGCTATAGCAGAATTAGTATTCCTGGCGCAATACTGGAATATTTGAAAGACTTGCCTATGGCCGCTTCTTTATATTTTGATTGGTCGTGTAGATAGTCAGCATACAGCTGGGTCATGTCGCGTAGAAGTTCTGGTTGATACTTGTACAACTCCAACGCTTCACGGTACAAGACGTGTTTAATAGTGTATAGCTTAAGCTCATCGTATTCATGCAGGGCATGCAGACTTTTTAGAGCTTTCACATTGCGGCCTAGATGATTATCTATTTCGTATCGACGTCTGAGCTCAGTCATTCCTTGCAATTTTTGAAGGAAAGGGAGGTATTCTCTAGGGTCCTGAGGGGCCTGTTAGCCTGGAGTCCATATTCATGTACACATATAAAATGATGCTATGTTCAATTCGTACCCTTTGCGCTTGTTGAGCGACTAAGAGAGTAAGCTCAAGGTCATATAAACCCAGGGCATTATTGAAAAGTCTGTTTGCATCCGTAAGGAAGCACATGTGTTCAATGGCCTCTTCTGCTTGCTCTGCACTTTGCTCTATCATATAAATATTAACATAAGAACTGTTGTATGCTGATATACGGAGAATTACACACCTCGCAATTTTGCCACCAGTTGAAGCCCGGCGTCCAGATCAGGCGGAGATTTACAGACATGGGCAGTGATAAGATTTTGGAGATTCGTCTCGATCCGATTGACAAGCACTGATAAAAAGGCATCACAGATTTGATTGACCTTGTTTCGTTTGCTGGGCTCAGAGACGGCCGGTGGAATTACAGTCATTCCAACCCCCGTTGTGGAGGAGTTTTGTGCTTCGGTGTGTGCAATTTTCAGTGTATCTTTGTAAAGTGTCTCCGATACATCCTCGTCTCTAAATTAGGCGAATTAGTAGAGAAAACCGAATGACAATGATTCTAGAGGCGTACCTGAGACGAGAGAGAAATTCGTCAATGAAATCTATTCTTTTAATTTGGTCAATAAATAGCTGGATGCTGGCCATAAATTGTTCTGGCATGAAGTCATGAAGGATATTCATGTCTACTATGTGGCTTCGGCAAGCAAGATATGCCGACCTGTATCGTTTGCTCTCAATATACTTTCGAATTCCGGCGAGTACTAGTGCTCGAGGATATATTGTCTCGATATTTCCACGGGGCATTTGCATAGTAAGAGCAAAGGTAGAGGGAACCGCAGCGATTAATCGAGCACCTCGCTCGATACTTCTGCACCGCTCGTCTGCTTCAGGGGTATCACCTGGGATTTCGAGGCCTGGAAACATCTGTTAGTTTCAACTCAATTTAGTTGAATGGGATTCACGAACTGTCGACATTCGTGATGTGAACAAATTTTAGCAAATGCTGAGTAGTGGTAAATATGAGATGAGCTGGTGTGATCAAAAACGATGTACAATTTTGGACTAGGAGCCGTTTGTCCGCGTAAAGAGAGCCAGTCCTTGAAAGGGAGAAAAGTATATGCTGCAATATGTTAGAGTGCAAGGCCAGGTACTAGGATAGAGAAAATACTTACCCCTTTCCCCGGTAGAACAAGTGCACTGGCCCAGGTTGCTGCTTGGGAAGGGCTATCATACCACGGCGTTGGCGAGGTACTATCTCCATCTCGAGATATGTAAGAATACGAGGTAGCCTTTTGACCTCCGGAGGTTTTAGATATCCATATTGTATTTTGCTCTAAGTCAGTGAAGATTGAGGAAAGACGGTCCGACTCTGCACTTGCAAAAGCAATTTTTTCGTTTTGCGTATCGATATCAAGCAGTTTTATCATATCTAGGGATATATCGTCTTGCATTAGCACGTACACATCGGTTTCACCTACAATTGCGATCCGCCTTGGCCGCTTTGAGGTCTGCGAAAAGGCATAGAATCGATCCAACTGCGGCTCTGGAGGCGGGACAGACCCCAGTTTCCATGAAATCAGAGCAAACCCTTCATTTGCTAATACTGCAATTTTTGTTCCTGAATTGCTAAATGCGACATCTACCGCATTGTAGTCCAAGGCCACCTCATAGAGTGCCATTGGAGGAGGAATTGCTGCAACCTTCAGAGGGGAAAGTTTCAATGTCTCTGTATAATCGTCAGGCAGGCACACAAAACTACAGAAAAAAGGTACATACTTCCGTCAATCACTGCTACAGAGCCAAAATCAACCGGCTGCATACTAGAGCCCCGCGCAACATCGAAGACATAATCCGCGTCTATTATAGATTCTATTACAGGTTAGAACTAACTGAAAAGGTCAGGGGAGGTTCAACAAACTTATAGATCCTGCCACAAAACGGATTGCCTTCTCGTGGTGCCAACGGAATGATCGTATAAATTCTGCGCCACCAAGTTTTGAAGAAATTGGAATTTCCTGCTTAAGGTAATAGTGGTAGTTGCCCATAGTCCAGAGTTGTATTCTATCCTTGAATTGGACCGCCAGCACGGTAGAATCGAGGTTCCAAGCTAGGTTAATAGATGAAGCCCAGGTCCTTCTATCATCATCGTTTAATCGAAGTGTAAATTGCCCATGTCGTAGACCATTGCGTTCGAAAAATACAACATCAACGCGGCTTTCGAGACGCTGGATCCCGGCAATAAGATTTCCAGAGGGTCTCCAGCTTATTTTACCTTCGAGACCATCGACCGGCTCACTAACACTGTCCAGAGCACCCTCCCTGGAATATACACGTATGACACGCCGGGATCCAGATTCAATGCTGTTCACAGCCAAAAAAGCGCCGTCTCCTCTCCAGCTGATGCAGGTACTCCCATCGTCAAAATCGCTGAGCTTCCCCTCATCAACGTGCTCCGGCATTGTTGGATCTCGTAATGCTTTGGCCCTTTTGCCTTGGAACTGGGTTTCTTTCTTCCCCCAGCCGACGGAGACGTGTTTCGAGAGTTTAAGATCATCGTTAGAGAATTCAACGGTCGCAATGTTCTCAAAATCCCGGGTCATGTAAAGTAATGTGTTGGATCTAGTGGCTATCACCAATAGCTCTTCATCAGGCGCCCAAGAGGCAGCTGTGATCCCAACGTCTATTGATCCAATCATTTCAATTTTATCTTCACCGGGCTGTGGCTCCTCACGTACAACAATAATATCGCCCCCTTCAAGGACCAAGCATGTAGTCAGGGTATCGGCAAAAAATTGCATTGACAGTATGCGATCACATTTTAGCTCTGGGAGCGGGCATGGCGCATCCCAAGAGGCGATAAGTGGGAGCTCTGCGCTTGAGCTAATATCCGCATCCTCCTCTTTTCGCCTCAGTTCGATGACTGCACTAGCCTCAGTTGGGCCAAAGGCGCACAGTATGGAATCTGTGGCTGGATCCCATGCGGTCGCAGTCAAAGGTAACCCCTCAGGCAGCGGCAGCTCCGCAAAGCGGATGTTCCTTAGGTTGCGCATGGTATTTTGAGCTTTTCAAGAAATTCGTTAGAATGTTATTCAGACATTCTAGGCAGTAACAGCTCTTTGGGGTTGAGCACAGGTTGCGCACCACAGCGTGTCCTGGGACGGATGGTGGTTATCAAGAAACTTTTTTTTTGGGTGACAGATCTCCGACCAATGATCTCATTCCTGTTTACAGTGTTGAGTGTGGGATGCCTACAGTCGACAATAAATAACGAACGTATGCACAGAATGAGATGGAAATCGCTTAAAAATACAGATATTCATATGGTTTTCTTAAATTGAAAATTTGTACATGCTGCTCTACAACCCTGAAGTAGCATTCCAATCCCACACCCAGCGTTTCACCCAAGAAATATACGCAAGGGCCATTTATTTCGCTTTCTTGATTTGCCAGACTATAGCACACAAGAGAAGTTAGCAACAATGTTGCTACCCAGCAAATAACAGTAGAACATAGCATACCAGCAATTCCAAACGGCAAGAAGAATCCTAGGCCTAAGGTACGGGTCAGTCATAGTCCTGTACTGCTTCCCCTTCCCATTGACATACCCATGAAGGTCCAGTATCTCCAGAAGAAGTGTTTTGTGAGAGGGTTGAACGGGATGCTGCTTCGTGGTCCTTCAGGGTAGTGGAATGGGCTGGCAAGTTGAGCGCGGGTAGCGTGGAAGCCACGGCGGGTCACGAGCGAGGTGGCCGGGTTGGCCCGGATGGCGGATCGAGCGAACATCTGGATCTGTCAGGAATCGTAGCCATTCTCGCGTATGACTTATATACGTACCTCTGCGATTGGAGTGGATGTAGGCTGGAATGGGTGTGTTGTTCGGAGGGCAACGAGGAACGAGATCAAGCCGAATCGTCAATCCGGCGTGATTTTGACGGGCCGGGTAACGTGATAACTAATCATTCACGTGACACAATGACTGGCTTGGCATGCCCGGAAAAGTTTCTCCGGCCCGTCCTTTTGCAGGTCGAAATTATTTCCATACGCAAAGGAAGCAACTGGGCAGCACGGCCGTTGTTTGGCTATCGAAGCCTAGGGTTTTTGCGGATTACGGTAGCGATCCTGCATTATGGATGAGCTTTTCGACGTCTTCGAGCAGACCCCAGGCTCTGCTCCCCCAACGAACCAGCCAGTGAGAGCTCGACCGAAGAAGGATAAGAGCAAGAAGAGGCAGGCAAATGGCGATGTTAAACAAGACACACTTATGACGGAGGTGGATGCGGATGCAGATTCAATTCCGAAGCAAAATGGAAACGGCGCTCTCCCAGAAACACCAGCTGAACAGCCAGAGGCTAAGCGATTACGAGTCGAACCTGAGCCAGTTGTTGCCGATACTTTCGAAACAGAGCAATCTCGTGAAATTGCAGCTTCAGCAGGATTGCAAGCTACGCAGGAGGGAGCTGCTGTTGTCCTCTCCCACCAAGTTCGACATCAAGTTGCTTTACCACCAAATTATCCTTACGTTCCTATATCCGAGCACAAACCACCCGAGACGCCGGCGAGGACCTGGCCATTTACCCTTGACCCTTTCCAACAAGTCTCTATTGCATCGATTGAGCGAGGCGAGAGTGTCCTCGTATCTGCCCATACTAGCGCTGGGAAAACGGTGGTTGCAGAATATGCTATTGCTCATTGCTTGAAGAACAACCAGAGGGTCATTTACACAAGTCCAATCAAAGCTCTGAGTAATCAGAAGTATCGGGAATTTGCTGCTGAGTTTGGTGATGTGGGCTTGATGACAGGTGATGTGACAATAAACCCCACGGCAACGTGTCTGGTTATGACCACAGAGGTAAATCCCCTAATGACGTAACGTTACTGTAGCCGTTGCTGATCGTATAAAAGATTTTGCGATCCATGTTATATCGGGGCTCCGAAATAATGCGCGAGGTTGCTTGGGTTGTATTTGACGAGATCCATTACATGCGCGACAAGAGTACGGCGAATGCAGGCTCTCTTGTTTTCATTTAGGATATGCTGACCCTGTTTCTAGTTCGTGGTGTTGTCTGGGAAGAAAGTATCATTCTTTTACCCGACAAAGTTCGCTACGTTTTTCTTTCTGCTACGATACCCAATGCCATGCAATTTGCAGAATGGATCACCAAGACTCATAATCAACCTTGCCATGTTGTGTATACCGATTTCCGGCCTACTCCTCTTCAAAATTACCTTTTTCCAGCTGGTGGAGAAGGAATGCATCTTGTTGTTGATGAGAAGGGGACATTCAGGGAAGAAAACTTTCAGAAAGCAATGAGTGCAATTGCGGACAAAAAAGGAGACGACCCGGCTGATATCAATGCCCGTGGAAGAGGAAAAGGAAAAAATAAGAAAACTAATAAAGGCGGTGAAAAGGGCCCCTCAGATGTCTTCAAAATCATAAGGATGATTATGGTAAAAAGTTTCAATCCGGTCATCGTCTTCAGTTTCAGCAAACGCGAGTGCGAGAACCATGCGCTCGCTCTCAAAAATCTAGCCTTTAACGACAACTCGGAAAAGGATATGGTATCAAAAGTTTTCAATAGCGCCATCGAGATGCTTTCCGATGAAGATAAGAAGTTGGAACAGGTCACAAATATCCTTCCACTTCTCCGGAGAGGAATTGGTGTGCATCACTCTGGATTACTACCAATTCTTAAGGAAACCATTGAGATTTTATTCCAAGAAGGTCTTATCAAAGTCTTGTTTGCTACTGAGACATTCTCTATTGGTTTGAATATGCCGGCTAAGACGGTTGTTTTTACAAGTGTGCGAAAATTCGACGGGACGAGTCAACGATGGCTAACGCCTTCAGAATTCGTGCAGATGTCCGGGCGTGCAGGTCGTAGAGGTCTAGATGACAGGGGTATTGTCATCATGATGGTTACTGAGGAGATGGAGCCTTCTGTTGTGAAGGACATTGTTCGAGGTGAACAAGACAAGCTTAATTCAGCGTTCTATTTAGGGTATAATATGATCCTCAACCTACTCCGAGTTGAGGGCATATCGCCAGAGTTCATGTTGGAGCGGTGTTTTGCGCAATTTCAAAGTACATCCAATGTTGGAACGTTAGAAAGAGGTGCGTTTCCACATTTTTTCTGTCACTATTTTTTCTGCTAACAATGTTAGAACTTGAGGAGCTGGAAGCTCGACGAGGAGCCATGAACATTCCCGATGAAGGATCAATTCGAGAATACTACGAATCACGACAACTATTAGATACATATAACAAAGAAATGCGCAATACGATGTGCCATCCAACCTACTGCCAACGATATCTTGAGCCAGGCCGTCTTGTTCACGTCAAATATGAAAACCACGATTTTGGATGGGGGGTAGTTCTAAACTTCCAGCTGCGTAAAGCGCCTAAGAATATGGAAGAGGAATTTTCGCCTGCGGAGAGTATCATAGTGGACGTCTGCCTGGAAGTCTCAGAAAAATCCACCGTATCCTCCAAAATTGACAAGTCGCTGCCCCCCGGTGTTTACCCACCCAAAGATGGCGAAGGGTCGACCATTGCTGCAGTACCTGTGGTACTTAATTGCATACATGCTTTTTCAGCGTTGCGAATGAAAGCACCAAAAGACTTGGTCACGGCAGAGGGGAAAAAATATACCAAGAACTCGCTCGCTGAAGTACAGCGGCGGTTCCCTGATGGCATCGCAGTGCTGGATCCAATCCATGACATGAAGATCGAGGATGACTCGTTTAAGCGGACTATGAGGGTATGCTGTCATGAATTACTTACCTTTGCTGAACTGTTCTAACGAGTTGTTCGCTGTAGAAAATCGAAGTAGTTGAAGCGCGTTTGTTAGCAAATCCATTGCACAACTCACCTCGGCTTCGAGAGTTGTACGACCAATACGCCGAGAAGGTGGAACTTAACAACAAGATCAAAGAGACAAAGCGCAAAATTGCCGAGGCGATGTCGATCATCCAGCTGGACGAACTGAAATGCCGAAAACGTGTTCTGCGACGCTTCCAGTTCATCAACGAAGCCGAGGTGGTGCAGTTAAAGGCCCGCGTTGCCTGCGAGATCAGCAGCGGCGACGAGCTTATGTTGAGCGAGTTGCTGTTCAACGGGTTCTTCAACAATCTTACGCCGGAGCAGTGCGCGGCAGTATTGAGTGTTTTCGTGTTCGAAGAGCGGTCGAAGGAGACCCCGGCAATTACCAACGAGGACCTTGCGAAGCCGTTGCGTGACATCCAAGCCCAGGCCCGAGTGATCGCTAAGGTCGCTCAGGAATCCAAGCTCGCACTGAACGAAGAGGAATACGTCCAGAGTTTCCGGTGGGAGTTGATGGCGGTCATTTTCGAATGGGCGAAAGGAGGCACTTTCGCCGAAATCTGGTAAGTTCAAGTCAGCCGATCCTACCTGGACATTGATGGCCTAACATCGGCGGTTTAGTAAAATGACCGACGTCTACGAAGGTAGCTTGATAAGGACGTTCCGTCGCCTCGAGGAGTGCATGCGGCAGATGGCGCAGGCGTCGAAGGTGATGGGGAGCACCGAGCTGGAGACGAAGTTTGAGTCGTCGCTCTCGCTGGTGAAACGGGATCTTGTCGCTGCTCAGTCGCTATACCTGTGAGAAGGGGCTGCATCGCTGCCGATGGATGATATTGAGATGTTACTTTGGATTAATCTGTGTATCTCGTGTATGTGCTGTTTTGGCGGGCTTAAAAGTGGGTACAGGGCATGGGCGTCTGGGTTTGACGGCCGGCAGCTTCCGGCAGGGCGTTTTGCAAGTAGACAGCGATAGTTCGCATCGGCCAGCGCAACAAAGCAGCTGTTTTGATAGACAACGGCGCGGACTGTGCGCTGGATGTTGCGTGCAGCTCAAAGAAGAACGGGAGGTGGCCGCGTATTGGGCCGTACCGCTGCGCAGTTGCCCAGCGCAACCACCGCTGTATGGCGCGTAACGTACGGTCACGACTAGTTCGCCCACCCGCGGCCTGACCGGCGTGAAATGTTTCTTCGCAGCGCCTTCCGACGCCCTGAAACACCACAACCACAACCACAACCACAATCACAATCACAGCCGCAACCTCATCCGCTCCCTTTCCAAGCCACGGGCTCGCCGTCTGCTCCCTGCTGCTACTACCTGTCTGTTCTGTCGGCATCATGAACAGCGTGGTGGCCTACCCACCTGTTCCGCCGCACTTTTACCAGCACGCCAGACTCAACTCTCCCTCTCGCCTCGGTAAGATGCTGCTGCTGCTGCCCCTGGCGGCAACAATCCGACTCAGCCCTTGTTCTGACTGAGATTCCTCTTCTGTAGCTCCCCCAATGAACCCAAGCGGAAGCCGCAAACGCAAAGCAGACGATGACCATGGCTTGAGCGATCATGACACCCGAATGTCCGCCTCGCCCACAGCTTCGCCAGCCCTGGCTTCCAGGCCGCTTGCCGCTCGCCAGATAAAACGAGCTAGACCCAACGTCTCAGGCCGGCCGCTGTCTCTGGGCCGTCTGCTGGAGACTCTGGATAGCCATGCCCTTCGGTCGGTGCTGAGATCGTTGTGCGATCGCCACCCGGAACTAGGGCAAGAGGTTATTCAGACGGCCCCCCGACCGAATGTGAATTCCGCCCTAGAAGTCCTGAGCAACTATCAGTCTACCCTTCAATCTTCCTTTCCTCTTGGTGGCAGCCCTTCCTCCGATTACTCCTACAACCGTGTCCGACCTCATGTGACGAGCTTGCTAGACGCCCTGAACGACTTTACGCCCAACTTCCTCCCCCCTAATGAGACCCACGCCTCCACTTCGCTTGGCTACCTTGACGGAGCGACTGAAATCATTCACCATCTTCCCCGATGGGACACGCCGCACTACAACCTCGAGAAAGAAGCGGCGTACGAAGAGATAGGAAAAGCATGGGCTCTGGTTATCCGTGAGGCCAGCAAGCGTGGCGGTGGCATACAGCTTCAGTGCGAGGAATGGAGTCAGAAGCTCAGCAAGCATAACCAAACCTCTGGGGGCAAGCTTCAAGATGCACTGAATGAACTGAGTGCCAGCCTGGGCTGGATGACCGGCCCTCCTGGCTATTCCCACTCTGACACTGCGTCCGTCCGCCAGCAACTACTCTCCGGGACATATGGCACCGGCCTACCGCTCAAGGTCGGCCCATGGTAGTGCTACTTTCGTTTCCGCTTCACGACACCCTCCTTCATTTTATCCGATGCTCAGAACAGTGCCGCGATTTCTTTAGTGAGACCGTCAACATCATTTATTGCGTTAAGAGCCACTTTTTTGACCGATCATTCGAGACGATAACGATGCCTATTCGAAAACCAATAGAACAAGGGTTTGTGGTTGGAGTTTATAGCCTTTGCACTCATTTTATTCCTTTCCTTTTAGTTGCTGCTATTCCTCACTGGCATGGCTGAATATGTGTTAGGCGTTGGTGTCTTTCCTTTTCAAGTCCCTTGTCTTCCCCAATTTTCTACTTCATTCTCTGCATTTTGCTCCTCTTATTTTGTATTTTCGTAACACTTTTTATTAAGATTCTCAACTGCGACATTGCATCATTTTTTTTTTACTACTTTCGGTTTTTCCTTTTTTTAGTTGGAGGCAGAAAGCCGTTTACAACTGGCTATGTATACATGTTCTCTTACTTTTCATAGGTTTCATTGTTTCCCCCCCCCCCCCCCCCCCCCCCCCCCCCTCCCCCCCCCCCCCCCCCCCCCCCCCTCCCCCCCCCCCCCCCCCCCCCCCCCCCCCCCCCCCCCCCCCCCCCCCCCCCCCCCCCCCCCCCCCCCCTCCCCCGGATCTCTTGCTCAGGAGTCCCCAGATGAAGGCGGACTTTCACAATCGTACTTCCCAATACATACTACCCCTTTGAACCGAAATGCAATACTTTGCTTGTACCTATCTTCCCTCGCTTTTCAACGCCACATGCCACGAACTGTACAAGTTTCCAGATGACCGGGTTTAGATTACCCAGTACCATGTGGCATAGCCCCTCAGCGGATGATACGAACAGATGATTATTATTGCAGCAATACCCCGCCTAAAGAAAGTTGGAAAAGGCGTCTTGGAAGTAGCGGTGAAGAATCAAACTTCGTTTGGTCTGAGCCACACCAGCCTAATCATGCCCAACGGAAACGACATCTAACATTGCCATCGCACCTCCGGCTACAGCTTTCTTTCCTCCGGAGCTTTCGGGGCTGGTTTGTTTGACGGTAAAAAAAAAAAAATAATAGTAATACGATTCCTGTGGAACACACCACGTCACCACCCAAGGCTGGCTGGATCGGCTTGCCGGCGACCTAACAAGCTTCGGCGAACTTAAAAGCTGTGGCTTCTCGGCATGCCGAGACGGCGTAGACGAGAAGGCTTGTTTGGGTGGGAAAGGGAGCACATGGGTAAAAGCAAGAGGAGATCGATCGGATGACGACGAGGTAGTAAAGGATCTAAAAGGATTTGATACTGCTTCTTCAGCACGATCAGGTGGACGGAATGAGAGTTGTCAGCAGGCAAGTACGGAGTACGGAGTATAGCATCCTCCTATAAAAGGGGCAATTAATCTTCCTAGCCAAGCAAGCTACTAAGGGAAGCTCCGCCACATACGTGCACAATAAAGGAGAAGATTTATAGGCCACAAATCGCATAGAGGAATGCATATGTACGGTGTATGCACGTAATATTCAGACTAAGAATCACGCCCCTTAAAGCTTTTTTCAGTACTTCAGTGTATTAATCTCCATATGCTATTTTTGGGACTTGACCGTTATCTGCAGCCTTGCTTGTTGGGCGCTGGTTGCTTAACATCAGCCCAGAGCTCCATCCACCACATTTACCCATTTGATTGGGTGCGAGTGCGAATTGTGCGGGGCTATGACAATATGGTGCAGGCGATGTTGATATGTCACGTCGACCACTATACATATTTTGGACCGGTCCAAACTCATATCACGCATATATGCTACATAGCCCAGCGCCTTCAATCAAAGCTCTTGGGGCTGATTCTGATTATCATGGGACGCTGCTTTCAAGCCACATCGTGAATATTTGAGAATGGGTCCGATGGGAGGCATACAATCACCCTGGGAGACAAGCACGCTCAAGAGCCAGCATTCGATATCGGGATAATAAATCGGTATATGCAACGCCGGGTTGATGCTGAAAATTAAAATGTACTGCAAGTGCAGAGCCGATGACATTGACCGCTATGAATATGGTTAATCTTTTCGAAGTCGGGACCCAAGCATCGATATGCAAGCCTATACTTACGTCTTGAGTACATTTTCGGCAACACCATGACAACCATCTCCTCATCACTCCTCTCCGCCGGCCAGCTATCAATATCACTATCCAATATATCGTCCGCCATAACAGCAAGCACATTGATCCGAATTCGCTCGTTGTCCATATTCCATGGACGACCGAGATTGTATAAATGCAAATTCCCTGTTTCTAGATTTTCAAGAAACGAGTAGTGCTGCTGTGCGGCGATGGCCCAGCTTAAGTATGTATGCCCCCATACTTCATACTTAAGGTTTGATACCGGTGTGCGCGAGATGGCTGTGTCGTCCTTCACGCGGAGCCAGCGGTGGCCTCTAGCTGGCGGAGCGGTATCCAACGACCATTCAAAGGCCTCTGGACCCTCCCAGTGAGGATGAGCTGACGGCCGCCAGGCTTTGTTTGGGCTAATCTTTTGCGTTGCATTGCCGTCCTCGTCCAGCTCAGGGAAATAAGGGTGCAAGGCGCCAAGATGATAATGTATAAACGATAAAGGGGGATTATTTATGATATTTGCAGATACAGCAAAGTCATCTGGATTGTGCACTTTGTGGTTTACTATTCGCGGAATTGCGTCGTCGGCCAGCCAAACCTACAAAAGGTTTTTCAGATATCAATATGGAGAATAAGCAGCAGGACAGAACACTTACTCACAACATCGTCATCAATTTTGATGTATAATTTCCCTCGATACAAGTGCTTCCAGATCTGTCTAAATTCAGGGCCTCTCACCCTTTTCCCAAGATCTAACTTCTTGTAGCGTCGAGGTGCACGGGATAGCAATGTATCTAAATACACAAGATCCCCTTTGTTTTCGGTATTGACGACCCAAAGAACCTCATCCAGCCATCCGCCATTATCAACAAGGTTTCTCTAATGACATTATCAATATATGACTCAGGATATTTAAAAAGGGGATGTACACACCTCCAGGTAGCAGTGCATGGACTCGACCCTGTCCTTTCGTCCAAAGAAAACAATTCCAGAAATTGTCAAGTTCTCAGGCTTCACAAGCTCCGGCTCAGTCGGTGGTAAAGGAGAAGTTGGTCTCGAAATACTAGCATGATTGAACCCAGAAGCTGCACTTTTCTGATAGAGAATATTCATAAACACCAGAACATTCACCAGCGCCAGCGCAGTGACAGCAAGCAGAGGTCTTCGGCGTTTGATTGCAGCTGCGATTGAAGCTCCGTGACAGTGCTTGGGTTCTCCGAGAATGCCATCATTGCTCAACATCTTGCTTGCAAGGCAAGGATTCAGCGGCCAAGTCAGTCAAACATGCATCCAAGACATCACAAATAGGATTTTTTCCGGGAGCCAGAGAAAATAGCGCCCGGAAAAAACTAAATAAATCATTCTTGACGGTGAACTTGCTGTTGCACAGTCATCTTTCGCGCGCGGCAATATAGCGTTGCTGATTCGCGCGCGGCTCGACGGCCCGAGTCACGTCGGGCGGCTGCATGGGTCTGAACATGTTGGGGGCTGTTTCACAAAGGGCCGTCAGACTGCCATAAGGCGGCCTCGTTGGTGCTACCAGAACGACAAAGCGCTGCGGCGACTACAAAAAAAAAAGAACAAACGATTCCAAGTATAGTCAACGTCCTATAGGCGGGGCCAAAATGGGTTGATATCTTTGTGTGAATGGAGATTTAGTTATTTGGATCAGATCGTGCTTGCTAATCGACCAAAAGATATCGATCCTTTGGTTTTTACTAGTGTTCAACAGTTATTCATCCTCGTCCCTGTTATCGAAAGGCCAATGCTTCTCAACCATAGCCCTCTCCCCTGGCTCTACAGCAGCCAACAATACTGATTTCAAGGTCTTGCACCTTTCCTTTGCATCCTCATACATATCCAGGGGCACCCACCCATTTTCAGCCATGCCAAAGCCCATTTGTATTTCCTTCATGTGCCTGTCAGACTCTTCTTGCTCTTCATGTAGTTTGAGATACTTGTCGATTTCTGCTTGTTCGTAATTCAAAGGACATGAAGATCCAAAGGTTGCAAGTTCAGACTCCCTTAGAAGGAATGGCCACATTTGCCTTGCTGTCATCAGATCTATTTTCAGAGTGACATTAGTTCCCTCCCAAGGGGTTGAGGAGTGTTCAAAAAGTTTCTGCTTCAACACTATCATTGGATGCGTGCATATTCTAACATTATCCTTATTTAGCTCCTCTGATATGGACATATAGTGATAATGTGTATGACGTCGGCGATATAGCTCCATAGCAACATCCTGTTCATTGGAATTCAGCTGGTCAAAGTCTTTTTGGAGTTCAGGTTTAATACACTTTTCAGATTCTTCGTCTCCATAATTTTGGAAGTGCTTAGCAGGCTTTACCTGCAGAAAAAGAGGGAGAATCAAGCAATGCTGCCAGTCTATCAAGCCATTTATGGTAAAGGATTCAGAGATCAAGATATTATTAGGCTGAGGATCAGGATGCCGCAGGGTATGGCGGTTGAGATAGCTCTCTTGTGATGGTGCAAGATGCTTAGCAATCTTCAGATAGTTCTTAAGGTTCTCAATATGCTCTGCAGGTGAGACCTTTTCATAATTATAGGACTCTCTATACATAGGCTCAAGGGGATATCTAGGTTTGGCATATTTCTCTGCCCATAGGAGTTCTCTCTCTGCGCCGGCGCAAAGAATTTCTTCGGAGGTCTCGCCTATCAACACATCAGTCTCAGTCCGAACAAGAGAATAAGACAGCCCATACATGAGCCGCGATTAATCTGGAGCCCTGATCGTTCATCCAGCCACGCACGATCCTGCACATCGGGGCCAACGCAAAAGCCATCCCCAATCTCAGTTCGCTTCATTCTGGGATCTAGATCTTTTGCATAAAAGAGACTTCCGCTCGCCGGGAGAGGAATTGAAAACAGCCGTGCTTCCAAGGTCACAAGTTCACGAATCAGTTTGATTCGCTGGTCGTCAGTCATGGTGTACCAGACATCGCCCGCCTGCAGACCTTGCATCTTTTCCATTATGATATACTCCACGCCGACGTCATTCTTGTTTGTGGCAGAGTATGCAAAAACTTTGGGAGCTGGGACATTGTGCTGCCGCACAAAGTCCATTGTAGCAACTTCACTGGCTGTGGCATATTTCTTTGGAAGTGTAAAAGGGTATGGTAAGCGAGCAAGCACCTGCAGCCCATCATGCATGGAAATTTCAAAAATACGATTGAAGCCACCCTCAGCAAATTTTTTTATCCCAAAGACATCTTGCTCTTTGTGCCCAATGGCCTCCGCGGCAACGCGCTTCAATTGCTCAACATTGAAAGGCAGGCGACGCTCAGCAAGCCGAAGCTCTTCATTATAGCTTCACGACCAAACCGTCAAACATTGCGCAAACGAGAGAAATCAAAGAATCAAAGTCACTCACAGCCAGCGTCCGGAGGTGTAGTTGAATAGATCGTCTGGATCTCTTTGTTCTACCGCGGCACTAAAATACCTAACGCAGCAGCATGGAGACTTCTGTTTAACAAATGTAGTACCGCAATGGAGCAGCCGACTACCCCGTGCTAACATGATACAAAGTGGGCGAAGTGGACATCGGGAGTGGCGTTGCTCGAACTGGCTGGAGGTTGTAGTCGTGACTCCAGCAGCCGGAAAAACAAAGGCCCGTCCAGCGTCCCGTTGCCGACGGAGCCTCCCGTGCCGCCGGCAACCAAATGCCGCCGCGAAGCCCAACCACCGTCGACTTCCTAGTCAACAAGCTAACCAACAAAGCGACGTTGGGTGTCCCGCTCGATCCTTCACGGCTCCATCAGTCCAGCCAAGCTGTCATCTACTCGCAAGAACTGTCTCCATCGAACAAACCGCTGGCCCCTCTGTGGGCTCACCCATTATGTACAATTCTTCCTGGTGGAATCCTGCCCGATCAGTGCCCCAAACACCGCACAATCGTACGCACCCTGCGCTCGCTGTGGGGGGGCCGGACGGAGTCGAAGCGAAATCGCTAAGAGATCTGGCCAGACGTCATGCAGCGTTCTTTGGGGGCTGCTGATGCGGGGTTGGGGATGTGCCGCTATAATAATAATAATAATGATAATAATAGCAACAAGGTAGGTGCGTGGGTGATTGCGCTTGGGCAAGGGAGAGAGAGAGAGGAATGCCTGGATCAGTACGGAAGAATTGCCTTCTTTCGTTTAAGTGGAGCTTTGAACGGTCGGTTTCGTCCGCGAATTAATAATACATAGGCGTCTTAAGGACACGGTGGGCTGTAAGATCGAACAAAGGTAATCATTTCTGAATGGAGAAGGACTCGAATAATGATAGTCGACGGGGACCGTTGTTTCTTGCCCCGTCTCGGGAAAAGCCATTGATTCTTTTTCGGACCTCCTGGTCGAATTCGCCGCCGCCAATGCTTTTACTACGCTATTAGGAGTTGGGTTTACATACCTATTAAGCGAACTGATAGTTTGCTTGCCATGTTTCCATCTGGGGTAGTATGTTTGAGTCAAGTCTAGACCTGCAATGCACTGTCGGGCTGGATGGTCCTTGGTTTCCGAGCTGGCCCCATTGGAGTAACGACGGGAAGGATGCTTGCTACCCCGGTGGAAAGCTATCAAAACGGCCTAAGCGCCGGATCACACTGCATGCTTTGTTACGCCGCTGCTGCATATGGCGGGCAAATCGGTAGATGTGCAGGGGAAAGGGACTGGACAGGTAGATCTGGCTCATATCAATTCAGTTTGGATTCATATTCCTAGTCTGTATACACGCTCAATAGGAGGATGTTCAAAAGGAGGAGGATCCGATAATCAGATCCAAGAAAAAGTATTCGCCATAATAACAAGACTCGCGAATCGGATTAAAAAAGAATAAAAGCCAAACACACCGTGGGGCCAAGAAGACGCAAAAATCCATCTGTGCTCCGGATATTCCCAACCTGTGCCATGCAAAGTATAGTGATAAAAAACGAGTAGTGGCGCCGAAGGATCACACTTGCAAGAAACTAATACGAAGTAGCAGTATGTAAGAAAGCCTCCCTTTTTTACCCCCCTCCCAAGTTTTTTTTAACGTTCCAGGAACCATCCCGAGCCCACAACCCCCAAGGTAAACAAGACAAATAGTATATGCAAAAAAGGCCAAGTAGAGTACAGAGCAATATCCACAAAAGAAGAGAAAAGGACCGAAAAAAAAATAATAGTGTCAAATATAAACCACAAGTGAATAGAAAGACAGGTACATCAAAGGTCATAAAATCGTCATGCATGAAGCACACAGGTTTGAACAAAAGGCATAGAGGCACAACGAGTTTGGAGGGGGTATATTCGAGCGGCAAATAAAAAAACAATTCGACCGTGCGTCGTTAGTGGAGACGGCGGGCATGGAGCGGGAGAAAAGGATGGGTTTAGGTAAGAGAAGCGGAAAAGGAAAGGGGGAAGTGTAGATCGTAAGAATTTCATCAGCTCACAACAGCCTTAATCTTCGAGCTCTGAGTCCAAGCCAGGAAATCAAACTTGTCCTTGGAATTGTCGCGCGAAAACAACGAGAAGGCATTGTTCCCGCCATGGTGGTGATTATTGTGATGCTGCTGCGGCTGACGATTATTCATCGCCGCCGCGTCGCCCGGTGAGTTGCGCTGCGTCGATCGCTCGCGCGGCTCCAAAATCAGCGATCGCCGGTAATAATCTCGGACCCCCTTTTCGCCTGCTGCTGATCGCACGCGCACCAGCTGGTCCTGGATCCACGTCTGCAGCTCAGGCACCTCCGTCAATCGGTAGGGAATCTGGAAACGCTGCAGCTCGCTGATGATCCGCGCAGTCTTCATATGCTTGTCAAAATTGATGACCTCGATGGACGCACCGCCGGGCACTGCGAGGGTACGGGTGTCCTGGTTGCCGTGGTCGACGAAGGTGAGGTCGGTTAGGTAGGTACCGACGAAGGGTAGGCAGGGCGGGACGTGGTTCTGGATGCGGTGACGGAGGACGGCATAGTTGCGAGAGACATCGACAATTTCGCGAAGGGTCTCGAGCGTGTTCTTAGTTTTCTGTGAGAGGAGTTCCCAGGTGCGCTTGAGCCGCGCGATCGTAGACGAGTTGAGCGAGCAGATGATAGCCATCAGACTGTCATAATTATTGAGTTCCAAGCACTTGGTCGCAATCTTGACCCACTGTTTGATAACAGCAGCCCGCTTCTTGGGCTCTTCTAATTGCAACACGGTATCTGCAACAAGATTGGCAAGGTCGGTGGATAGCGTGGACATAGCGCGAACATTGACAGCCAAAGAGCCGGTCTTCTTCATCCATTCAGTGCCCAACAGCTCTTCAGGCAAAATCGAGCAGAATATCCTCGATTCTTTTAACGTAATCTGCCGAGCCAGTTCCATGGGGTCGAAATCCAAAATCGTCAAGTTCTGCCCTCCATTTCTCCACTGCTTCAGCAGATTCAACTGACTCTTCGAAATAATCGGCGCTGGCAAGGGCTGATCGGGATTAACATATTGCGCCATCGCGGTGTTCGTCTTGCCTATCGAAGACACCAGTCTGGGAACAAGCGGTCCATGAAGATCCGACACCTTCTCGACGAGCTCAACGAGCCGTTTTCCAGCAGTAGGCAGAGTGGCCATGAGCCGGTTGCGCGCAAAGCTCAAGATACACGGAAGGGCGATGTCATCACAATCGTGGCGCCAATGGGCTTCCAGCCATCCTTTAAAGATATTCGAAACACGTAATCGAACCGCCCCGCCAGCGCTAGGGTTGTCGCCGATGTAATCATATCGATCGATCAGCGCCTCAGCAAACTCAAGCGGAGAAGCGAAGTGTCGGAAGGTCAGGTAGAAAGTCGAGACAAATAGCACATCGGGGGTCGACTCATGGGCGGTAAGTTTCTCGATGAGCGCCCTGAGGCTGCCGCCAATGACTTGACCATCCTTGAATTTGAGTTCATGTGCGTACGTCTTCTCAAGGATGCACTCCTCGCTTTCTTCGCCTTCGTCTCCGCAGCTGGTATCTGCACAAACGACATCATCCTTCAAAGGAGGGGGTGGGGCGAGGCCAGTGCCGATCGGCGTGGATGGAAGAGTCAAGTCGTCAGCGACAGTCACCGATTCAGAATCCACGGTACTATCGACGCAGGTCCGCTCGCTCTGCGCGCTCTCAAGGCCGCGAGCTGGTTCTTCCTGAGTCTCCAGCTCCTCTTGGATTCTGGGGTGTCTGTAGATAGCGAGTTCATGGTGATTTTTCGATTCAACGTGTGTGAGGAGAGAGTCGTTCGGGTCAGAGTAAGTGGAGAGAACCGAGCTAAAGGGCTCGTCAAGGGTAGAAGTTGGAGTGTGAATAGTTGGAGCGACATAGCTGGAGGAAGGCGTCGTGCCGCCATCAGTAGTCAGCGAAGGCGTCAAGGATATCGTCGACAGAGAGCACCCGGGAATCTGTAGTGGAGGAGGCAGTCTGGCGTCACGAGATTTCGTAGGCACAACCGATTCCTGACTCGGGGAGCCATCGATTCTGGGCATGTTCTGAGGCAAAGCATCTCCGAAGCCCGGAGGAGGCGGTGTACCGGGCTTCCCAGAGTCGGACATCGAGATGCCCAGGCCAATTTCATTAATTTCAAAATCCCCTGCTTGTTCCAAGACTTGTCGGGCTTTGGCAACGCAATCGCCAGCTCCACGTACGCAGAAAGTGGCGGCGTCGACTAAGCGTTTCCCTTCGTTCGGCATGAATATCGTCTCGTCGTCACCGTCGTGTGCAGGCTGAAAGGTATCTCTAGCGGCATGGACAAGAGCTTCGATCCGCTCGTACATGGCATCCTTAGACTTCTCCAGGACATCTGATCGATGGAAGTCGTGTTCCCAGACCGCCTCGACGACGCATAGGAGCACGCGGCACGACTGCACAGCTTGGCGCGTCGTCATGATAAGTTCCGTTGAGGATCGAGACTGCAGGTGGTTTCCGAGGAAAACCCCGAGCAGGCCCAAAAAGTCGTCGATGGCGGCTGTCAGGCGCTCGCTGGCCAAGTTCGGATTCTGGGCAATGGAGGAATTCCCCGTGTAGGACATCCTGTGAGAGACAGAGGCACGCTTCTGGATACCGGAGTGTCTGACTCGGCTGGCAGTGTCATGGTAGGAGAGCTGGGAGGTTGCACGCGAACTCAGCGATATATTACTTCGGGTCCGGCTCCCGATGCGCGAGGCGCCGCTGACGGAGGATGCCGGCGTGCTGGCTTGGGTCGAGCCCCAGGTGCTGCTTGATAGGTTGAAGGAGCCATCGACGGGGGGTGTCAGTGGTTCATCGTACATGCGAGACAGGGAGTCGCCGGGACTAATCTCTGAGATTATTCTTGATAGGCCAACCTCCTCGTTCCACACGTCCAGAAAACGCACACCACGTGTAACGATTCTGAATGCCTTAAAGAGCATCTGATCAAACACGGCATCAAGAGGGTCGTCGAGCGGCGCGCCATTGGCGATATCGCGCAGATTCTTCGCCATTTTCGCCAGCGACGATAGATCGGAGAGCAGAGCTTTCCGATTCCTGCGCAGGCCAACCAGCCTCAGAACCAAGTCATCTTCTCTTTTTAAACACTCAGATTGTTCCTAGTCTCGTTAGATTTTTTCGTTTGGCAAAATATTGAAAGAATGTATACATACTAAAAGGAAGCGAACCCCGGCAATGATGCCTCGCATATAGTCCTGGTTGCCGAAGCGGTGCAGTGTGGCACATGATCCCGCGCGAATGACATCCCAGAAATCCATCAGGGCCTTGAGCAAGGGCCGCATCAACTGTTGGTCATAGGCCTCGCAGTAATTCGTCGGCAGCCAACCTCGCGACCCGGTGTCCAAGAGGGTGCCATCAGCCCAGCCGTTAGTATGCACAGAATGTACCAGCACCAAATCACCTTGATCCAACGGCAGCGTCACGGTGGCGGAAGACAGAGGTGCGCCGGGACGGAAGGGATAGAAGGCGCGGAGATAGTTCGGAAAGGGGGTTCTGTCCTGATTTTGACGGTCCACCATTTCCTCTCGGGAACTGTGGGGCGTCAGCGGCGGAGTCATTCTTAATTGCGTTTTCAGAGCGGAGATTAAACGCTGGTTGGAAGCGGCACGGGAGGAGAATGATCCATTTCGGTGAGCAGAATGGTTTTTGACCTGCGAGAAGTTCAGAGGCGCGATATACTCAGGTCGGTCTTCCATAGTGAATTGTGTTACGCGTGCAGCAGGGGAGTGAGTTCCCTTCTCAATAGCTCGTGTAGTATACCGGGTCAGAATGCTAACATGATCAATCGCGTCAAATTTTTGCAGTAGGGACCGACAGATGGATGCCGTCTAGAGCGGCTATTGCGATTGCAAGTAGAAGACTATAGACCGGTCTGGTTAGCATGTTCTGAAGGCCATGGTTACCCACCAACGGATATAGAACAGTCGTCGAGGACAGCCGCCAGCACATACCACAGCAACCACGTCACACAAGCAGGAATTCCAGAGAGATGAGGCGTCTTGCAGCTCCCGCGCTCGACGTATAGATGGCCGTTCAAAAAAAAAAATAGGAAAAGAATCCTCAGCTCCGGTAGGTATAGAGTGTATGTATGCAGCAGAACAGCAAAGCAGCTCGCAGAGCCGGCACCAATGAAGCGTGCTTCGGCGGGATATTGGACTGATAGTAAGCAGCAGGGGATACTCCTCGGGTTTGTGGACAGCAAATGGGTATGATGCGTCCCGGGGGGTGGTGAGCAAACAGACGAGGATGAGCAACGGCACAGCACCGGCTTGCCAGAGGAGAAGGAAGGGATATGCCGGCCACGGGTCAACAAAACACAGTAGTAGGGGTAGTAATGGAGGAGAGAAAGAGTAGGGAGGTGAGAGAGAAAGAAGAAGAGAGAAAGCAAGAGATTGGCAGACTGTTCTCTCCCAGAACGACGGGCAGGGCAGTGGAGCAGACGGGCGAGCTAGAGCAGGGCGGCGCGGAAGGCAAAAGACGAGAGCGAGCGAAGGGGGGGCGCATCATCGTGTGCCGGACTGGAGACCGTTGACAGGCAAAAAGCAAAAGCCAAAGCAAAGCAAAGCCAGAGCCAGGGGGGGCCGGGCAGGCGACAGAGTTCCAACGGTACGTGATAGCGTGCGTTCCGACGGGCAAGGTTTCTGGACCGTCACATCACGGGCGTTCATCTTATTATTATTATTATTATGACTTGGGTTAGGTTATTCGGGCCCACCAGAGGGATCGTGACAGCGACGGTGATTCATATTAATTCTGACTGCGGCAGTTCCTTCTGGCCCTCGCTTGTGCTCTTGTCCCGTCGGCTTGTCTGCTGTGCCTGCGTCGCGGAGTCAGCGGCCGTGCGGTGCGCAGACAGCACGAATCGAGGCTGCAGGGAAACTCCGCGCGTCGTCTTGGATGGCGCCACCCCCCCACTTTCCGGCTGCCGTCCGTGTCGTCACAGGGATGCACTCGGGCGAGTTGGCGGGCGGTGATGGTGGTGTGGTGGTGGTGATGGTAGTGGAGCGAACAGGAGGAGGATAGCGAGGATGGGATGGAGTCGGGGTTACCTATTACGGCATCTCCATCTCTCTCTCTCTCTCTCTCCATCTCGCCGCCTCTCTCTGTCTTCTACGCGCGCTCTCTCTCTCTACGGAGTACAGCCTACGAACTTCTTCTCTCTGCACGCTCTGGCCACCATCCCGGCTGCCGCCAAACCTTGCCTGAGCTTAGCGCTGCCGAACCAGTCACCTCCCGCGCCCTCGCGACCTGAGCCATCACCGCCCACCGCATCATCCATCCAACTTCACGCCCTCTCTCACCCTCTCTTTCTCTCTCTCCCCAAGCCCTCGCCGCGACGTAGCAGCAGCGGCGGCACTCCAGTCGCATCCACGGCTGCTCCGCGCCCACCAGCTGTTGATCGGCACGATGGCGTTTTGAGACCTGAACCCACTTCGCCGCCCGGGCTCGCAATCTCTCCCTCGTCGCTCTTGCGTTCATTTGCCCTAACTCTCGCAACAGAGTTCAACGGTGGCTACTTAAACCCTTTGCCCGTCGAAGCAAAACCATCCCCTCGGTTAACCCGGGGCCTGGCGAGCTCGAAAGAGCACCTCCCGCCGGGTAGTTCTGTCTGTCACCTTCCCTTTCGCGACAGGCCCCAGTGTGTGTGTGTGTGCGTGTGGGTGTGTACACCGAATGTATGACTATATGTAGTGTGCGTGCAGGATGCAGTGGATTGGCAACATGTCCGCTGTAGCAACTCTATCCCGCCGGCTGGACGATGCCTACTGGTCGAACTGAAAAGCGACACGGAGCTTCTTCGTGCATGCATCACCAGCCGATCACCAGACGCCCATCCGCGCTGATCGCGGGTATCCCCCATACAGCCCTTTTTTTTTCTTGTTTTCTGGAAGCGCAGCACTGACAGAACGCCAGCCGGCTCTGCTGACCAGCTGTTGGACTGGTATCCCCTTCTGCCAACTTCACGGCCAGAGACACCTTATCCACGGGACCAGCTGGTTAGTTGGCGCGCCGTCTAGAAAGCTCCAGCTAGCAGAACCCACACGATCTCCCGGGTCTGGCTTGTGTTGTTCGCCTCGCGGAGACTGTTTTGCAGTTTTGGCTGGTAAGCCCAAATGTTAATTTTCCGCTCGGTGGGTTGTATCTCTGCTTCTCGAAAAGAAGAAGCACGATAAACCACCATTGGAGCAAAGAGGAAGAAAAATGGGGCCGGGGCAACATCAAGCATGCGCCCACGATCGTAAAAGCCCCGAAGCGGCCTCCACTTTTCACGACTCTCCCCCGTATTTGAACTCGCCTAAAGCCCGAACGAGATAGCGTGGGAAGCAGCTGCACCAGCAGCAGCAACAGCCGCTTTGTTAACACTAGAGCATTAGAGCTATTTAGTTTCCGCCAACGCGGTACCCGGGTCGTGGCCAATCCTCGCAAGCGAGCTGAGCTGAGCTCTCACGGTGTGCGTGTGTGTGTTGCCGGAGGGCTGAAAAGACTTCCGTAGCCGGTCATTATGTTATCGATTATGATTTCCCGTAACCAGCCCAGGAGATTTTGATACAGGGACTGCGCCAGATGAACCGGTGGGGGGAAGGAGGGGAGCCCGAGGGAGGGAGTCTTCCTCCAATGAGCGACCCGGCAGCCCCAGACAAGCTTTGGGCTCAGACAGCGAGCGGACAGCTTTTTACCCTTCGTTCATTTCGCCCGCTAGGTCTTTTGGCGGTTTTGACTTCGCCCGGACACCCGGCGGTGCGGGCAAGACACGATAATAACAGATTCAGTGAATCAAGTATCAATAATGGCTTTGTGACGTGAGGCTCTTTCGTTTCATGGGGGCATCTCAGGGGGATGCATATTCGGCATTGACACAGCACCTTAACAGCGCGCCGGTATTGATACATCATTCGTGCGAGGTAAGATTGCACATAACTAGACATATTCCTCTCTTCCTTTATGCGCAGCGAAATGAAAGGGCCGCTTCTTTTGGCCTCACGATCTCCCCCCCGATGCGGCGTTCCGATACACAACCAGCCAGAGAGACCGGTTTCACCGCGCCTGAAGCGGGCAGATATGCCACTGCCAATGCCCGGTCGATCCGGACAAGACTCCAAATGGGAAAAACAGCCGCAAGATAGGGAGTCATAGATGAAATTCTGCCAAATTTTTTCGCTACCGATTGACAGGCGAGCACACACAAGGAAGAAGACTAGAAGAATGCAGTAACCAGTCTGGCAAACTCCCCGATAAACTCTCCCGTTTCTTGCTTTACCACTTGAGCGCGCTCTTGTCGCGATAGGGTTATGCTTTGCACCAAGAGCCAAAGTTCCTCCAATGCCAGCACACGGACGCTTTGTCCGTCTTGGCCCTGACAACTCTCCCCCCCTTTTCTTCTGTTTGGGTCGGTTGTGGCCCCTTTTTCGACGATTGGTAACTCAGGGTTTCACGACCTTAGACTTTCATCCCGATGGCGCTGCGCCGTCCAACTGGGACAGGGCAAACCGTCTGTCAAAAGAACAACCGAAAAGTGCCCGGTTTAAAACACACGCTTTCCAGGGTCGCTCGTTGGATCGCCTAGAAAAACCTCCTGAGGGCAAACATACACAAAGTGCGAAGTATGTTTGTGCAAGCATTTGGATTGGCATCACGATTCTCGCCCTACGATGGATCCTTGACAAGCCAAAAAAAAAAAAAAAAAATAAGCAAAACAGGCTTGTCTAAAAAACAAAATTTTATTACATCACATCGCGCGCATTTCGACTTCCATGTGTTGCTCGAGAGCCGCTCACTCCCCCCGCCGGGGTCTTGGAACAAGCATCTGTGTTGGGGTTTGAAATTGGAAAGAAACCGGCGCTCAGAGACAGGGTTAGCGGGGGGCCCTGTTAGGGCCGATAATGATAATGACGATGCCGCTCGCGTTCTTGTTGTTACTGTTGGCTGAGTGACCGTTAACCTCTGGCGGTTAGCTACGCAGCTAGCTAACCTTGCCGCGATCACAAGATCACCTCCAGGGTTCCCGCCCGGCGGCGAGGGTTGTCTTGCAGCGGGATCCCTGCTTGGTGCATTTGCCTGGACTCCCCCTCCCCCAACACGTGCGAATCAATCCATTAAATTTTTTCTCTCTCTCTCTCTCTCTTTCTCGCGCGCACGGCCGTGCATGCGTAGGGCGGACATTTTTCGGGTTCAGCTTCAGCCAGGTCTAGACCTCGCTGCGCGAGGGGGAGCGTGAGTGCAATTAAAATGATTCAAAATGAAAAATGAGTCGGCAGACCTGTCGAGTCGATGCTCTGTGTGACCCGCCGACAGCCCGTGTGTTCCCCGGCCTTCCGTTGCTCCGTAGCATCGTACGGTGGGAGTGTAGGGGCGGGCGTGAGTTCTGCGATGATTATTAGACCTACTTACTGCTACCACCGCAAGGAAAGGCCCGGGCCTAGGGGGAATGGGAGATTGCTTCGGGCTATTATCCCGTCCCGATGTAATATTATTCTGATTGTGTGTTCCAGAGTACGGAGTATGATCGTGCCTGGTGGCGAACGAACCCACCAGGGAAGATGCGTAGATTACGCCGAGCAGGGCTTTGCCTGTGAGAGAAGGCGGTTCGAGAAGGAGAAGAAAAAACGCCCTTCAGTGCGCCTGTTCGTGTTTGTTCCGCTGTTCGGCCATGTCCCTGTGGTGACGGTGGTTGGATTGCGACGATCAGTTGGTTTTTTTTTTTTTTTTGACATCTGAAAACCGGTAGCATGTGCTATGAAACATCGTCGCTGGGCGATGGACATCACGGAGGGAGCAGCCCTTGTCGAGTTAGTTACCTAGTCAGTCAGCGATCTTGTCGGCCACGCGAACATCGGCCGTTTGGCCATGGCCAGGCTGGCTGGGGCCTTTCCACGCGGGCATCGAGCTGCGGCGACGATGATGATGATGATGATTACTTTTATCCGATCAGCGCTTCCTTTCCTGTTCATGTCGGGATGTCTCAGACAGGCGGTGAATTATTTCATCCTTCCAGCCCAAGCCGGCTTGTCAGTTTCGTTTCAGGACCCTATTCATCCTACGACCCGTTTTTTCGGTAGATTCCGTAGGATTCCGTCCCGTCGAAGCACAGCACTGGGGAGGGGCGCTTGTATATATAGATCTGCAAACCTATCGTCAACACCATCTGCGCTGGCTTCGGGGGAGGGGATTCTAGATGGCGAGAGACCAAGCAGGGCAAGACTTCGGAAATATCCGCGAAACACATAACAACACCGGCGCCGGACGCACAAGGGGGAGGACGGGCGGGTGAAATGACGATGCGTCAAACGGGCGACAACGGGGGCCCGCTCGGCCGGTGCGGCCATAGCGTCTATACAGAAAAGAATCATCATTCATGCCTGACGAACTACTGACTCGCGCGCAAACAAACCGGGCGCGACGCAGCGTGATTGCGCCACGCGTGGGTGCGCTGGGCAGCCATCACTGATACTATATAAGTACTCCGGACTCCGGACTCTCGTATGGAGCGCGTGCAAGCTGGCGATCGACGGCCCGGGGGCGATGTGATGAGCACGCAGGCTCACGCAGGGTGCCTAGGACCCCTGGCGCAGACTCTTGGACAAAGCGCTGGGCGGGTAGGCGGGCGGTTGCGCGCCGGGCCGTTGGCGGCGACATGTATATCAAATAATAATAATAATAATGGCGAAGTGATAAGCTGCGAGCGAGGGAGCTGGAGGGGAGGCTGTTGAGCGGAGTGGTGGTGGTGGTGGGGATGGAGAGCGGTGGGAGACGAGAGCAGCGCGAGACGGGCGGGCGGTTTGCTGCTCTGGAGGCTGCTGTTTGCCCGAAGCAAGCTGTTGGATGACGGCTCCAGAGTCGCGATATCCCATCATCAGCGTGTCTGCCATCTCTCTCTCTCTCGCTCGCTCTGCTGCGCCGCCTCCGTCGCTGAGACACCAATCACGCCGCCTGCCTGCTCGTGTTCGCCCGTCTGCTCTTCTTCGCCTCTTCTCACTTCTTCTCTCTCTCTCTATCACGCTCTTTCCACTCTCTTCCCTCTCTCCCTCTCTTCCCTCTCTTCCATCCGCCTGTCGCTCGTTTCGCCATGGTTGCCGCCCCCGAGCCCGCGCCCAGCGCCCACCCCGACACCATCACCTTCACCGTCAACCCGCGCACGCTGTCCATGGACGAGAAGGCCGCGCCAGCAACCTCCACCACCACCACCACTACCACCGCTGCCGCTGCTGTCCCCGCTGCTGCTGCGGCTCGCGGCTCTGAAGCCCCCGCCAACCCCGTCTCCGTGCGCGCGGTGGGCTCCCACGTCGCCGCCGCGCCGCTGGGCATCACGCTGGTCCACGCGGCCGTCGCCGTCAGCAGCATCGTCGCCGTGATCCTGCTGGCCGTGGCCATCAGCAAGGAGACCGGCAGCGACCGCCGCGGCTACTACAGCGGCCTGCCCTACGTGCCCATCGCCACGGTACACCCCCTCTCCTCGAATATACTCTTCATATTTGACCGTCGCCCGCTGACTCCCTCGCAGGTCTGCCTCAGCGCGCTGTGGGCGCTCGTCGCGCTGGCCATCACGCGGCTCGCCCGCTCGCGCCTGCACCCGGCCTTCTACGTCGCCTTCGACCTGCTGCTGTGGCTCTCGCTCATCAGCATCTCCGCCTGCCTGCTGGCCATCATCGGCGCCGTCGACGACTACGCCTGCCAGTACCCGAGCTCCTCGCGCCGCCGCCGCTGCTACGCCGAGTTCGCGCTCTCCTACCGCCTGCAGCTCGCCGCCAACGTGCTCGCCGTGCTCAGCGGGTAAGTCTTTCTCCAGCTCTCCCTGGCCGCCGCCGCGCACAGACCCCAGTAGTTCTGTAGTTTCTGACTCGCTGGCGCCCCGCCGGTTCTAGAATCGGCCATTTTGGCATCTTCGTCTGGGGCTGCAAGGCCGTGCACAGTCTCAACAGCCACGCCCGCTTCGAGGTCACCATCAACGTGAATGGCTTGACCGCCGCGCAGGCCGCCCAGCCGGCTCCTCTGCCTGCCCCCGGCGCACCTCCTCCCGCTGCTGCTGCTGCTGCTGCTGCTGCTCCGGCGCATGTCAGCTACGCGTAAAACAATCCCCCAAGCTCTCCCACCTCCAAGATACCCGACTCATTCGTCACGCCCTTTTTTTTGTCTCATTCCTTCTATTCTTGTCTGGATACTTTGTTTGTTTTTGTAACCTGTACATTGCTTTTACTTTTGCATTCTTCGTCCGCACTCCCCCATCCAATAACCATCATCTGTGTATTAGCATATCTTTTCTTATCTTCTTCTTGTCTTTTCTTTTTTTTCCCTTGAAAGTTCCCTCCGAGAGTCCTCCGTACATAAGGCAAAAAAAAAAAACCCTGTGATGATACCCTCCCCACGCCCACCCCCCACCCCCGTATCACAATAGTAATGACATATCATAATGCACAACCCGACATGCAATGAAACTCTGTTTTATGACTTGTACTCATGCACGCCGAGTTCTTCAAGGCCAAACAAAAAACCACTGTAAGGCCAAGATGGGGAAACTCCATCGGCTAGCTAACTCTCTCTTGCATGTGCATGCATGCATGCATGCATCACGTATAGCTACGGCTGCTAGGACGGTCTGGAACATCGAGGGATATTTTGAACTTGCATGCAAAGTCCCTCTTAGTTTATGGAGTGAATCCATAATAATAATAATAATAATAATAATAATAATAATAATCAATAGGGCTATAGAAGCAAGAGACTGTCCCCACGAACAAGAAAAAAAAAAAATTCCAAAAAGTGAACATGTCTCAACTGCGCACAAGTCAAAGCGTCATATCTCCCCACCGCCCACCCAACAAAAAAAAAAAAAAAAAAAATTGGGATCAAAGAAGATTTTTGTTTTTTTAAATATTTGATTAGCAATATTTTGTGTGGTCAATAGAAGTCTTAAGCAGCACAAAGCAAAACTGTACAATCCTGCAGCTCCAAAATTCTTTTTTTCCAAAGTAACGACATGTAAAGAAGAGTTAATATATGTGAGAGTGTATGTAAACAGAGACAAAATTCCCCCCGCCCTAGCGCCAACAAAATACATTTAAATCACACGAGAAAAGAGAGAGAACGATAACTATTAAAAAGCTGGGGGTAATCACAGCAAAAACAAAAAAAAGACAACAGCCAAACTTATATGTATAGATACACGCAAAACAGACCAAAAAAAGAGATCAAAAAACTAGAACCAGAACCAGAGCCAGACCAAAATACCAATTAGATATTAACCCCCATTTTTTTTTACCCATTTTCTCTGTTTGCCTTCAGCATTCTGGTTCTGTTCCACAAAAACATTAAAAGATAATCAGGCCATGGGGTGTGACCCAGGCAGTTTTAACTGTGTTTTCCCCTCTTTCCCGTTGTTGTTTTTTTTTTTCCCCCTGCAAGAGACTGACCAACGCACACATAAACACACACACGTACAGCGGATAGACATACAAAAACAAAAACAGAAAAAAAGAGAGTTGGAGAGTGGCTGGTGAGGGAGGACAAATGATGGAGTTAAGGTGGGCGGTCTTTTCGTTTCGTGAGGTAAGTAGGTAGGAAGGAGGGCGGGCATCAGATGATGGTGGGTGTGTTTCGGTGCAGGTATAAAACCCAGAGACAGATGTAGAGATCAAAGGTCAACGGTGCGGGGGCGGGAGGTAGATATCCGTGAGGACTTCAGTGTCGAAAAAAAAGTCTTGAAACAGAGTAATAATAAAAGGAGGGTAAAAAAAAAAAATCCAATCCAATCCAATCCCAACCAACAGCAACCAAAGAAAAAGAGAGAGGCGTATGTTTCGTGTCCATGCAATGAGGGCGAGAAAAAACAAGTCCAAAAGAATGATCTCCCCAGGGCTTGCGAGAGGAGAGAGAGGGGGGGTCGTCGTGAGATTCGCGCGGAAATTAAACGAATGGGGGGGGGGGAAGGAGGGCTTTTTGTGCTGCATATACATATATCGGAGAGAGGGCAAAAAATAGAGAAATGCAGAGAACTTGTAGTGGTATTGCGCCGTACCAAGGGGGCGCCATCAGGTAACCCCTGGGGAAAAAGGGGGGTATAATCGAGTCAGTCTAATATCTTTTTTCTTCTTCAGTCTTTCATCTTCCGCCACAGTAAAATCCAATTATGATTAATTCCTTATATTCCATGGAGTCTCTTTTCCTCGTGTATTTTCTTTCTATATCCCAATATCAAATCACCCCATGCCCATGCCCACACCCACCACGCCGATGCGCGGCACGGGCTTGCGCTTCGAATTATCCGGCGCTTTCGGGATGCGCGGCACGCCCTGGATCATGCGCGGCTCTTTCATATAATTCGGGTCCAGCTTCGCCGGCACTAATCAAACCACCCCCAGTCAGCACACATCCATACCCCCCCCCATCAGAATCTTCCCACCCCTTTATTCCTTTCTACTCACCTCTCGTCACAATACTCTTCCAGTCGCCCGAGACGGAGATCTCGCGGCGGCCATGGGCGGCGAACGGCGACGCGCTGGCCGACCGCCACAGGTGGTTGGACGTGTCGGACAGGAAGTCGGTGGTCATGCGGCCCGAGAAGATCGACGACCGCCCGCGGTTGCGCTTCGACAGGATGATCTCGTCGAACAGCACGATGCGCGGGTCCTTGGCCTTGGGGTCCACGCGCTCGCGCTCGCCGATGAACTCGTTGAAGCCTGGTCGTCCTCGGTCGTCAGCATAAGCATAGATAATAGATAATTAAAAAAAAAAAAAAAAAAAATAAGGGGAGGGCACGGCTCACCCTGCGTCTGCTGCAGCACGGCCATGTACTCCGCATGCTCATGCGGCAAGCTCTTCAGAAACGCATCCATATGGAAACTATTGGTCAGGCCGGCCTTCTTCTTATCGCCGGTGGCGGGGCGCATGAACTTCTTGTACGTGTACAGCAGGCTGGCGAAGCAGCGCACGAACGCCGCGCGGATCTGGTTGGGGTGGAACGCCACGCCGCACGGCAGGCAGATGTGCGCCGCGCACCGGCCGTGCACCACCAGCTTGCAGCCCGAGCACCGGTACATGGCGTCCTCGGCCTTCTCGTCGCAGATCGTGCACACGCCCGCCGCGTCGACCTGCTGCTGCTGCTGTAGCTGCAGGCAGTGCGCCTCGACCAGCGTGCTGCCCACCGGGTTGCGCATCGGCTGCGGGAACGCGTGCGGCATGATTGTCGACGCCGCGATGGTCGACTGCGCGTACACGGACGGCGCGTACACCGAGGCGTTGTACTCGTTGCCCGTCGTCGACACGGACAGGTTGTACGAGTGGCCGAGGAAGGGCACGCTGGGCCGTCGCGAGACGCCGGGTCGTCGATCGACGGCCATGGACGAGCTTCGTCGGGAGGCGGTGTCGAAATGCGCCGAGCGCTTCTCGCGAAGGGACGCTTGCAGGGCGAACCCGGAGTCGTTTCGGGACACCGGCGTCGTCGGCAGCGGCGGGAATTTGCTCGACGTGGGCGACGTCCGGGGAGACGGCGGCGTGCTGGCCTTTGAGCGCGAGCTGGTGGTCGGCCGATCGTTGCCGCGGGAGTACGCCAGGTCGGTATGGGCGATTGAAAAGACGTTGAAAACGGGCGGCGGCGGCGCAACGTATGCGTCTTGGCCGAAGGAGCCGGAGCTCAAGTTGACGTATTTTGAGAGGTGGGTGGGAGGCGCCTTGGGGGAATAGAGGGATGGGGTTTCGGCGCCCATGGCGTCAAAGGGGTACGTTTCAATGGCGTAGGCGGGCGGGCCAGGCCGCACACCGAACCGGTACAGCGGAGCGGCGAGTTGGAGGAGAGACTGCAATTTCCGGCGTTGATGGCGAGGCAGCGGGGTGGGTCTTTGAGTGCTCTCGATGACATCCTGGTCGAGGTCGACAAGAACGAAGTCGTCGGAGGGCAGCTCCAAATTTTCATATCGGCGCTCCACGCCGACGATATACGGGCATGGTGCTTCTACGGCTTGCAGGAGGCGGGCGGGGAGAATAGGAATGAACACGCCGGTCCATTGGAACGGGAAAAGGAGTTCTGTGATGGCTCTGCTGACAAGATTCAGCATCGCAGTATGGGACGAGAGGAGGATGATGCGGGATTCGGCGAGTAGGTACTGGAAACGAGATTAGCTAGTGCCTTCGCGGGGGATTTCGGGAAAGTATACTTCAAAGAGGATGATGATATTAGAGATAGAAAGGGCACGGAAGAGGGGATATAAGTCAGTCTGCAACAGTTAGCAACGCTCCCGTCAAAAAAAAAAAAAAAAAAAAAAAAAAAGGATAATACGCCATACATTGCGGGCACTGGGCAGCTCATTCGCGGCCTCCTTGCGAGCAAACAGGCGCAGCTCTCGAACCGAGATCTCGACCTGAGTCTTGGACGACAGCGGGCTAAAGGCCTCGACGCACAGATTCACGACATATCGCTCCAGCGGCTGCCAGCGGCCGACTCGCGGCGAGGTCGGCGGAACCCTTGACACGGCGCCGTCCATCATGGGCACGGTGATGGCGCGCAGCCACTCCTTCCAGAAGGTGGTCATGGAGGCATCGCGGCCCATGATGCCGTAGGCCCGGGGGATCCAGAAGCCGGTGTCGCCGTCGGTCAGGCCGTCGATCTTGGAGGCGGCGCCGTGACGCACGGGCCGCAGGAGGTCGGCCATGAGGCCGATCTTCTCCTCGACGGCGCTGATTTCGTCCTCGAGCTGGTCGCGGGCGGCCGAGCCGGAGGGCACGGTGGGCAGCTGGGCGAGCAGGCGCGAGAGCTTTGCGCGCTCGGAGCCGAGGCGCTCGCCCAGGCTGGCGGCCAGCTCGCGCTCCTCCTCGGTCATGTTGTCGCGGCGCCACTCCTCGCAGCGCTTCTCGAGCTCCTCGGCGGCGCGGTTGCTGAGCGGGATCCAGATGACGACACACACGCCGTGCAGCTTCGAGCCGTCGCCGCCGGTCATGGCGAAGCCGTGCCAGGTGGATCGCGGGCGCTGGTCGGACGAGACGATGTTGATATCATTGGGGAAGGCGAACATGGGCACGTAGTCGGGGAACTTGCCGCGGCGCTGGCCCTCGTCGGGGGCGCCCTTGGGGGGGTAGCGGTCGAGGAGGACGGGCTCGAAGCGGCGCTTGAGCGGGTGCATGTTGGGGGTGACCTCCAGGGGCTGGGGGGTGGGGATGACGGAATTGTAGTTGCTCAGGCGGCGGGAGGTGCGAATGGACGCTGGAGGAGGAGGAGGAGGGACAGTGAGCGTTAGCCCGCCACGTCTGCAGACCTGGGCGTAGGAGTACTCACCTTGACGGGCCAGGGACGGCTGGCGCTTCAGGCTGGTCATGTCGCGGAAGGACATGTGCCGTCGCACGCTGCCGATGCTGGACTTCAGGGGGTTGGGGCTCATGTCTTCGGGCACGATCTTCTGGGTGCGCGGGCGGGGCCGGGCAGGCTTGGGGGTGACGACGGCGCCGGCGCTGAGGTTCAGGTCGGACAGGAAGGAGTCGCGCTCGGCGGCGAATTTGCGCAGGGCGTTGTCGAAGTCGACGTCGTTGAGCAGGGCGACGCGGTTGGGGGCGGCGGGCTTGATGGTCATGCTGCTGCGGTTGCTGTGGGTGGTGCCGTTGGTATCGGGGGAGGTGTCAGCGGCGGCGAAGGACTGGAAGGACAGGCGGTGGGCGTCGGGCGGCAGGGCACGGCGGGCAGCGTGCTCGGCCTCCTCGGCGGCGGCATCTTCCTCAATGGTGTCGGCGATGGGCAGGGACGGGGAGGAGTACTCGTCGCCCAGCTTGCGGAAGATGTCGATGATCTCGGAGCCGTCGACGCCGGCGATCCAGAAGAAGTCGGCGAGGGGCGCGGAGTGCGGGTCGACGGCGGCGGTGGCGAGGGGGGCCATGGTGAGGAGGTGGAAGAGGGAGAGGGAGAGGGAGAGGGAGAGGGAGAGGGAGAGGGAGAGGAGAGAGAGGCGAGAGAGAAGGCAGTGGTGATGGTGGTGCGCGAGGCCAGGCTCAGGGCGGTGGGCGGCTTAGGCGGTCGGAGGGTCCCCGCAGCGACGCACGCTCGGGGCATGCACAGCGCGCGTCGCGGGCCCGGGCATGGGCGGGCCAAAAGGGGGAGGCAGAAGCGCGAGAAAGAGAAGAGGAGAGAAGAGAAGAGAAGAGAAGAGAAGGCAGAGTAGAGAGACAGTGAGAGTAAGAGCGAAGAGGAGCGTGAGAGTCAGAGACGGGGAGAGAGAGCGAGAGCGAGAGATGGAAGAGAGAAGAAGAGAGCAGCAGTTAACTAACTAACTACCTAGCTGGCTGGCGGGCGGGCGGCGATCGGAAAATCTCTCAGGGGTTGAGCAGGCCACGGCCACGGCCACCCACGCAGGCGCATCACCAACACAGGCACCCCGTACGGAGTACTCTACACTAACTACTACATAGTACTATACTCTACAGCCGCAGGTTGGCCGTGGGCCCGCGCGGATCGCCCGCCTGGCCCGCAGGGGACGCCGGTCGCGGCCGCGGCCAGAGGTCGGAGGAGCAGAGCTGCGAGTATACGCAGCATAACCAACTGACTAATTAACTAGTTAACTGCTCCGTTATCTGTCTGTCTCTCTGATCGCCCGACATGTGAACGGGGCCTGCCCTGCCCTGCCCTGCCATCGCCCGTCGTATCCCGCCTGTCGCTCTCGCTCACTCGCTCGCTCGCTGCCTGCCACGCCCGCCAATCCTTCGTCCAGCCGCCGCCCCGGAAGGGATACGCCCGCCGTCATGCCCGCCCCTGGTCAACTCACCACGCCCTCGCTGCTAATCCGCGCGCCGTGTTTCGCTGCCACCAATCACTCCTCGTTTCTTTTTCGTTTTGCGGAGACCATCCCTTCTTAGCCCTTACCCTCCCCCCGGCCGCTGGACCCTGTAGGGCGCCCTGCGCAGGCATCGCGAAGACTCACATATGCCCGCCTCGTGCCTGCTGCCGCCCTTCCCGCAGGGATGCAGGGTCTCTCTCTCTCTCGCTAGCCGACCGTCGTCTACTCCCCAGCTCACTAACTCCCTCCCTCCCTCCCTAGCGAGCCACCATGAAACCCCAAAACCACAGCGTCCTGCTTGCCCGCCACGAATTACCATGCTGACTTGCCAACCCGGCCAGGCCCCGTCGCTGAAACAAGACGCGGGAAACCCCTCGTGCAACGCCAGAGTATCACCCCCGTCCTCGTCCTCGTCCTCGTCCTCCTCCTCTCATCTCGCCTCCGCCCTCAACACACTAACTACCCCCCCCGTTCAAACGGCCCACGTATCGCCGCCCCGTTGCCCGCCGCGCCCAATACCAAAAAAAAAAAAAAAAAATATACTCGTCACGCCCGCGCCATCGCTGCTGCACGATCTGTATTTGTGTGGTGTGTATTGTGTGCGTGGGTGGCGGTTTTTCGCCGCCCCTCGAAACCCATCACAATCAACAATCGGGCGGGCCGCCGCGCGCGCGAGCGGGCACACCCGTTTACCGGTAACACGTACCTGGGGCCAACTTTCCGCCGACAGTATAAGATAGACATACCCAGTAATAAGAAGTATATTAATTAATTCTTTGTTTTTATTTTTTTCACTTAATTTGTATCACCGCTTCTTGGTCATCAAATTGCCCGTCGTCAGAAACCCGCGCTCGCCCAACGCACTGCGCCACTCCAGCGAGAGCTGCCCCAGCGTCGTGCGCCCGCCCTCGCGAGCCACCGTCGTCGTCGTCGTCGTCGCTGCCGCGCTGCTGCTGCTGCTGCTGTTGCTGCCGCCCTCCGCCCCGTCCGCCTCGCCGGCGTCCTGTTCCACCAGGAACGCGATCTGTAACACGTCGCGTGGGCTCAGCGTCGGCGCGTTGCTGCTGCTGCTGCTGTTGTTAGTGGCCGTGCCCGTCGCCCGCGGCTCCACGTCCCAGTTGAGCGACTGTGCGACGAAAGGCGCTTTGGCGTTCAATGTGATCGCCTGCGTTTCAGGCCGATCCGATCAGTCACAGCCCGCTTTCGATTCGCAGGGCAAAAAAGGAAAAATAAGAAAACAAGCAAGAGAAAAAAGGGAAGGAGGAAAAAGAAAGAACGAAACCAAGCAATAATAAATAATGAAGGGCTGAAGGAAGGGAAATATAATAACAATAAAAGTGACATGTAACTAGTGGCCCAGGCACGTACATACCCCAAGCGTAATGATCTCATCGCCCACATTCTCCAGTTGCGCCTCCAGCACAAACCGCTGTAATTTACTTTTCCCATACGGCCCCAGCGATCGGTTATCCACTTCGCGCGCCGCCAACTCCGTGGCCTTGGTCCGTACGTTCAAACAGGGCTGCGCAACAAACTGGTATAACTTCCGGAACGTCCGCGCCCTCCCGCCCGACGCTTGGACGCCACTGCCACTGCCGCCGCTGCCCAGCACGCCCACACCTGTCGTCGTTGTCATCGCCGCCGCTGCTGCTGCTGTTGTCAAGGTCTCCGTGTAGCTGATACTCACCGCCAGAACGTGATTGCCCTCCTCCTTCAGATCGAAGCGGACGATGCGCTGGATCGAATCCACGCGGGCGATTCCCGCGCCGAGCCTGGCGTCGGCTGCCTGCTGCAGCTCGTCGTGGGCGTCGTGCAGCTCGAGCGGGACGATCTGGGAGGGCGTTTGCATTTCCGCGACGAGACGGATCGCCGTGACGACGCGCGACGCTCCTCCTCCTCCTCCTCCTCCTTCGTCCCGGAGCTCGTTGTTGGCCGACAGGGAGCACGCGAAGGTTTCGCCGACGTATGCGGAGCCAAACGACGGAGGTAGCGCGAGCTGGAGATGGGGCAAAAAGGGACAGGTATCAGTTTTATTTTTAATTTCTTTTTTTTTTTTTTTCCGTTCCCCATGTGCGTGGGGGGAGGGAAGGAGAAAGTGTGTTCTGGGTTGCGGCGTCTTACGTTAGGGCTTAGCATGAACTGCTTGTCCAAGTTTCCGACGGGATAGCTGAGCGATGCTTCAACTGGGATGTTGGCGAATTCTTCCGGCAGAGGATACTGGTACGAGAAGGATGGCCGCGAGAGCCTGGTTGACAAACGCAGTTAGCTCCGGGCGTTGAAGCCGGAGTCGTAGCGGGAACATAGTTACCGTAAGACTTCATCGTCATCGTGATCATCGGTCAGCGAAAGCTACACTGTAGCCCGTAGGGTCAGGAGGGCCGTACCTTTGAGCGAGACGGAATGGGGCTCCTTGGCCCCATCCGCGCCGGAGAGAGCTCTGGGACGAGCCATGGGTGTTGCGCTGCGATGTCCGCCCGCGGCGACTGCAGCTCAGCGTGGATGACATCCATCCAACCAATGGTGTACACGCAAACCCCGTGACTGATTAGATTGAGATAAGATAAGGAACAGTCACGTGCAGGTGACGTTTGAAGCCGCCGCGACTTCCCACGCAAGTCATTCCACGCAGCCAATTCGAAGGATCAGGGGAGTACATAAGGGGCATCTTGGGCCAATTTCCCTTCACGCTCATTCTCAATGCCTGTTTTGAGCTAGACAAGCTATCTCGAACACCCTGCGGGAATGCCGGACCACCGCACTCCGTCACGCGCGCCCGTCAGGCGTGGCCCTTCTTCCACCGTCACCGTTCAGCCCGAAGCCAATAATGTCATCTGCCGGCCGCGCCCAAACGCAAACATGAAACGAGAAGCTGAAGCCAGTATTGGGGAACCTTCCACCACACCCAAACGCCGCAAGGCACAACACCAACATCAACAACAAGCTCGTTCGGAGGATCGGGGCCATCCTGCCACCTTCTTCATCCCGCCGCCGCGGAGGGTCCGACCGGCTCCAACAGCAGCAGCAAGAGCAGCAGCGGCTAGGCGCATCTTGGTTGATGACGACGACGACGACGACGATGTGGTCGAGGTCCACGGCGAGACCAGACTGCGTTCGTTCCGAACACACCCGTCGCAGGCGTTCCGTTCGCGGCAGGCTCGGGCGACCAGCGGGCAGTGAGTGTTCGACACTGCCCCCCCCCGCGTGTTTTCTTCCTTTTTCGGTCTCTTGGACCAGCTGGCTAACCATGCCGGGGTTGGCGGCGGCGGCTGTGTAGGATGTTTATCGTGAGCCGCGAGCGGAGTGACGGGCCAGACGGGCCAGAGGAGACCGTCGACGTCGTCGGCTCGACGGGCAATGTCTACACGGTCGTCATTGGGAAGCTGCCCTCGTGCTCCTGCCCGGATTCGCTGAAGGGCAATCAGTGCAAACACATCATCTATGTCTGTCTGCCAATTACATTGTCCTGTCTCTCTGCCACACTGGCCGGTTTATCCTGGAGAAGTATGGTTCCTAATGTTCCCTAAATGGTGCAGGTCCTTTGCCATGTTCTCAAAGTCCGGAATCACCTACGATACCAGGTCGCCTTCCTGACCTCCGTAAGTCGCCGTCTTCCGTAATCGCCGAACGCTGCTCGGGGAGTCTAATACTGTCTGTCCCAGGAACTGCGTGAGATTTTCGCCAACGCCCCGATAATGGAGCCGGGCACCACGGCTACCAAGAGAAAGCGCCAGCCGATCGAGGGCGACTGTCCTATATGCTTCTCGGAACTTACTTCCGACACCAGTGCCATCGTTTGGTGCGAGGCGTCGTGCGGGAACAACGTCCATAAAACATGCTTTGAGAAATGGGCGTCCAACAATCGGGGGAAAACTCTCTGCTGCATCTTCTGGTTAGTTCAACCAAACGCTGCTGGGAGGTTGTAAATACTGACTTTCCCACCTAGTCGATCGCCCTGGAAGACCTCTACGTCAGAGTTGACTTCGATTGTCAGGAATGCATCCGTGGGCGAGGAGGGCTACCTCAACGTCGGAGAGGCAATGGGCTTGCCACACCAGCGGGGTAGGCTTCGCTCCCTGTACAGCGCCCTCTAACGGCCTTTGTTTGAACTCATAATGGAGACATTCGCTGACCTGACGTTTATTTAGATTATTCCACCTATCATCAACCCTGGGTGCGCCAACATTTATATCTCTCCTTCTAGCGTAGATTGGCCTTGACTAGATGATTAGGAAGACCGCTTTCTCTTGAACAGCCTTGTTTCCTTCTAGACCGGCTCGATTAGGCATTACTGTAAGCGTAAACATGCATACTAGGAAAGGCAGAGATCAGGACTGGGCATAATTTCTCTGGTGCTATTAAGGACGTAGCATTGAACAAATCGCGATATCATTGCCGCACCTCATAATCACCGCGTACTGTGCTCTCTCAACCCAAATATAACCTTGTTGGGCAACGGGTAGCCATTGACGAGATATAGAAATAACATAAGGCGATCTTAAGTAGAATATCATATCCATATTCACCAACTATTCATAAGCTACTTTACCTGCCCTGACTCCGTACACCCCAACCTATTAAAGAAAACCGCACTCCCTCCCCCCAAAGAACGCCATTCACAAAGTATCCTCCACCACCCGCTTCCCACCCTTAACCGCAGCCGAGCTAACACCTTCTTCACCCGTCATCCACGCCGGCATCCTCGCCGCATCAATCACCCCCATCTCCGCCAGCTTGCGCAGACCGGATATCACATCTGATCCAGAGAACGTGAGCGTAAGCGTGGGTTGTGGCGACGCGGTGAGAGGACCAGGGGATGATGTGCCGGTGGTAGAGATGGGGTCTTGAAGGCGGATTTCGAGTTTTTCGAGGGTTGGGTTGCTGTTGCTGGTAGCAGCAGCAGTAGTAGAAGCTGTCGCCGAGGATGAGGAGAGCGTGAGGGGCTGGCGGGACGAGTCGGTGGTTCCAAAGCGGGAGATCACCGTCTTCTGTCGTTTCAGTAACAGTTCCGGCTCGATGTCGTCTAGGTCGGACTGCCGTCGCGTCCTCCTTTTCGCCGTCGTCGCCGACTGCTGGGGGATATTCTCCTTCTCGGCCGTTTGGGTTTCCGCGTCGCCCACGGCGACGGATTCCGGCGGCCGGGGATCAAGAGGCCCCTGTTCGGCCACCGCGTCGGCGAAGATGCTAAAAGCGCCGTTCGCCGCGTTGCTCCGCCACGGCCCGCGGAGGGAGAGCAGCGTGTGTAGGTTCTTGGTCGTGAGGGACGTCAGTCGCAGTGTGTATCGTTGCTGTGGGCGCGATAACGCTTTGGGTATGGCGTCGATGACTATTCGTCGCAGCGTTTTGACGTCCGTGGTGTGTGAGCGGGCGGGCGTGGAGGCGTTGCGCACTGCGGGGATCGAAAATAATGACGAGTATATAAAGGGCGAGCTATCGGGGAACACGAGGTATATTATTCGGGAGGCATCGGTGAAGGCGTGGGGTGTTTGTCTGGGGTATTGATAGGGTGAATCGATGACGAAAATGCGCACGAAGGTCAATGGCAAGGTTGCAGAGCGAGATATATAGTAATGAGCCTTGACAAGCGGCGATATCTCGTTTTGAATTAACTTGAGAAATGTCGGGCCGTTGAATCGCGGGAGCGGAGCGCTATTCTCGGCGGTCGCGTGCTTTGATTCATCTGCGCCGCCTTGCAGAACAAGCTGCAGCGCAGTCCACCGGTGGCTTGCGGAGGAGTGGTCCTCGATATAGCGGATGTCTGCCATAGCAAGCTGGCGCAGCGTTAGGCCATGCCTCCAGTCTCCGTCCAATATGCGATCCACCACCTCCCTCTTGCCGCCTTTGCGCTCCAGGAGCTCCGCGTATACATCTCTCAGCTCCTCGATGGAGTCGGCCGTGTCGTACAAACTGACATCGTCGGCATCCTCTCCGACCGACCGCGCAGTTCTCCTTTTGGCATCACTGCTCAAGTACGGGCGGCACGTCGGCAGGTGCTTGTCGTCGAGCCATTGCAGGACGAGGGCGATGAGGGAGCTCCGAGACAGCCGGGAAAGGGACTTGACCAGGGCAGAGGTGCTTGCGGGAACGCGAAAGGTATCAGGGAGACTGGCGGCCGACGGCGCAAGGACAGCAGAGCGACGCGCCATGGAGGGCGGCACGCAACAGCAGCGTAGCTGCGTCGATGCATCGCAGCCACCGTCGAGCAGACGTGCAGCAGCGCGCGGGAGGCTTAGCTAAGCGGCGGGAAGCCACGTGCCGATACGCGTTATCACTGGGCAAACGGTGCAAACATGGCCCCGTTGAGTCGCCGGTGATGCCGCGCACAGGACGTCTGACTCATCCTCTGGCGAGCGTACTACCTGCTCGCGCATCGAAGACTCGATCGCGGTATTATTTTTGTTTAGCCGCCAGGAGCCACGTAAGAGTGATTCCTCCTGGAGGCTCGAGCCCGGGTCTGCCCGACGCAGCGTATTCTGTAGAGTTTGACGCTGCATCCTGAGTGATTAATAAGAGGCTTGGATCCCGAGGCTTTCTCGTTGTCTCGGTTGCCAACCACGGACAGCGCGCTCGACAACCGGTTTTCCCACGCCATTATTCAGCACTAAGCCAGGTGCGCGTTGCCTCTTCCCAGATGGTTAGCCGCAGAGCCGATGGCGGAGCGGTTGCAGGGCGCGGTGCGGTGAGCGGGTGCGTCAGTTAATAATCAGGAGCGCACTTCGTACTCCGTAGACCCCGCCGGCTGGATTTGCCGCATGCGGCCGCGTTAGACTTTTTGCTGCTCCTCCTCCTCCTCCTCCTCCACCACCACAACCACCACCGCGGACGCCCGTCGGACCAACACCGGTCCTCTCGCTCCTCTACTCTGCTCTCTTCCCTCCCTCCGCCGTTGGGCATTGCATCCTCGACTGTGTGTGTGAACCGCCGTTGTCGAGCGTCAGCCTCGCCGCCCACCCACCACCACACCCCCCCTTCTGCCTTGTGACACCGGGCCTGCCTCCGATCCGCCGTCCCGCTGGCCGTCTTCTCGCAGCGCCCTCCCCCCCAGCTCTGCTGCGCGACCGACAACAACTCCCTCAAAAACATCCTCGACTTCGCTCACCAGCCCATCGCCCGTCTCTGGGACCGGACTGCCCCATCGATCGCTTTGCCATGTCCGGCTACAATGGCCGCCGTGGCCCCAACTTCTCGCAGTACTTGAACGACCTGAACGCCGTACCCTCGCTCTTCGACCAGACCGCCCAGCAGGACCACGAGCTCTACGACGTGAGCGCCGATCTAGCCCTCTTCACCAACGCCGAGTTTCTGGATTACGATTCGAAGGGTGACATGTCAGATCGGGCCCCTGTCGCGTTTGCAGACGCTCCAGCAGCACATGCAGACGCTGCTTCAGCCCAGTCGATGAATTACCTAGATATGCTGAGTGGTACGTCTTGAAAGCAATCCCAATCCTGGGGCGATTTGCACACTTTCACTGTACCCCTGCTCTTCACTATTGATGCTTGGTGTCGCTCCTGGCCGAGAGGCATATATTATGGCGGACTCCCTCCTTTGCACTCTCTCTTGACCCTGTGCTACCTAGCCATTTTCGTCGCATGTTCTTTTGAATCTTTCTCCTTGCACCTTCTCTCCTTCCACGTGATCCACCTGGTTTCCCTTGCACCTCTCTACTGACATCATGGCCTTTTACCTGGAGCTGGCCGGTATTTTGTTTCTTTCATTGCTTTTTCCAACGGTGGATATGTGTCATGATCCAATGCTAACTCTATCCGTCACCAGACTTCAGCATCCCTAGCTATCAGTACCCCCCACCTCCCATGGTCCCAGTATCTGCACCTGCCTACTCGATAGCCCCACCAGTTCAGCCCATCTCGAAGCCGGTTACAAGTTTATCCCCAGGCCCCGTCGACTCAAGCCTCGTCCAGCCTGCCCAACCTAGAATCCAGCCTAACAACGGCGCCAAGCGCAAGCAAGATTCGCCTATCCTCGACGAATCCGCGCGTCTAGCCCAGGAAGAAGACAAGCGCCGACGCAACACTGCTGCCAGCGCGCGCTTCCGCGTCAAGAAGAAGGAACGCGAGAAGACCCTGGAGCGCACCGTCAAGGACGTCACCTCCAAGAACACTGCCCTCGAAGCACGTGTCAGTGAGCTTGAGCTAGAGAATCGCTGGCTGAAGAACCTGATCACCGAGAAGAACGGCACGTTCCTTTCGGACAATGAGATATCGAGTTTGCTGAACAAGTTTCAAGAAAGCAAGGATGTGCAAGGTGTGAAGACTGAGAGCAGCGAGCTTCCCAGCTCAGTATGAAAAAGAGACGTTTGACGACCCTTTTACGTGGTTCTCATTTCTTTTACATGAAAGGCAAGAAAGATTAAAAATGAATTTTATGAATCATGTCTCCTGTTCTAATTACCATTTATGGTAGATTCGCATTTGCTGCCTGAATCTGTTACTATGCTTCTTCCGTTGGGCGGTTTTTATTTGGTCTTTGGTTGGCCTTTTGCGGACTTTCTTTAGCTGGGCAGAATGGGAGACTTTGGGCCTGCTGACAGACACCCTTTTACAATGCTGGTATGCCGCCTTACTGTGTGCACATACATCTAGTCCACTCGGATCCACAGTACATACATCAAAATCAACTCTCGCATGTTTCTGTATTATAGTCCTGCTCCAGCTTTTTCCTATAGAGTAATAATTGATCTACACTTCCCTTCAAATTTCCCATTTTTCGCCTTATCATGTTCATGAATTACAATGGCGCGCATGGGGTGGCATTTCAAAATTCAAACCAGCTATACAGCCGGAATTTATATATATACGGAGTATACTCTCCTACCAGAGCCTAGTCTATAGAACAAACAGGAAAATATATCCAACCGTCTTGAAGCCGATATCCAAAACAAAACCCTCATGAAAACCTCAATCCATTGACAGGATCCCACTTTCCAGGTATAGGGCGCCGCTGCTCATCACTATCACCAGCAACACCGCCGCCGCCGCTGGCAGGCACACTAGGCGCCGGAAACCCAGCACCGGAGCTCCGCGCATCCACGCCGCCTTGCGGCGCTGACGCCCCGAACTTGATCCCCATTTCCGGAGCCCAGAGCCCCGACACCGCGCTCTGCGGTATGCTCGGAAACGCTCCTGGGCCCACCGCGGCCGCGGCGGGGGTGGCGGGGGTGGGCGCTGGGGTGAAGTTTGATAGAGGAGGTGCTTGGGCGGGGATGCGGGTTGGCTGCGGTGCGGTGAGTGGTGGAGGGGCGTTGTTGGTTGTATTCTGAGGCCGCGATAGGGGCGGGGCTTGAACGGGAGCTGGGTTTGGTGTGGGTGGTGAGATGTTGAGAGAGGCCATGGCCGCGGTGTTGGTGATGTCTCTGGATAATACGATGAGCAGCGTGATCAAGGGATGTTGGGAAATGTGTGTTACTTACGTCTCGAGCTGACCTGCTTCCATTCTTCTCTGCTGAACGAATTTCTTGCTCTCGTCCCTAAATCGAGTAACTATTTTAGCCAGGTCATTATAGAATTTCCTGCCGACTTCGATATTCGATATTATGTCTTTATATTTTAGATATCCATTCTCTAAATCTTGCAGCGCTTTCTCTCTATCTTTTGTTGACGAGTCGCCTTTTCTCGCTGTTATAAATGCTTTGTTCGATTCTCGAAGCTGATCTTCAAGTTGCGTCTGGCTTTTCTGCTCCTCAGTAAGCATGTCACGATCGCTGTCATATAGACGCAGTTGCTCTTCAAACAAATCCTCAAACTGGCCTGGCTCAATGACCTGCATTGGATACTCTCGCTCGAGGCGAGTAGTCTCCTTAACCAAGGCAGAATCTATTATGGTGGTCAGTTCAAATTCGGCGAATCGATACATTTAAAACGCTTACGGATTTTGTCAGCTTTCGCCTTCTCTCTTAAAGCTTCAATCTTGCGTTTGCGTCTACCCTCCAGCCTGGTCACTTCATTAAGAGTGCTTCTGAGCTGCCTCGACTCTCGTTCCACCTGTGGTGTTATCACAACTCTTTTGCTACTAGGAACATATGCTTCCAGGTCCCTGCTCGTCCCGGTTAAAACTCGCAAGACACGCTCAGACTCGCTGAGCTTTTTGAAAACCAGGGTGTCACTGTTATTCGCGGATGAGAGATAACCATCGATTTCGCGGATGTTCGTGTACAGCTTTACAGCGGCCTGCTCCGAGGGAAGCCTAGCCCAGCGATCTGTCCCATACTTCGATCGTGCTCTATCATCTTCTTCCTTTTCTGCCATCAATAGTTCAACTCCTTCAGCATATATAGCGTTGTCATTCGCTTTAAGCCTAGAAGTGTCGTCCAAAGAACGATGAAGACGGTGTAAACCATCTTGTTGTCGTATTTCTTCCGCATGCGATAAAAGCGCTGGAGGTAATCCTAGAGGCTTTTCAAGAGCCTGCAAAGACCCTGGGAGATTCAGCGACTGAAGCAGCTCTCGAAGCCTTAATGTCATTGACTCCAATTCTCCAATTGTCTGGTTAACAAGTTGATCTCGCCGGTCGGCATAGATACTGGCAGCGATATGTACTGCATATGGCACCAGTTTCGAGAATAGGGGTTTGCCTAGGGGAGCATCTTCACCAATCATAGACAGCGCGTTTGTGACTTCAACTGGTGCTTTTGAAGAAACCATCGGTGCTCTCTCAAGCAGTTTCAGCTCTGATTTCGGTGGCACGGGATTTAGATATATCATATCATTATCACGTTCCGCCCTTTTCAAGTCTTCACCCACCCGAGACTTTAACGTATTCAAATCCCCTAAAACAACCTTGTTGATCCATTTCGACTCTCTCAATGCTTCATTAACACAGACAAGGCTATCTCGCAATCGTGCGACTTCCTCTCCATATTTCCTCTTTTCCAAACAATCTAGCGACTGCCGATACTGTGCAGCTGCGGCAAAATGGTGATGCTTAGCAGTAATATGGTGAATCCATTCTGTGCTGATAGCATTCGACTTCACAGCGAAATCGCCCGCGTTGGCGTAGAAGTCTGATACTTTTGCAGCGAGTCGCGCTATAGAGGCATCTTTCAAACCATCTTTGACTGCCTTTTGCCAGAAGCATTCCTGCGCTTGTGCAAGCATTAATTCCTCTAGGCTCTGCAGAGTCATCTGGTCCATGTCTTCTGGCGGTGAGCCCCGGAGATCTGGGATAACATCCGTTCGTAAGTGTAAAAGAACCCCCGCGGCCTGGCAGAAATATTTGCATGCCGTCTTGAGATTGTTCGAATCGGAGGTGTTTAAAGAAATGGCAAGTTGGGAATACAGTGCGGCCAGGTTAAAGAGTACATTCGCTAGCTCGTATCGAATATTGTTTTGGGAAGCTATAAAATGCAATGGGGTGTTAGCCGTGAGTGTGTAAAGAGCATGGGTAAATCCAACCTGGCCTCAAAGTGTTGAATCCAAAGGCAGGGTACCACGAAAAGTCCGCGCCGACCTATTGACAGTCATAAGTTTGCATTAGTGCCTTTCCTCTCCCAAGACGATCCAAACATGATTCTTTCCAAGCTCTCCATAGCTATCTTACACACCAGATTCACTCACATCAATGGGGAACTTCCCCCCAATCCACTTCAACTGCGCCGCATATATAATCAGCCGACTTATACCGCTCACATGAGGCTCCTGGACATTTATAGCTTCACTGCGGAGCCGGTCGATGATGAGGAGGTCCTCCGAAAACATCTCAGGGTGCTGGTCATATTTGGAAGAAATGTACTGCCCCAGAGCCTTGGATAGGGAGACCGGATGGGACCGCCGGAATGGAATTTTGAGTATACTACTATAGTATTCATATCAGTAAAGAACTAGTAAGATGGTGTCATTGTATGAGCAGCTTTTTGTTAAGCTGTTCGCTTTGTAGGTAGAAAGGTGGTGCGCTTCGCGGGGCAAATGGTAAACTGAGGACCTCAAGAGAGAAGATACTTACGAAGTCATGGTTGTAGAAAAGAAAGAGTGTTCCTGAAGTGCAAGAAGATCGCGTATAAAGGCTATCCCAGCTCAATCGGCCCCTAAGAAGGCGTCAATGAACGTTGGGCACACAGATTCCTTAGATTTTTGAGGCTGCTAGCAATCACCACGACGACCAGACATCGTTGCCAAGACCACGCACATATGCTGGGAAATGACGTCTAAGCGGAGCTCTCTCAACGAGCTCCAGGCTGTGTGTATGAAATAAAAATGACACAGTAAAAATGGTAGTTATCTGAGGACAAGATGTCACATAACTACAGCACGGTGATGTGGGCATCCCAACAGTATCTCTTCGGCCTGGGGTCATCCTTGTCCCATCAAGCTACATACATACTCCAGGAATAGAAAGAGAATGTTTTCCATTAACAGATCCTTTATCATGGTATGACACTCGATCCAGTCGATCAAGCTACGCAGTTACATATGTTTTGAAAAAGTGACGCGTAGCTTGGAAGTCCAAAGCGCAGAAAAATAGCAAGTTAAAGCAGATGTGAAGAATGGGAATGTGAAATTGGATCAGGACAATCGCCACAATTACCAAGTGTGCACGACTAAAGGAATATGTCATGTTGTTAGAAAGAAATACCATCACCAGATTAAACCTTCTCGTCATATACGGGAAGGAGGTTGATTTTCATCTTGATATATTCGAAAGATGAGAGGAGGATCATGTTCTGGATCGACGTGCGAAATAGCAAGACAGTCATACCACGGTATGTAGATGACCTTGCAGCAGCAACCGTCGCTTCATTGGTCTCCTTAGACTTCCCGAGCAAGACACTTTGAGCACGAGTCTTCCGCGTATCAAGGCCGTAGGTCTATATTGATCGTCAGTATCCTGAGGTACAGAACTGCTAAAGGCATGGACGCACGCATATCCAAGGAACCACACCACAAAGCGCTCCAGCGGCCATTGAGGCACCGAACGGAGATCCTTTATCTCCTTGATAAGTAGAGATAAGTTGCTTCGTGGTTTCATATATTGCGAAGTAAATGCCAGTGCCGATGGTGTCGCGTAGTGCATGCAGACGAACTCCAGTGTAGAGACCGCCGATACCATGGCGAGATATAATCTGCTTGATGGCCTCGGTGGTAGTTAGACGTTTTACGTCCCGAAGAGAAGAGCTTTCAATGACTGTGCCAGAGGCTTGCGCCCGATTGGCCATAAGAACCGAAGTTTGAACTACATTTTTGGCAAGTTCGAAAGGGCCTATACTCCCGTGAGTAAGAGTAACCAGAAAGAGAATACGGGTATAGTACTTACAAGCTAGAGGGGCAGCTGCTAAGCCTGCGGCCATACCTCCGATCATGAAAGTAGCCAAAGTTGCAAAAGTCGGCAGGCTACCAGGAGTATTGTAGTAAATCAAAGGAGAAGTGCCAGTGGCGCTTTCGATTGCATCTGATACCATATATTTCACCTTTTGATATACGGTGAAATTGATAACTCGCACAATAGTGACACTTGCAAGCGGTGGCAACGCGCCTGTTACGAATTAGTACAAGAAGAGAAGTGTGAAACTGTTTTTATCGTTCTCACCAGCTGTATACCCGCGAAGGCCTTCGCTGCGCCACATATAACGAGCACAGTGTCCATAGCCACGAAAATCATGTCTTTGAGCCTCAGAGTCAACGAATGATAGAAAAGAGGGAGGGTGAAAATGTTGACTTACGTCTGCATACGAGTTTTGAGATTCTCCAGCGGTGTCTAGATTAGAAAGGCAGTTAGTATGTGCCAGAAAAATATACAAGTTTTTCCATGGATGCCAATGTCCTTCGACGATACCAGGGATGGAATTGACTATCTCAACCTACCGATATCAATGTCGCGAGGATAGTAGACGCGCCTGACGACACCTGCGTCCGGTACTCTTTGAGGAATCGATTCCTCTTGGACGTATCAGTCCACCACAGGGCGGTTGCCATTGATGATGCTGGTCTTGTAGTTTTGGTTGTGGTGATGGTTTTTGTTATGTGACCAGCATCATCCTGGGGGAAAGTCATTGGGGAGAAGGCTCTGTGTGTTCCTCTTTAGGGTATGGACTGCGGAATCCTATGGAACGCAAAGCGGTCTCTCGGCGTGAACACGAGTAGACCCCCCAGCGTTCCACAGTTGTCCATGGATTGAACAGAAAGGAACAGCCCTTAGGTAGATATGGGGATTCCAATGCACACTCTTGAACAAAAGAATGGCTAAGAACCCCAGAGGCTTGTGGCGGGCCTTCTCTGGGACCACCACCGTGGCTTTCTGATAGGGAAATTAAATCTCAGTGCACTGAAGGGCTTTTATGTCGTAAGCTTAGGGACTGGTAAGTCCTTCACCAACGACTTCTGTCTCCAACAGCCGCCCAAATGGTGTCTGGCAGAGGTAAAAGCTCACCAAAGAGCTCAATGCACAGGTAAGTCTCTATTGCAAAGGGTGGAACCCAGCTAAGTTGCAGCAGAAAGGACTTGTAGGTGAGGCCAGGAGCGCCTTTGGTCACAACGCCCTTTGTCTCTAACAAACAGTCCCTGGCTCTTGGTTTAGCGTAATAGTAAGTCAAGCAAGTGAGCACAAACAAAACAAAGACACAAATTAGCAGTCTGACCAGGAACTGCAAACTGCCACCAGTCTGCAGGTCAAGCCATGAGCAGTGAAGAGGGGAAAAGAGAGCAGGCGACGTTGTGAAGAACGCAAGCCAAAAGCTGTTGCGGACGTTTGGTGGTGGTGTGGATGGGCTGCAGCACGCTGATTGGCGGTGCCCGCCACGCCAGCACAGATGCGGCCTAGTGTGGGACGCCGGCCAGCCAGTGACGTCGTTGGGGATGCGCTGTTGAACTTGCTCTCGCAGGATGGGCGGCGGCATGTATACTCAGGCTAGCAGCGGAAGCTGTCCGCGAAGCCAATGGGCGTTGTCGTTGTTGTGGAGGGAAGCTCGCCTTGCGGGCCTGGCCTCTGTGCCCAGGATGCGCAGCTGGCTTTGTCGCACTTGCAGGCCATAGCCGTGACGGACTTGGTGAAACACGGTCAGCGGGCACTCCTACCACCTCTCTCTGATGCCTCCAGCGCACTGTGGCGGACTGGCTGCTGTGCAGCCACGGTTGACGCAGCGAAACACAACTGTCCAATGCAGCTAGCTGGCCGTCATCTAGTTAGACTACACAGGCCACAGAGGTGCGGGACAGGGTTGGGCCACCCAGGCATTGAGGAGTACTCTACCCTAGGATGTGGCCGTGTGCCCTTTGCCTGTTTTGGGTGACAGCTCATGGCCCGCAGGAGGACCGAGCGCCTCGAAGTGCGGAGTAATGGGATATCGATGAACTGCCGGTCGGGCTGGATGGCAATCCCTTGCTCTCCCCTCTTGCCTATCATGACAGAGGGGTGAATACGAACCTGGTTGACGTGACGCTCAGGGGTAAGTCGCTACCTTTGTCTGATTGACTGTTCCTCTCTCTCCTCGTGGAAACTGTGGCCTGTCGTTTGGAGCATTCGGGATCCCCTCAGAGCACGACGCTCAGAACCTAACCTTATTAATATTTCTGAACTGCCAGAGTCATGCTAGTCTCCTATCACTGTCTCCCTAGCATTATCGGCATCCAACAGTGGACTGCATTTCCTATCTGCCTAGGCAATATTCCTATGGTGTTTGACATGTTTGGTTGCACGGGTGGTTGTTCGCCGAACCTCGGAACCTCGGATCCCCGCAAATGCTTATTTTAGGGCCTGAGATATTAAAAGCCAGAACGGCCAAAATAGAGGCATAAATACTACCGGAGCTCAACGCTCGACTGCATTCAAATATTTCAAACGATCGCCCGTTCTATTTCTAAGTTTAAGAGCTATTGAGTAAGGAAATTGTGATGGGTGTGCTCGGCTAGAGGAGTAGAAACTTGCTGATGCAGTTCTTTGATAGATAACTACCTCACCGAGAAGCTCAATTCACCTCTCCTCACAATGGGCAAAAGAACAGCTTCTCCTGCCTATGTCCTGGGCGTGGGCATGACAAAGTTCATCAAACCTCGAGGAAAGGTAGACTACACGGAACTGGGCTTCGAAGCTGGTGTTAAGGCCATGCTGGACGCTCACATCACATACGACGACGTCGATCAAGGAGTTGCTTGCTACTGCTACGGCGACAGCACATGTGGCCAGCGCGTCTTCTACCAGTTTGGTTTGACGAAGATTCCCATCTACAATGTCAACAACAATTGCTCCACCGGCTCGACGGGTTTGGCGATGGCGAGAACATTCGTGTCGCATGGCGCAGCGGACTGTGTCCTGGTGGTGGGCTTTGAGAAGATGAACCCTGGAAGCTTGCAGGCTCATTTCCAAGATCGCGCCAATCCTACAGAACAGTTTGGTACCATGATGGCTGCTACAAGAGGCATCACCAATGCGCCGGGCGCCGCTCAGATGTTTGGTAATGCAGGCAGAGAGTACATGGAAAAGTATAGCCTCCTTTATTTTGTTTTAATACACTTCTAATTCCCCATAGGTATGGCGCTAAGGCAGAGGACTTCGCGGAAATCGGCCGTATTAATCATGAACACTCGAAGCGCAACCCCTACTCTCAATTCACCGATGAATATACCCTAGAACAGATTTCGAAGGCCCCTATGATTCACTACCCCCTGACGAAACTCCAATGCTGCCCTACCTCCGACGGTGGCGCCGCTGCTGTGATCGTCTCTCAGGCTTTCCTCGACGCTCGCCCGCACCTTAAAGACCAGGCTATCCTTATTTCTGGCCAATGCCTTGCTACTGACACTCCTTCAGTCTACAACCGAAGTTCAATTAGCTTGATGGGATTCGAAATGGGACGATATGCTTGCCAAACCGCCTGCAAAGAAGCCGGCGTTAATGTCAAAGATATCAAGATCTGTGAGCTTCACGACTGCTTCTCCGCCAACGAAATGATTACCATCGACGCCTTAGAACTCTCTGAGCCAGGTAAGGCGCATGAGATGGTTCGCCGCGGCGATATTACATACGGCGGCAAGATGGTGATTAATCCCTCTGGCGGCTTGATTTCCAAGGGCCATCCATTGGGTGCTACGGGTATCGCCCAGTGTTCTGAGCTCGTCTGGCACCTTCGTGGCTGGGCCAATAACCGCTTGGTCAAGGGTACCGATTCTGCTCTCCAGCATAACCTCGGGTTAGGTGGAGCTGTGGTCGTCACCGTTTATCAGCGTGCAGACAAAAAGGCAGCAACGCCAGTGTCAAACGAGGAAGTAGGAAAGCGGAATGGTCTTGGGTATAACCCTGCTGTAGAAGCTAAGGGGTTCACCCAGGAGCAGATGAACAGTGTGTTGAGCAAGGAGAATAGAAGCGATTGGGCCATGTCAGACACATCGGAAAGGGTATTGGCTCGATTTTAGGCTCTTCTAAGACTATATTGTAATTTCTAGGATCGGTTTTGCTATAATATCGTCGCGTCGCAATGCTATATAGTTATTTCTAAGTCCAGTACTCCGCACCCACAGGTTTGATCAGCGCTAGTCCTAAGCAGGCTAGACCATTGATGCAGACTTTTCTCCCAACTTGATTATTTCTTTCCTTCTTTTTTCTTTTTATCGATTAAAAACATATATCTAGGTCTCAAATACCCTTGTTTGGTATATTCTTGCCGTTACCTTAACAAATTATGTCGGAGACCAAGAACAAACAAAAACAATGCCCGTTCTAATCCCAGCCTTCCCTCCACATTGTGGACAAATATGGCGATTGATGGGTTCGCTTTTGGGCATATATATTTTTTTCGAAGATGAAGCAAAACGATTTGTACTCGCATACTATCGATAGGATAGCCACTCGCATATCGGATCCGCTTGTCTTGCGACGACGACGACGCGAGGCAATGACGATAATGAAATGAGGGGATACACTCATGAAGCACAGGATTCTTCAAAAAAGAGAACCGTTTCGGACATCCCACTCAAGAAACTCGGCAATACAATACGTACTATTAAATCATTTCACCACTAACCAAATTTATCTAGTAATAAGGTTGAGAACACCTGCCACAGCCTCAAACCCCCTTCCTTGTCACGGCATCATCGAAGTCTCGTTCGTCCTTTTCTCCCGTGACTTATCGAGGTCAAAAGTATGCCAACATTAATAGATATAAATGAGTTTTTCTCAAAATTCCAAAGTCTCCCTCATCTTGTTTCTGCATGCTTTCTTCAATGAGGCACCGCGTTCAACAGTGTGAGATACATTCCATGAGCACGATTACTTGGCGAGCCGCGTGGATAGGATAATACACGGCGGCTGCAATTGGCGTTTGATATCTTCCGTTATCACAGAGTAAAGACCCTGCATTGAAAGGCCCCATACGTATGCAACGGCAATTGCATCGTGCCGCGTGAAACACAATTCCTCAATGCAAATGTTCGTAGGAATACTTTTCTATTGATTTTTTTTTGTTTGAGTAAATTAATGCTGTAAGAGTATTGAATTGGAGAAAAAAGAATGGTAAATTTTTATTTCCATCCGTCAATGATATTACAAGAAAAAAAACCCTTTAACAGCTAAGAAAAATGAGGTGGCACAAATGAAAACGGGGAATGTTCAACATTCAAGTGGAATGCGTGACGGAATATACATAAAATTTGTGTGGGAAGAAGAAGGGGGGGGCACAGGGGGTATTTCGACTCAAATTCTAAGAACATTTGACCCTGGAAAAATTGCGACAGAAAGCTCACATCCCATTAAAAAATAGTTTTAGGAAACGAGCCTTTTCGTCATAGCATCAAAGGAAAAAGCTTCAGGTCAATTCCAGAAAGGAACGGCACGCTTCTGGGGGGGAGACATGGGGATAGCGCCTGTAGTAGAGTCTGTTAGTATCCATGCTAGTTTCCTGTCAGGTATGGACGTAGAACTTACCTCCAAAGCCACCGGAGCTTCCGACGCCTGTTCCTGGAGGGAATTCCGAGGCACCGCAGAGACAAGAGCAAGAGCAAGTGCCGTCGCCCATGTTGCCATTTCCAGGAACGACTTGCCCTTGGTTGCCACCAACAGGAGGAGCAGGGGGAGGAATGACCGGAGGAGGGTTTTCAGCGATTCCGGTGCCAACAGGAGGGATTTCGGCTGCTGGTGGTGGCAGTGGTGGTGCCTCGACTGGTGGAGAAGGAGGAGGAGGGGGTGGTGGTGGTGGTGGTGGAGCTCCACCAGCGCCTCCCTGGTCGAGTGCCAGCGCCTTTTGTTTGAATGCTTCATGAGACTTCTCGGGGGTAGGGTTCAAACTGAACACCATCCCCTTCGTGCAGTGGGGTCGCTGGCGACAGTACATCCAAATTGGGTCCGTGGTGGTAACCTGGAACATCATTGACGGAGGCGGGTTGACTGTGTTGTTTGCATTGGGCATAAAGCCAGAATCCACACCACCTTCCATGCGGGTGCAGGGGTTATCAAACGTGGACTGGGTGACTGTGTGATTCTGTGACTGGAAGTTGAATTGGACCATATCGCCAATCTGAGGGTTCAAGACTTCGGGTACGAAAACAAGTCCCGCATCTCCTCCAACCGTGACCTAGATGGCGTTAGATACATCAAACTGAAAGGCTGAAATGGAGTACTGACCTGATGCACTGTCCCTTGCTTCATGGGGGGTTTGTTCCACTGTTGTGGAACAGCACCACCACCAAGATTAGTCGTAATGATGGTCACAGTCACCCCACCACCTAAATGGCCTTTTCCAATTCCCTTGCCGATCCCCTTGCCGATTCCATTCCCACCTCCGATGATTGTTTTGCCGTGTCCAATTCCGCCGGCCATTCCACCACCAATGGAGCCGCCGATAGCACCGCCAACGGAACCGCCGACAGCACCACTAGCCCCCCCTTGGGATTGGCCTCCGCCGCCCATCTGAACACTACCACCACTCATTTGGTCTTGGCCACCCATCTGGGAGTCGCCGCCAATTTGGCCGGTTCCCGGCCCGGGAAGCGCAAATGGAAGTGAGTTTTCACCGCCTACTGCGCCTGTTGGCGCCGCCCCCCCGTCCTGGGGGCTCGCGATGACGGTCGCCGCAAGAAGCGAGAAGAGAGGAAGCAGTCGAGTCATTGTTGTGTAGTTGCGTAAAACGTTGAAGTACCGGAGAAGAAAGAAAATAGTTCTTAAGACAATGTAACCCCGAGAGTGGAATAATCGAAGTCACTTAAGAGGAATATAGAATGAGATCCTGCTCAGGTCATTAAATACTGTGCCAGCCGTATTAGAACGAAAGAGATCCAGCCCGCAACAAAAGAATGTAAGTGACAGAAAAGGAGGGCGAAGCACCGCTGGACATAAAACTTCTCCTTGGTGGGACGAAGAAGAAAAGAAGAGCAGGACGGACAGAGACATCTCAGGGGAATCGCTCTTGTTAAATGGGGCATTAAATTAGCAGCTTTCCTAATTCTCGACACTGGAACACATCCTGTCTTAGGCTGAGGACTAAACATATTCCTTTCTGACAGCCGGAATGGCGCTTTCTGGCAAAAATTCCGTTCTTGGTTGAAGTGCTAACCATGGGAGTGCAGCTGTCTGGGCATTGACTTCGGGAGCTCTGACAGTGGTGAGGGTCGGGATGTGTCGCGACAGTCTCACCCTACCCCAACCCCGTGTTTCGGACCACAAGCGCGCGCTGTGGCTGGCCGGCGACCCTCTAGTTTGCCCAGAAAATCCAAAAAATTCGGGGAATTTGCCAGTGAACTGTCGTGTTTGATGATAATTACATGTTCACGCTATTGAACGCTTCCTGCCGCTGATTCTTCGGGGCTTAGAATAAAGTACAAAATAAATTGCCAGCGACGAGTCGAGAGTCAGCGAGGTCTCCCAGCCGCCGAATTTCCGGTCGCCAAAACTACTGAAAGCATGAAAGGTGTTTTCCCATCGTTTTGTGTCATCCAAAAGTAGATGGGCCCCCAGGCCCACGCCAGTATTCCCCGAGATTCCTTTGGCGCATGGGATTTCCCGAAGTGAAACCCAAAGCCACGATTCTGGGTCAGAGGGTCCCGTTTTGGTAATTCAGCAAGTTCCGAATAAGCAGTCGGTTCTCTTTTCGGAATGTTGCCTTCTAACTTGGCACAGATAGCGTCTCAGGTGCTCGACGGTGGCCACAACCTACTAACCTCAGCATCAAAAAACTTTCCGTCAAGTTCCAAAAATGGCCAAAGTGGCTTGCTTAATCTTGCTGAGGCGTGCGTGCGCGTCTTTGCCCTTCGTAGAGTCCTGTGTAATATCCAGCAAAGTACCAAGCCGTCATCAAGTTCTTCAAACCTTCATCTTCTTGGCCTATCAATGGAAATTGTTGGTCAGTACGCAGTATGCTGGGCTAGAAGCTGTCAATTCTGGACGGGCTAAAAAAGACATACCGTTTAAGCCATCAGCCGTGCCCAATACCTCGCGCGGAATTCTGGTGAATAGGCTGGGCATCTGGCTAGGTTCAGTCTGCTCGGTGCCTTCTTGGGCCCTTTCTTTACGTAGCCGCTTTGGCATAGGTTCCTGCTGTGGGCCACCGTGAGCAAATGCTATTTTTACATGCATCAAGCAAAATATTGAATGCGCGACAGGCGGAAAACAGCCAGAAAAGGGCGTGAAATGTTCCAACATATGACAGCCACGAACCTGTATAGTGGGCGGCGGCTCCTCGTCTTCTCGCATGGATTCAAGACTCTGGCCATCAAGTGCTACCTCCTGAGAGTGATGTGCATTCACTCCACCGTTTTGGGTAGTCGCGGCGGGGCCAGCCCCCGTCGCCCCTTCGGCAGCCTTTTCAGCCTCGTTAGCTTCATGATCCCGTAAAGCATCCTCCAAGCTCTCCCCTTTAGCTTGGATGCCACGGTAGAGCTGATGAAACGCGGCCTGTCAGAGGTTGCAAGCCACGCTGTGACAGAAAGTGGTTAGCTTACCTTGTATTCCTCGGCCGCCGCCTCCCAAGACTCTATTAGTGCAGAATCGTCCCAGATCTCCTCGTGGGTCAATGGCCGATTCTTGCTGCCTCTCTTTCGTTTTCCCATCTTCTGTCAATGCCGTCTCGTTTTAGCCAAGGGCGAGATGTCAACATGAGGCCGCCATGTTTGCTCTGTTTGTCTGGAGCTCCTGACAAGGCTTGGCGCGATCCAAAAAAATCGAAAATTGAAGGCAGAGAAAATCCAAACATCGCGTGTATAGCCAGCCGCCACAGTCTGGGCGCGTGTTCGAGCCAATGGCTACAGAAAAGAAAGAGAAGAAGCGGAAAGGTAATGCTCCTTCTCATGCACTCTATGCTGCCTAGCTAACGCGCTTCTTTAGCCGCTGCAAGCTCCGGCGCAGTCGACCTTGATACCCCCTCCAAGAAGTCCAAGAAATCGTCCGTGAAGCCTGTCAAAGCTGCGACAGAGTCAAGAACCAGAGTTCCAAAAAGTGGCAAAGCTTCAGACGACGTCAATGGGTCAGTCTCAAAGTCCCTCAAGGTAGACAGCACTCCCACCAGGGATATCAAGCCACGAAAACGGGCAGCCGATTTCCTCAGTGATGATGAGGCGGATGCTACAAAGTTATCTAAAAAAGGCACAAAAAGCTCCAAAAAAGTCACTGACGAAATTGTGAAGCCTGTTAAAAAGAAGGCTAAGGAAGAGTCTGCATCTACATCTCTAGTAACCAGCAAAAAACCATCATCAAAAGACAAAAAAGTGAAGGAATCCAAAGAACTAGCAAAGGCAGTAGTCGAAACTTCCCCCGAAGAAGATGAACAAGAAGACGAAGGTGATGATGCTGAATTCCTCCGAGGTTTCGAGAGTAGTGGAGAGGAGGATGCTTCTGGAGATGAAGGATTCGCCCATGGTCAGGAAGTCCCGCAGATTCCAGACTCAAAGCAAGTCAAGAGGAAAATACGCAGTATGAAGAAGCATCATCCTGATGAAAAGGATGAACCCGGCGTTGTGTATCTAGGGTAAGCTTTTCCTACGTCGTTCCACCAAAACCACCACTATGTCTAACTGTCGAGATGCAGGCGAATCCCTCATGGATTCTACGAACATGAAATGCGTGCCTACTTCTCGCAATTTGGCGATATCACCCGTTTGAGGATGGCGCGCAACCGCACCACCGGTCGCTCTAAACACTACGCATTTATCGAATTCTCCTCTGTGGCTGTTGCCAAGATTGTGGCAGACACTATGCACAACTATTTGATGTTTGGACACATTTTGAAATGTGAATATAGGCCCCAGGATTCAGTTCATCCGGAAATCTGGAAGGGGGCAAATAGAAGATTCAAAAAGGTTCCCTGGAACCAAATTGAAAAGCAGCAGTTGGATGCTGGGAAGACTCGGGAACAATGGGCAAAGAAAATCGGGAAAGAAGAGTCTAAAAGAGCTGCGAAGGCTGAAAAGATGAAGGCTTTGGGGTACGAAATGGACCTCCCAAAGCTAACAAGTGTGGATGTTGTTCCTGTTCAAAAGACCCTGGCCGAGGCTGAAGAACCGGCCATCCAGAACATCGCCGATGAAACTCCGAAAGCACTTGAAGCTCCGCCAAAGAAAGGAAAGGAAGAAGTTCCTATTAAGGAAAAGTCTAAGTCATCAGGCAAAAAAGCAAAAAAGACCAAGGACTCCGCGGAATCAAGTACAAAGACCCTAGCCAAGGCTGAGGAGCCAGCCATCCAGAACATCGCCGATGAAACTCCAAAAGCACTTGAAGTTCCGCCAGAGAACGGAGAAAAGGAAGTTTATGTCAAGGAAAAGCCTAAGTCATCAAGCAAGAAAGGGAAAAAAACCAAGGACGCCGCGGAATCAAGCGCAAAGACCGCTGACGTCCCAAAGGAGGAAAACGCAGCCTTGGAGAAACCGGCAAAGTTGAAAAAGGGCGATTCTGATAAGAAGTCTGCAACGAGTAAAGAGGGGAAAGTAGAGAAGAAATCCAAGGCCAAAACTCCAGCAACCGTAAAGGATGATTCTGCAGCTCCTTCTAAAGAACCTAAGGCAAAGGAATCGAAAGAAAAGGAGCCAAAAAGGAAGGTGAATAAAGGGGAATCCGGAGAAAAGAAGAAAAAGAAGGCCAAGGCATAAATGATGTGATACCTGCTTGTTTGATACTGTTTACATTAACGCGTTCGAGTACAACCTCAGATCAAATTGAATATCAAACCAATGGCAGAAAAAACATGTATGCACTTCGGTTCAGATTGCCTTCCTTCATTTCATGTAGCCACCCACCCTAGACCTCACTCAGGCTTCATGCGCGATGACCTTGAACAAGCTGCCATTTGAGAACCTTTTGCATAACACCCGGTGGAAACGCCCTCAAAATGGAGACACAGACTTCCCGTAGATTTTCTCCGCGACCATTCGCAACTTCATCGGCATAAGACTGTCGCCATACTTTTCTTGGATATCAGGCTTCTCCACCGCGTATCCGATAAAATGATTGCCTTCCGGGTTTTTAGCCAGACGCTCACACGCCTTGCGGGTATTGGGGCTCCACCAGGACGGCAGGACACCGCATCTCATCTTGCCGTTCAGATTCCACTCCCCATTCCCGCTCCCTGCAAGCTTCGCCTCATCGCGTCCCGTCAATCTCTCCGCCCGCGCTAGGAATATACGGAAATCTCTCACTGGGTCGCCCCCAGCGTACAGACCATGTGGATCCGCGAGGAATTTGTAATCGTCTTCAACGCGTAGCCGGTACATATCGATAAGGTACCTGTACACCTCATCTCTTGACTTGAGGGTTTCCAGAAACTGGTTGTTTTTGATGGCCGCGAATGTGCATGGATTGCCCTTGTGTTGTTTCCAATGTGCTTTTTGACAGTCAATGTTGCAGTAGCGTGATTCACGGCAGCGCGCGCACATTTTGAGGCTTTCACCGGGTGGCGGAGAGTTGTTGCAAGAAGCACAGGTGGTGTCGTTGTGTGCTGCCATCAGAGCAAGCAGTCTATTCATTCCAGCATGAGGATCGGGACGGGCTGCCATATCGCTTGGGTTTATTTGTGTGGTTTGTAAAGAGGATATGCATGTACACAAATGGTATGCTATGTGCTGTGGACAGCCAACACCTATATCTGTGTGGTGTGTCAGAAAAGAAGAAAAGGAGCAACTAGGAGGGTTGATTGCGCACGTGAGATATTTTTATGTGTGCAGACTGACAGGCGACTGCCATGCACTGAAGGGATCAAACACTCAAAAGTGCATGTTGTGAGCAGAGTGTCAGTCAGGAAGCTCAAATGGTACTCACTATGAACCCGTTCTCAATCTAGTCGCCCAGTCTGCGTTATCACGAGCTATTTAGATACATGCTTGGTATGAGGGAGTAATTACAGATATTCGGTGTATGAAATTCTCAGCTGCGACTTGCAGGCTTCAATCATGTTTGACAAGCATTGTAGACAACAATATCACAGGAAGCCGGACGCCTTAATAACTTGGGTATAAATAGCACTGAAGAGAAAACTGAATTGGCATTGATCTCGTCGCCCGGGTGAACTCCGTGGTGCTATTAAAGATCAGTAGGAGAAGTGTAAGAACAGCCCAGGATTATTAAATTTTTTTTTATCAAACTGCACCACAGAAAAGCAAAGATGGGAAAACAAAATCAAATCAACAGGTACATTGGTCATATCGTCCGTCAACAACCTTACGTAGGCGTTCGTCTTTTGTGAATCGAGCCCGAAAAGAAATGAATGATGCCATATTACTTAGTTGTACAGGGTTTGAATTGAAAGAGACTCGGGGAACGTTCAGAAATGCACCCGCCCAGCCGAAAAATGAACGTAAAGGCAGAGAACCGTTAATTCATCTTTCTAATAAAAACGCAACGGTACGGGTATAAGTAGACGAGAAAGAAGCCGTAGAGTCCACATGGCCGAAGCCAAATGTGCTCAAAAGGGCGAAGTTCGAAATAAAGAAGGATATTTTTAGGGGAATCAGGATCGGGGTATATTTCTTAAGAAGGCTTGTCGCATCCAATCCGGCCGAGCAGAGCTTTTCGGTCATGTTGATCGCTAAGGCTGACGCGGCCGCGGGCTGTTCTAAATCTCACTGGGTGGTGATTTGGAGCAGTGCCATTGGCTATTACAGATTTGGCCCAGCCAGCTTCAGGGGAATTGTAGAAATCTCCGCTATTCGTAGCAATATGAGGTTCTTCGGGGGCATCTTCGCCTTCATCGTCACTACGAGTATCCTCTGCAGACGAGCCTGTTCGAAGAACGTTGACCGCAACACGAAGAATCATACCGAACCATATTAGAGAGAGGACTTGAAGGAATAAAAGGAGGGAAAGGAATGCCCATTTTATGCGGAAGCTCATGCATATAGGTCCTTCAATGTCCATGTACGGATAGATAAGTGACGTCCAGGAATCATGGTTGACACCAACAAGCCTCTGGCCATTGGCACCTGAGTAACAGCCATAAGGTATGGCATCGGTGATATTTTGATAAATGGACCACCATAACATCATATAAATCACGTGGCGGGCGATGAACCAAGTGGCCAGGAATACGCCAAACGCAACGGTGCAAAGACGCTCGTATCCTAGGTATTTCAACATTTTGGCAGACTAGTTCACAATTAGTTCCAATTAGTCAGAAAAACTAGGCAAGGAGTGCCTTACGGGCAATAGGAAGTCTACAATGTCCATGATGCAAAGCACAAGATTGGCGACGTTGTAGAAACTGTAGACATATGCAGATCCGAGAAGGGTGCTCGTGACAATGTGGTGTGTCAACATCTGATAGTGGTCTTTTCTCCTTTCTTCAATATTGATGACGAATATTTGCTGCAACCAAAACGACAATTGCAACAAGCAGTACAATTTGAAATAGCCTGGGATCTCCCTCGACGGCCAATCAGTCCAGATTTCGCGGAAATTCATGAAATACTTCGAATAAACCCAGATATACTACGCGAAGGCATGTCAGTATCCCTCTTGGAAAGAGTGAAGAGGTAGACTAACCAGTCCATACGACCAGAACACGACATAATAGACGAGCAACCAGCCTTGCTCTGCAAATCTCAGCGAATTCTTGGACTTTAAGCCGAGTTGCAAAGCAATTGGCCGGAGGACCCAGTCAATTGCAATTGCCCTGACCGCAGTGAATGCGATCATGGAACTGAGTATAAAATACACATCGTCCATGCCCTGGACATATGTTCCCTTGGCGGGCAGATAGTGCGGGAGGGACAACAAAGGCGCAGTGTACGGCTTCAGGGAGGGGTAGAGGTTATGCACCGCGAAGATCATCGTCAGGACGGTAAGAGATATCCCTGCGGTATGACTATGCATTAGTGTACTGCTGATCGAGTGCCAGGAAAAAAACTCCCACGGTAGGAGGGCATACCTATCTGGTTGCTAAAGAGCCATTCTCGAAGACTGGCATCTTTGCCCGCGGGTCTCCTTCCTTCCAGCGGCGAGACGCATGCTTCAACTTCTGTAACAGAATTGGATTTGCTACGCGCCGGCTTCGCCATTACGATTCTGGATCAATGGCGGCCCCAGGCACCACGTAGTCCTCGGGCGAAGAGGAAGTCCGTGGTTTGCGTTTGGTCAACGTCCAACAGAGCAAATCAGAATGAGGGCTTGACAGTTCACGGCGTCGCGTGCGGAACGGCAAAGGAGACACAGGAGACAGAATGCAAAGACAAAGCCTGGTCTGATCGAGGCGTTGATGTGTTCGAGGGGCTTGCAGAACGGCAAAGCAGGGAGCAGCAGCGACGGCGAGAAGATGCGGATTGCAGGAGAAGCCAAACGGAAACAAAAAGAAAGACAGGCGTGATGCCGAGCACAAAGTCACACGCGCAGCTGGTGAATAATAGGATTGTGCACAATGCTGCCGGCGGCGACGGATTTCGCGACGGCTCAACAATCCACAGGTTGACAAAATGGTACTTCCAAGCCGAGACTCTGGCCGTGCCCTTTGCGCACTGCAGGTACCGGGTACTTCTGCACAGCGGCGGGCAGTGCACTAGGGGGTGGTACCAGGTACCTAGATTAAGGGATGGCGGCGCGATCGGCCACCAAACCAGTCTCACCATCTCACCGCTTCCGACTAGCTCTCCAATAAACAGCACGCAATTTCTCACGCCGCCCGCCTGCCCCATGTTCTCCTCCACGCGCTGCCTGGCCTGCTGCCTACAGATATCTTCTGGCCGCCATGCCAGCCATACGCATGCAATCCTCGCTGCCACTGCCGCTGGCGCACGCCCTCTCGCTCGCTTGCTGTGAAACGTACCCTCGCCACTCCAGGACACACAGAACCATTAACCGGCCCCCGTTTCCACCTCCACCACACCCCAAAAGCCACCTCCGCACTCGATCCAGCAGCAGCCGATACCATAGGCTACCAAAACCGTTATTTGAGGGAGGCTGTGATACCCGCTCGGCCTCGGGTCTGCCGATCTCGCCGGTGCGCCATAGTTAAGTACCGCTCGATTCGTACCACTCCGACGGCCGTTCGCCAATCGCCATTGGATGTTGTTGACCTCAGTGCAAGTTTTGGTAGACAATACCTGGTATCGCTCGCTTATCGAATCTAGCAGTCCCGTGGTTAGAAGCAAGCTCCCTTTGGAAGCGCATGAGTCAAATCTATAGCTGAATAGATTGCATCATGTCGCCCAAAGACTTCGGACGTAAATCGCCTGTCGAAGTCTACGGGTAAGTTTAAAACGGTGTCTATACAGCAGCTGACCTCTTTTGGTTGGTTGCTGATTAGAAATATGCTTATAATTAAACACCGTTTCCCGCCGTTTCGGCTGGCGCGTGCCTCTTTACCAAAACATTATTGCGGATGGGAGCTATAGGTCAATGACGAGTATTATGTATGTGGTTGTGCCGTGTCGTTGTGGAACGCCGAGGGTTCTAGCAGACGTCTTGTACAGAACACAGAGCGACCCAGCCATCTGGCGACAGGCCAGTTGCAGCCAGCATCAATCTCGAACTATCGTCTATGAGAGTGGACTCCTTATCATAACGAATGGAAACTCCAGCATTCTTCCTATTAAGTTTGCCTCTTTTTTTTGGGTACCACTACGTTGGAACACTTAGGCCTGAGAAATATGCGATGGCCTGTGCTTTCCTGCAATATTTTTTCCGCGACAAATACCCTACAACGAACACCAAGCCGATGACATTATGGACAGTTTTGATATACTGGCAGGTTCAAGTAGAGACTCTACTGCAGCACATGGTTGTCAAAACGATTGGCCATACCCGTCCTAATTCAAGAAACACATCGGGGGACAATGAGCAGCATGTCATCACAAGAGACGTTCGCCAACACCCACAACCCAGTGGTTGCTACTTATGTTCACTGATGTGGCTTGTTCCACTTCAAGTTCTGATTGTTTGTTTGTTACAGCTCATGCAGCTTGCTAAGCTTTTGAACTTATGGTATTATTGCATATTACTTGGTAAGTTTGAGGCCCACTGGTTCATGAAGCTTATGAGATGAGCAATGCCTGATCGATCAACGCCTTTGCTTATCACCACACCCACCACTATTGGCTTATGAATATGAGAATACAAGATTTCGTCATGAGACTTGTAAATTTAAAATCAATCCAAAGTGGCCGCTAGAACTCCACTTGACCCAATGCATGACCGTTTACTTCTGAGCCCTCAACACAGATCTTGTCCTTGAAACCTACAACCATGGTTGTTAAGAAGATAAGTTTTGTTAGGTCGCAGCCACACTGGCAACTACTATAGTCAATCAAAAATTATTGTCGTGGTATGAGTATGTTTACTAACACAGCCAGTTCTAGCCTGGAATTTGCAGGTTTACCCATCTCATGCAACCTATTCTTCAAGATGGGCAAGCCATTAACCATTACACAGAGTTTAAAACTGATTGTGATGTCAAATAAGTTCTACCGTCCCACTCTATAAAGATATTTTCACAAAGATAGAACTATACTACGCATAAATTAATTCCTTACAAATGAGCATACCTATCCTGCTCTCATCAAATGTTTATCTCTAAGATGACAGCATGGTGTGATTGACCCTTTACACAACAGAATAATCACACAGTAATTTTTTTGAGGTATCAACTAAGTGTCTATAACCAAAGCCAGGTCAGGTGTGGGCAATCACCCTGTTCACAAGAAGAAGTAAAACACACCGCACTCTTCTCTATAGCAGGGATTCCAGAACCAGTATTACTGACAAGCGTACCCCTCTTGATAAAATCAAAAATTGTTTGACTGTCTAGCAGTATTGCAAGACCATAGGGCAGATAAACAATGTTCCTACTTTATAATTATTTAGAGAAAATATAAATTCTTGTTGATTGCATTTTCATAAGCTTCTATACTCTACTATACGCTATTACTTCAGGTCTCACCCCTATTTCAGACACCATATCCTCCCCTGTTGTTGGCCTCCAAGGCTCCAAGACTACAATACTGTTGCTTTGCTGCCCTTGCATTTGACCTCAGCACATATTACCGACCTTGGAACTCCGTAGACAGCTGCATGATGCCACATCCAAGTCGATATCAAATCTTCCCCAACAAACGAAAGATCATGTTGTGCACCAGACAGAAGACATTGTGAAAGAGCTTGAGGTCATGATCTTTTCAAGTAACAACTCTCTTGATTTGTATTGATCGATTACTTATAGATCTGGGAGCTGGGCCGTTTGACTTAAATTTGGAAATAAAAGCTCATTTTGATCACCGACTCTCACTGTGCCAACAGATCGAATGAGCTCCCAAGGAATCAAGGATATCTCACCACTTAACTTTTCACAGTTTGTCTTCACTAACTGGGTTATCGGTTCCAGGAATATTGTCTTAGAAGACCCTGAGAAAAATTGGTTGATTTACCGGACAGATGCTGGTGCCTGATACCTCTCTACTTTTGAACAAGCGGCTCTCGCAAGCCAGTACAGGTTTTCGGAATTTCATAGTGATGCTGAACAACTGACGTTGAAATATGAGCTAGAAGAGCTCCAAGTAAAGTCAATCAACTTTCTCTTGATAATTTTGGCTGTGTAATGAGCCATTTTCCATCATCCATCTAATATTCACTTGAGGTTAAGAGGAAATGGTATCAGTGTAAACATAGAAATTCCCATCATGAAACAGACAAATATTCTTGAACAAACAGCATCGACGCGACTAGAGTTGAGTCTAGTCAAACCCAAACCCCAAAACCTTTTTCACCCTAGATTCAAAATAGGACATGTATAAAGGTCATCGGCGAGGCATGAAACCCCTTAGGATTAATATTAGGTCTTCAAAAGAGGATTAAAGTCCACATGCACCCTATATATATTTTCAGGTTCAGGCAGCCAAATTTTATTCCGCGGAATGTCAAATTGTGACCACCTGTTTTGAAGCGATCTTCCAAATCATCTATTCCTTTAATGGTACTCCATGAAATAAAATTTCTGGGCTGGCGATGACGGTGAATCTGTGACATTGCAGGTAGTCGGCAATTTTTGGTTCACCAGGCCCAGGGGGTCAGTCGCTCTAGCAAAACGAAACAGCGTTCATTATTCGATTCAAGAAAGTTGATAGGGCATATGTTCTCGTTGGCTGAGAGCATAGGAAATTTGGTAATAACTGGCACTTCATATATAGAATAAAGATCAGAGCAAAGAATAGAATGATAGGACCACTAGCCAATATTCTAGGCTCGCACGCTCAAACGATTGGTATAGAGGCTAGAGTACTGCTCTGGCCCAAGAAATTCATATGAGCAACTATACTCTCATTTTATGTGGACAGGAAGCTAGTTCTTAACGTAGTAACAGGGAGCAGGCATTGCTTTCATGGACGTTGAATCGGCTTCTGCCAGAGCAAGCACAGGAACTAATTGATAGATCCTTAGGAACAATGCATCGATCCTAACACCATTGAACAGATAGAATTATTTTTATTCTTTGATCCGTAGAGCATCTGGTAGTCACTGGTGGGTTAATACTCAAGCAGGAGCTTCTGGTTTGCCCTAGTGTGGTTGCTTTGACGGTTTCCATTTTCATCAATTCTTTCTCGTATCAAGGGGCCAAAATGCGGATCACATAGTGGAGCAAATTGCGTATGGAATACGTTGCTGAGCACGCTCTCCAGCAACGCTTTGTACGCTTGATCTGCCGATGGCACACTTGCACCCAAAGTCCTGGTTGTTGGAAATATATGAACGTCGGTAGGGTGCTCCACAGGGTGGTTCGATACAAGGCCAATGAATGAGGCTCAACAAGCGTGCTTAAGGCTTGTCTTTTGCCCTCGAGATCGTACTTACACGATTCCAAAAAATGCGTTTCAATTGACTCGGAGATTTTCGAGGGCCAGGATCCAAGAGGCCCATACTTTTTCTTTTCTGGGTTTCAATTGTCAGTGGCCTGAGAAATAGTTATCAAATGCGTCGTGATATCTATAACGGCAAGATTCCAAGGTAACTAGCCATATCGGACAGGGTTTTTTTGATCTGCTGAAGCTGCTCCAAAGTGCTCGAGTTGAACGAGGCAAACCTGGCGCTCATTTTCTTTCCCTTCAGAGGCTGACAGATCCGGGGCGCATTGTTCCACAACGTTTGATGAGCCGAAGGATCATACCACGTAATAAGGGAGTAGGAAGTCAACACATGGTAAACCTAGCAGGAGGCGCTATCGACGCCGCAATGAGCCCTTTTTCTCATTATTTTTTTTCGGTGGGTGAACCATCTAGTTCATTTTCTGGGTCGAGTCGAAGAACCGAAATCCTGGAACCATCGATGTTAGTTAACTGGTTAGTTAGGCTCCTGGGGTCAAATCCTTCCGGCTACGGACTACCCATTAGGGGGAAAGAATCAGGGAATTTTTACTCCGTACTCCGGGGGCAACATCAGCAACAGACATCACTCTGTTCTAGGGAGGCCGAGATAATTATGAGGAGGATGAGCGCAGCAGGGCGAGGCAGTTGACTGCTATCCGAGGACAACTGCCGCCTTGCCTTGGTACTCGGCGAGCAGCATTCAAGGAGAAGGGCCAGGATGGCGCAGGCAAAAAAGGCTCCCGTCGGTCCCGAAATATGCGTGCCCCTTTCAAATGGTTTCATGCAGGATTTGTTCTTGCGAGCGCGGGGTTCGTGCCTGCAGGGTTCGAGCGCTATTGCTTCGATTTCAATTCCGTCTGGGTGGCAGATTACCTCTTCATTCGGACCAGCTGGACTTCTACAAACGTATTCTGAGCCTATCCTTCCGTGCTGTGATGTAGTTATGGCGCGAGAGGATGGCGATGCCTGGATGGAAAATATTCCGAGGAGGTTAAGGGGGCAGTATGCACAGCAAAATGGGCCGGTCGACACGGTAGTGTTTCAATTTTGGATCCTGGCTGCTAAGCGTCCTCTGGATTGCTAAGTATGGGTGTTTTTTGCGAGGTACCCGCAACGTGTGCTCTAAGCGCCAGGAACATATACGAGCCGATTCTTGGAAATTCGTGTAAAAGCGCATTTTCAGGGCCGTGTCTTGGGGGTCGAACATAATAATAACAGAAACGTACTGCTGGGACACGCAGTCCCGCAAGCCCCCTTACAGGACTATGCATACATATATGTATAACTATGGGGACGGGCTGCGACGATATGCCTTGGGTGACGCCTCGTTTAGAACAATCCGAAGTCAAGCGGATCGTGCAGGCGTACTGAGTAATAATCTCTCTTATGCACGAGAATGAGCTCTCAATACTCCAGTTTTTGAGGCCAGGCTAGTTTTTGTAGAAGTCTGAGCCGTCAGGGGTCCGAGGATGTTTCTCATGGGCCGCGTTGGAATCATATCAAGCGACGCTCTAGGATCGATTTGCCGCCCCCGGCTCGCTCCGTTGAATATTCTGCTTCCCACGTCTTTTTTTTTCTGGCGCAATGTGACACTATGGCTGATTTCGCAGCTGTAGTGAACCCACAGCGACCATATCTCGCCCACCGGAGATGAGGCAGAATTCTCCCTCAATATCGTTGGATTCTCGCAGCGCTGGCCCGCAAGGGACCCATGTAACCTCAGCAACTACCCTCGTGGGCAGAGTGGGTTCGATTCTCCAGGTTTTCGTCTTGCTCCCACGGCTCCGACATGTTCATGGAAATGACATGCATGCCAGGCAGGGCAAAGGATTTGCTGCGACTCCACGCCTCCATCTCTCGGCGAGCACGCTGCAGCGCTGTTGCGCGGCCCCCCTGGACCAGGCAAGCTGTTTCAAGACTTTTCTCGAAGGCCGGCAGAGTGACCTAGCCGGTGCTATGGTCGAAGCTTGGCCGTTTAGTACCAGCGACCGTTGCGCCTGGTGTGGTCGAGCGAAGGATGCAGTGGCAGTGACCTTAGTCATTAACTTACTATCCGGGCCTTTGCCTAGTTCGTTAATTAACTAGCTAACCAGTGCGCTGGCCGCACAACAGTACTCGCAGCGGCCGAAGAAACGAAGAAGCACGACAAGAAGCAGTCCAGCAGCGGCAAAAGAGCATTGGCAATCTCTTCCGCTGTGCGTCCTGACTCACAGCCACTCATCCCCTCCCCCCCCGCGGCCTCCCACGCGTTTCACTCGTCGGCGTCCAAGGCCTTGCTTGCACCCCAGCACCCGACCTGCGCCAAACCAACTTCGCCCGCCACGACTCTCAGGCCTCCCACATGCGAGCGCGCCGGCCGGGGTGCGCGTGGGGAAGACACAGTCCGCCTTCCGTACGACCCGAGCGCCCTTGAACCGCGCGCGAGGGATGCCAAAAATTGCGCCGTGCTCGCCCGCTTGCCCAATAATAATCTGCGGCCGGCGTTGTCCTGTGTTTGGCCTCATCCCGGCCACCAGCCGCTCCGCGCGATAACGCTTTGCTGCATGTGAAACCCCCCCGGGCGGTGCGTTGGAGCCCGAGGCAGGGATGGTGCTGGCTGGCTCTCCGTCTTGTGCTGGAACTCCACTGACCGCCTAAGAATAATAATGAGAGGATGGCCTGTTCTTCGCGCTTTAAGCATCGTGATAGGGCGTTATGGAGCGGCCGGAGAAATATAAGCAAAGTGAAACGCTTGTATGAATGTCAATCGTCAGCTATAGTGGGTATATAATATAGTATGCAAAAATGGCGCGGCGTGATAGTGCGTTCGTTGTAGGTATGTACAGTGCGGCATGAGTCTCCATATACGAAGCCGGAAAAAAAAAAAAAAATAAGAAAGTCTTGAACCAACCCCACGCCAGCAGTCTATTGCTTTTATTAGAATTCCTCCCAGGAAAGATGCCGTCCCAAAGGGTCAAAGCCTGCGTAGCTCACTTTACTACTGTCCTGGGTGCTGTTGATGCGTACTGCGGACCTCCACATCCACGGTGAATGTCCGCGTCTCTTTGATGATCCGCGACTGGCTCGACTGGCTGTTGCACTCATCCCAGTCCACCACCCCACTCTCCACCTGCGTCCCATGACCGTGACGTGCTCGCCCTCGCTTTGAGCTCAAGACTCCAAGCTCGTTGAAGTCGTCCGGATCCTTGCGCGTCGCCTTCTTCCCGGATGCTTTGGAGCCGGACAGGTTGTAGCGGTACGACCCTTTGGTCGATCGGCGGTACTGATCGTCCGCGCGGAGCAAACCGGACTCAAGGCTGTCCAGGAACGGCTTCAGGAAGGGGATGCAGGCTGTCACAACAGCGAGCGCCTGCACGATCTGAGTGCAGATAGACATGCGCCAATAATCGAATGTGGCATTCTTGGTGTTTTGGACTTGGTTAAGGAAGTATAATTGCAAAGCAACCGCGACTACCACACTGTAGGCCTTATTTTAGTGCGGCGGGCCAAAAATATCAGCGGGGCCAACTTACAAGAGACGGCACGCAAACACGGACGCAATGGTAATCTTGCGGCGGGTTGATGTTTGGATTTGGGTAATAATCATTAGCATGAGTCCCAATTGAATTATGTCCGAGACCATGTTCAGAACCCCATAAAAATTCCAGAAATTTTTCTGTACGGCACTTGTCAGCCTTAAACAATTCCACTCCACAGTTGACCAAGACATACTCTTGCCAAGCAGACATTGTTGATATAGTCCCATGGCCTGGGTAGATCGCATTGAAAGCTAACAACGAGAATTGACGACGCGGTCCAGAGAATTACAATACCCCCAAGGCAATATATAGTGTATTTGTATTGCTTCAGAAGGGCAAATTGGTAATTCAGAACAAGCAGCGAAATTTTGGTTAAGCAAATGGCCAGAATGAACAAGATTGTTGCTGCATAGTCGGCCTGAATAATTGCACATTAGCTTCCCTCATACTCCCCTGGCGCAGTTTCACTCACTTTCAAGACCGTTTCCAACTGAGACTTGCTTAAGGAGTCAACATATTTCCCCCAACCATTAGTGTTCTGTATCCCAACGGCGATGGATTGGCCGGTCGCAAGTAACTGGGGTAGTTATATGTCAGTAAGGTCAAGGAGAACGAAAACTAAAATATAAAAAAAATAGACGACTTACGACAGAGGCTAAAATGATATAGTCTTCTGTAGTGAGATGCCGTCGAATCGCTAACTTGGTTGCAATCGAAGCGATGACCGCTAACACGGCGACAACTAAAAAAATCCACACGAATATGTCTACCAACGCAGACTTGTCGGTGTCTGTTATCAAATTCTGCGCCATTCATACAGTCAAGGCAAATTTTCTTTTCTCATGATAGTAGCAAACAAGTCTGGAATGGACAGTTGTGCAACGGCGCTGAAAAACGTCAAAGAGAAGCAGTAATTATTGTCGTCATCATTCAGATAACGCTAATGAAACGGTGTGGAAGGTATGGACAAAAGGGGGGTTTTTCTATCCGTATACATACAAAAGAAAAGAAAGAAAGAGAGCAAGAATAGGAAAAAAAGGAAATATCGGGGAGCGAGATCTGACGAACAAGGAAAGTATTTATCCAAATGCAAGTATGTATGAATTATGTATGTAGGTCCTGGGGTGCCTTGGACATCGACCAGGTCCACCTTTAGTTACCCCGAAATCCTGCACCTCAAGAGACACGGCTCTCAAAAAGGATTTGTATGGTCAAGGCGTTCATCAACATTGGACACATGCGTCTCACAAGGATGCCCCTCGCCTAGGCAATTTCTGGCGAGGGAGGGTTGAGCGGATAAGAAACAGTGAACAATAATGGGGTTTCCTTTTTTCTTATTCGGTGATGTTTTTCTTGGAAACCCAAGGTGATCTGGGGGATGGTCTGTGGAACGCGTCCAAAAGGGTGGACGGGACTAGCGACAGCCACCGCCAGATCTGCAGGATGTGTGAAAGAGGCAAAAAAGGAAAATTTTTCGGTAGGGCTTGAATGGGGCTGGGGAGAGCTTGGTGAGGCAGCTCTGGAGCAACTATGGATTTAATTCGCCTAACAGCATAATGAACCAAGCCGAAATGGCGGTCGCCAATAGGGGGCTCAAGGACCCTAGAGGCCACCACGAAGCTGTTTTTGTTATCCGTTCTCCGTGGATATACATAATAGGATACATAGGAGGGCGGTCCGTCACAAAGCCGGCTTCTAAACTCCATTGGCCTTGGGGCGACAAGGAAAATTCCGCTGACCAGGATTAGGTCCGTATCCGTCTCCGGGACGGGGGTTGTGTGAGGCCCCCCAGCCCGTAGCTGCTGTCCATAATTGATCACAACGGCTCCCGCCCGAAGGCGGACACCAAGTATGCTAAAACGAGAGCGTACAAAGGGTTTTTTTGGGTGTGTTACAGCTCACCTCCCATACAGGTGGATGGATGACGGATCTCGGTGGCCTAAGCCCTGGGATCATCCTGGTCAGGTGGCTTGGAGCACTCGCGCTTAAATTGGACGGCCAAATAAGATTTCGGGAAGTTCGCTGCGCAGACAAGGAGCAGGGCCCGCCAGCCAGTCAGCGGCCACCAATGCGATGGGCTTCGTATCATCAGAGCCAAGCCGCGAGCCTTGGCCTCGATGCAAAGAAAGCTGGAGAAAGATTAAGATGCTGCTTTGGGTGCTGCAAGTGTTTGCTAGTGTGGGGGGTGGAGACAGAGAACCGCCCGGTGTGCAAGCGGAAGCGGACTGCTCGGCATCGTGGATATTTGGGAGTCGCTGCCCGGGTGGCCTCGCGTCGCTACGAGAGCGATAATGCACGACGAGCAGCGTCGCCGCCTGTGAGATGGTTGAGGTTGGAATACGGTTGCTGAGTCAACGCCCAAGAGCGGCCGGCTGCGGATGCTGACTCACAAGCCCGGCGCTAACCCAAATACGCCGGCCCGCATGGCACGTGCACGCCGCGGCGGCGGCTGCAAACCGCGCAAACACACCTCAGTCACTCACGTGACTGCGATCGCGGCGACCACTCGATCCCACCGTGACGCTCCGGGGTCGTCGTCCCAGTGCAAGTCTGTTGCTGCTGCTCGCCAGGGGCCGCCACGCAATACCCGGAACTCTGGCGTGCCCAATCACTGCAGCCGCCGCCGCCGCAGCCAGCATCAGTGGGGGGGCGGCACAGTGCTTGTTACTGCTGCTGCCATGCTTGGGCCCCCTGCAGGCTTGTCCAGAGCCACACGGCTCTCAAACTCGCGAACTAACCTGGGATCTAGTCCCCCCCCCCCCGTCCCAGGATTATCAACTAACTATCCGGTACAAGCGCGGCACCGATGAGCCGATGATGCTGTTGTTACGCATTCCTCCCCCCGCCCGCGACAGGAATCACGCCCAGAGTATCTGTCACCCCCCGGGCACAGCATGGCAAACTCCCTCGCTGTCAACACCCTGGCTAGCTCCGCCTTTGGCGTGGAAAAAAGTGCGCGGAGACATGTCGAAGTATCACGCCTGCCATGAGCCACAAAAACGCCTGGCTCGCGAGTAGATCCGCTTGAGCTGAAAGCTTCCGCGCGGGCTACAATTAGTCAAGATCCTCGTTGGGACCTCGCGCTGCTTCCTTTCCTTCCCCGAGAATTTATTCTTTCAACTTCTTTGTTGTTGTTCTCGTTTCTTCCACCCCCCCAACGCGTATCCTTTCACTCATGCGTCTGGGTTCCGTGCCCTTTTGTTGTTGATCGTTCAATTGCTGCTCCGCGTTTGGGAGCACTACCCCCAAACTGCCTTCGTTCTTTTCTCGAACTTCAACCATCAACATCCCCCTCCCTCATGGCGAAAGAGGAGTCAGCACAAGAGCTGGCCTCCTTGGATGGCCATGGATCCAAAGCAGGATTCAAATCCAAGTCATACCAGCTCTCTCAAGATCGCGACCGCGATGAACTCCAGCGATTGGGCAAGAAGCAGGTGTTACGGGTAGGCCCCGATCCTTCTGTTCCCTCCATGTGAACAGTAATGATAGTACTACGCCATATACAAGCTAACAACGAACCGTCTTTCTAGCGGAACTTTGCGTTCATGTCCATTCTTGGCTTCAGCTGTACTGTCCTCATCACCTGGGAAGGCGCGTTGATTTTGTTTCTTACCGGCCTCTCCAACGGTGGCTCTGCGGGTTTAATATATGGCTACCTTGTCGTGTGGATCGGCAACTTCGCCGTTTTTGCGTCGCTCTCGGAACTGGTCTCCATGGCCCCAACATCTGGTGGCCAATATCATTGGGTCGCCATGCTGGCTCCTCCACGCTGGAGCAAGTTTCTGAGCTACATCACCGGTTGGGTCACTGTTCTCGGATGGCAAGCGTCTATCGCTTCTACATGCTCACTCACGGGGGGCCTCATTCAGGGCTTAATTACACTGACCCAACCCGACTATCAACCGAAATCATGGCACGGCGCTCTTCTCTTCTGGGCTGTGGTGTTGTTTTGCGTCTTAATCAACACGGTCATCAGTAAGATTCTACCAAAAATTGAGGGGCTGATCTTGATCTTTCACATTCTGGGCTTCTTCGCCGTTCTGATTCCCTTGGTCAAACTTTCCTCTAAAGCGGATGCATCTGAAGTCTTCACTATGTTCAATAACGGTGGCAAATGGTCAAGCCAAGGCGTGTCCTTTCTCGTTGGCCTCATTGGGAATGCATTCGCTTTCCTTGGTGAGTTTACGTTTTGAATATACTCCGTACTCAAATAACATCTGCTGACATACTATTTAGGCCTTGATGGCGCGTACCATGTATGGATAACCCAAAACTATCATCTTCCCATACGCTCTCTAACCGATTTTAGATGTCTGAAGAGATCCAGCGGCCGTCTGTCGTCGTTCCCCGGTCTATCATGCTGACCCTGGTGATCAACGGAACCTTGGGTTTCGGTATGATTATTGCGGTGCTATTCTGTTCCGGGAACCTCGAAGTTGCTCTTGAATCACCTACTGGCTTTCCCTTCATGGAGATTTTCAGGCAGGCTACAAATTCGACCGCAGGAGCGGCTACAATGGCCAGTATTATTACTGCCCTAGCAATGTGTGCAAATGTTGGCTTTCTTGCCTCAGCATCAAGAATGCTCTGGTCATTTGCCCGAGACCGGGGCGTTCCCGGTTGGCGACTGTTATCGAAGGTAATTATTTCACTTAATCCTTGCAGCCCTCAAAGTCTTATCCTAACGTGATGTAACTAGGTGGAACCTCGCACTATGGTCCCTGTCTGGTCTATTGCGACGATCACCTTTATTTCCATCCTCCTTTCTCTCATCGCCATTGGCTCGCTCACTGCGTTCAACATTGTCGTCTCTTTGACCGTCGCCGCTCTCTACATAAGCTACTTCCTAGCTATTGCTTTGCTCCTCTACCGCCGTCTGACAGGAGGCATTGCGCACTCGTCAGACTCCCCCACTATGCTATCAAACACCACCGGCACGCGTCTCGTTTGGGGTCCCTGGCGTTTCGGCAAATTTGGTATCTTCATCAACATTTTTGCTCTTTTCTATCTTGCCCTAGTACTTGTGTTTAGCTTTTTCCCAGCCACCTCGACTGTGAATGCCGCTAAGGACATGAATTACAGCAGTGTTTTGATTGTCGCAGTTATGAGTTTCAGTGTCGTCTATTATTTTACGCATGCGCGGAAGACATATGAAGGGCCTATCGTGGAGACCGACGGAACGGCCGCTGGCTCACCCACGATATCCTCAAAAATGTAGGTGTTCTTTGTGATTTGGGGCAAATGGGGTACTAGGATGCAGGAGGATATAGGTTTTTATAATATCGGTTGACTTCGCGTATTTACATATTGGGAATTGTCGTTGGTACGTACATAGCTTTGCAGACTGGGAGTGTGTAGATGATACGCTTCTTCACCCTAAAATTTGTCTATAAAGAAAAAAGGAAAATTCATTTGTTTCTATTTCAAAAATAACGTTTTACAACCTAACCTTCGAGTTCCAGTCCAGCTGTGGCTCCCTCTACAAAGTTGGAGGCTTCTTTTAAGGCTTCTTTCATGATATCAGCCTCGTTCGAACGATCACCAGCTTCCTGCGCTCGTTTCGCTAAAGCTCTGGAAATTGCCTGGACTACCTCTTCATCGTCGAAAACGCTCGTCCCATCGCTGCCTACTATCCCACCGGTCCTCCTGACAATGTCCGCCCACACGGCGTCCTCCCGTTGTTTTAAAACGGCGTCATGCATAACCGTATTCTTTAGTAGGCCCAACGCATGTAATTTCCCCATCGCACTCGTCAAATTCGAGCCCATCAATTCTACAAATTGATCGACTTGCTGATCCGCTGACACCGTGGGCGCCATGGCGCCAAAGAAGAAGCGATTTGTGGCTGACAAGTAAATTAATGAGGCGCACCAGGCGTCGAAAATCGTGAAAGCTAGCGTGCGCACGGTGTATAGGAGCGTGTACAAGCTCCATGGGACGATGGCTGTGTTCAGCGCATTTTTAGTGTACGGGTCGTATGAGGCCACCACGCCCAGGTCTGCAAATAGCAAGATGAACGCTGCCCAGAGGAAATGTTTTCTCCATCGCGCTGCTTCTGGACCCACTAGTGGCGCGGATGTCGCAATTCCAATGACAAAGAGGTGAAATAGGTGCGGGAGGAGTATGTTGAATGGGATATGGTAAATGAGGTACGAGTTAGGACTATCTGGGCCACAGAAGGCACAGGAGAGCAGCGTCTCAGGGCCGAAGCGGAGATATGTCTTTCGGGCCTGTGGCGAGGTAAAGTGCGTGCGGAGTAAGCTATCGATTGGGGTCAGGGGGCGTGTACGAGAGATGCGCGTGAAGAGCAAGTCCGTGGGGATGGAGAAGCGTGACGAGGTGGTACTAAAGACGTTGGATGTCGGAGCATAGGGGTTCATCGGGAGACTGAGCAGGAGAAAGAGAGCGGTTGAGAAGAAGAGGATATTGAGCGCGCGCGAGGCCTGCGGCGTGAGCGGCTGCCGGGGCACATGGCGCTGTTGGGCGATGGCGCGGCGGGTGGACTGAACGAGGGAAATGGCGCGAGGAATGAGGATTGGAGCGAAGAAGATGGCAAGCGACTTGATGCTGGATAGATACGGGCAGTGTTAGTCAATGTGCGACACTGTAGGATCAGGAACGTACGTGTCAAAGGCCGTCATGATGATTCAAATGCGCGAATCTCTAGGTAGCAAGAAGAACTGGCAAAGAACAAATCAAATAAAGGGCAACTTCCGGTCATTATCGACTGTCTGCCTGCGCTTGCATCTGGCTGTGACAAGCAGCCGGCTCTGGTTTGTTAGCGACGCTGTCGCGCTGAAGCTGCCAAAAATAATATGAAGAGCTGCCAAGATGACGCTACATTTAGGCTTCCCGCCTGGAGAATCTTCAAATGCGAGGAACGTGAGATGTATGTCCACAAACTACTTAAGATGCTAGACAGAAGAAACAAGGCACATATAAAAGAGATATACAGTATTAATGTAAAGAGATGCTTGCACCCCCTCAACGCCCAAACATATAACCCACACACATGATGAAGGGAGTCCCTTTTGTTGCCCAGTATCATAAGAATCATGACTCTTCCACTACTATTTCACCTTGAACCCACTTGTATTTCATACGCGGTTAGAGTACAGGGCTGGGTGATGAGCCAGGTTCGGAACTGCAAGATCTGGTTCGGCTGTAAATTTCCCAAATTGTTCTGGGTTATCATTGATTGGTGATGAGATCTTTACAGGGATTCGGGGCGTCGTTCGCATCGACACTGATCTGGTCGATATAGCTCTAGGGCTAGAATAATTAGAGGATGAAGGGCGGTAGGTTGGCAGGGAATCCTGGCGATTGAGCTGAAAGGATTTGTGACTGTTGTCTCGGGTAATGACCTTTTGCTTAGCGACCGCTCCGTGTGCGCGGACATGACGAGCTGTGACTCCGATATTTCTCTCTTGGAAGATGAAGCTCTGTATTAGAGTGTCAGTACGCTATAATGCTAGAAAATAAAAGATGAAATCGTACCACAACGATGTTGATGGCACCCATGATTATTACCACGATACCTGAAGATATCACGATTCTCCAGAAAGCCAGTCCCAATGACTCTTGACTCGTGGCCTCTTTGTTGAGGTTGCCTAGAGTCGAGACTCCAATTATGATCATGGTGAATCCCAGCGTAACAAAACCCGAGTCTTGTCCAAACAACGGCCAATTGCGGTTAAAATACCCACGAAAAACTGTCAACTCAGAAACTATGAGAAAAACTGTACAGCGTTAATATTCCAGCCATTACCGCCGCGGGTGTCTTAATCATCACACTCACGACTGATACTGGCCACCACCACATGAGTGACAGCGTCGAAAAAGAAAAATTTGCTGACAACGAATGTCTTCACCAGCATAACAGTACAAGCAGAAATCACTGCAAGAAGACTGATGATATTCATAACTCGGATAACATTCAAGATCACGTAGCCTGGACCAGCCAGAGGTTTCTTAAGAAACGGCATTTTAACAAAAAACTAGAGAGGGAGTAGCGAGTGCTGTGAGTTTGATTAGGTAGGAGATTCGAGGCAAAAAGCGGACGTTTGCTGAAAGAGACTCGAGCTGTCACAGCTCGTGAATATCAAGACGAAGGTGCCGTTGTTGGACAAAGAAGCGAACGTATTCGAAGCCAGCGAAGATGTAGGAGCTTCACGGAATAGGAAGAGAAAGGCCTTGTTACCTGACAGGCGCTTAAAAAAATAGTGATTGAAAAATGGGAGGCTTGCCGAGACGCTGTTAATTCAACATATTGTTGAATGTGCCATTGAAGGCAAACAGTCGACAGGAGGTCGGAAGACAAAGGAATGAATAGACTATGCAAAGTTTTCTTAATAAAATGGAAGAGGGGAAGGAGAAAAAGTATTAAGACCAGCAGCACACAATAGAAACTGGGAATGAAACACAAGGCGGAGTAGGAAGCGAATAGACCCAGTCTCTAAAGCGCTTAATTGCAGGACAATAATAGGGACAGCGACATATCTTCTCATTTTCATGTGATGTGTTCCTCTTGGGCTTGATAACAATAAGTATCACCATGGATATTTGGGGAATTTCCGCCCCAACCATAAACAGACCGAGTAGGGATGAGACCCTCGCGTTTCAAAACGGGTGTGCAGAACGGGAAGGCGAATCGAAAGAATGGCTAGCCTGGGAAGGACTGAAGCCTTGTGCGGCCCCAGGAAGTTCCAAAGCTTCCTGAATTACTGGCTAGCAGTGTAAGTTCGGAATTCTGGTCATGTTGGTGATGAAACACGGCATTTCCTCGCCTTGGTAGGTTTTTTAGAATGCTAGCACGTTTATAGGCTGGATGTTTTGGCGCCGGGGTTGGCTTTGTGGAGACGGCGGCTGCTGAAGGGAACTAAAAATATGCAACGAGTAACTAGTCACATAATTAGCACCTCCGGGGATAGATCAGCCGGTTATTCGGATATCTCAGTCTTCATCTTTTTAGTCGTCTGAAAGAACAAAATCGCGGATGAGGGCATTCGACTAATGATGTAATCGCCCTCAAACTAATCGCATCTATTCTTGCATCATGATTGGCTGGACCCCTCTGCTTAACGTAATTACTCTAGATCATGACCAACTGCTTTATACGTGCATGTGTGCGCGCATCACCCTTGCTTTAGGGTCCAGGTTTACTTATCTAATGAGGCCTCTGTTTAGGCTAAAAGAATGAGGAACGTGAAACAGACAACATCCCGAAGGTACGCGCCCAATCAGCCACTTCTTAGATGTATAGCGATAGTTCGCTCACTTTCGTATTTTAGAACGAAGACACCTACAATATCTGTGCCATATGACTTCCCCAGTCTCTCTGGAGCCATCTCGCAAACGACAGGAGGCTGACTATCTCGACCCACCACGACCTCCATTGAAAAGGCAGAAGCTCGAGCTGCCCTATTCAGTATATTGGGATAATTTGTCTAAGATTTGGTTAACGAGGGACGCTCTCGAAGAGTTGGATCGACGAAATAGTGCTTCTAGCCGCATCTCAGGGCCACCTCACTCCCACCACCGGCCGTTTACTCGGCAGCTGCAAGCGAGACTCAAGCGTCGTTACCAGACACTTACCCCCGATTCCCTAATCGACCTTCAACCCGAGAGCCTGAGCGAGATTAGAAGATTCTCCAGACGAGGTGGACCTGACCTGTCCGATCCAGGAATGTATGTAATTATTGCGACGTGCTATTACCTCTGCTGACACCCTAGCTTAGGTCCCAGGCCCTCATATTCCTTTTTACCAATCAGTGAGTGCAAACAGCTCACATTCACGCAGCCGGAAGCGCCGTGCCGGATCTCCCTCAGACAGTAGCAACAATAAGACCACAAAGACTACAAGCACCACCGCCTATAACCGGAACTTTGAGCAGAAGCTGATCGACAATGGCGTTTACCCCAAGGGCTACGAGTATCCTGATGGTTGAGTACCTGCGAAGCCAAATAATTGGGAGGAAATAAATGAAAGACTGCGCCAACCGCGGAGCTCACTCTCACCATCAAAATTCTGTGAAAAGGACTTTCAGAAATCTGAACAAGCAGACACAAATACATCTAAAGAGAAACCAGTAACATCTTTTGTTGTCCCAACCATTGATGGTGATATTGATGACCCCAAATGTGTTGGAGGAGACTACCCTTTTGGAAACCTTGCTCCTCTGACTGATGGAACACTGGCAAATGCAAAACCAGACCACTTCTTTGGTGCTCACCCTGAGCAGCTCAAGCCTGAAATCCGCGATGAGCTTAAGGAGTTCATTATTCCATCAACCCAGAGTTCTCTTCCAATGGCTCCCAACTTCTTTCTAGAGGCAAAAGGCCCTGACGGGTCGCCTGCTGTGGCCACAAGGCAAGCTTGTTACGATGGTGTGCTGGGGCTCGAGGAATACATAAACTTCAGTCATACAAGCGGGATGAGTCTGTCTACGATAATAATGCTTACACAATAATATCAACATACCAAGCTGGCCAACTCAAGTTCTACACAACACACCCCACTGTTCCCCGGGAAAGCGATGGGCGTTCTGAATATATTATGACTCAACTAAATGCTTGGAGTATGGTTGGGAGTGCAGATGGCTTTCGGCAGGGGGCGTCCGCGTATCGGAATGCACGGGATTGGGCAAAAGAACAGAGGGATGAGTTTATTAAATCTGCGAACGAGAGACACACGCAGGCTCTATCCGAACTTCTCTCATCTGAACGTGAGCCAACTTCTGAACCAACTGTGGTCTTGGAGGGCTCTGATACATCAGCTACATCCGATGAAGCCGAATTTCACGATGCTGAATGGAGTTTTGCACATCCAAACGACAGCGCTGAGGATCGGGCTTCGAACAAACATACAAGAGCCGAGCCAACCAGTAGTAATAGCCGCAAGTCTCTCCAAAATTAAGATATTTGCCATTTGCGCTTATCCTTATAGCATGTAGAAGTGATTTTTTCTTTTCGCTTCACCTTGCTACCCCAAGTGTCGTGAAAGAACTGCCAAGGCGTGATTGAATTAGCAAGCTTGAAGAGGTAACTACATAACGGAAAATATATTGTTCCGCCAATCATTACATTTAGAAGAATGCGCTCTGCCTCGTCATGCCTGGCTAAAAATAATTCAAAACGGGCGCTTAGGACCAGCCTTGGAATCACGGTCGCCGACTCCGATGCATTTCAGGAGCAAGGTAGACCATTTATCTGTACACCGATTGGATGGATATACCGGCACTATGAGTCATTGGGGGTACCAGAAAGTGTTGCCTTCTCGAAATATGCGTGGCGTATAGTACGAATGGTTCTTCCCATCAAGAGTTGGAAAGCGAGACCTAAACTGAAACGGTTGATTGAATGAAGCTAAATCGTTATACGTATACATGTCGTAAGCGGGAAAGCTGAAAACTATTCGCTCGACCTCATCGCTTGGACGACTTTGATCTCCATACGCCTGGGCCAAGCATGAATATCATTGTACATCCAGATAGGTCTACCATACCGCATAGTTCTCCATTTCAAATCGATACTGATCCCTTTCGCACTCCGTACCTGTCTCCATGGCGCTGCCTTCCTTACGCCGGATTATCCCTTGACTAGATGACATGACCCGACGGTAATGAACGAGGCCGTCTCTCTCCGTTTTATCTTGGATCTCGTTTTCGATGAAATTCTTGCGGACTGCCCTTCGCTCGCGTGCCTCCGGAGGGTTGAACATTTTTAAGAATTTCAAGTATTCTGCGCGCTCTGGGCGTTTTGAGTATTTGCGTGATCCCTCCGGCCTAGCTTGGAGAGAATTTGTTTCCGCCACCTTATCTGGATGAGCGACCTGAGTTTTGTCATAGCCCAACGACGACCGGCCGTCGGAACTACAGGAGGTGGATGGGTCGGCGGAATACAAAGGATTGCTTAAATCCTCATGCACTATTGGCTCGAAGTTAATGGGCTGGACGACGGGATTGCGCAAAGACATGGTTGTGATTTCTTGTTGGTTATGCTTCTTATCAGGTTCGAGAAGTGCCTTGAGTTGTCCTCTAGCGTGGTAAGACAAGTGGAAATACATTCCCCAGCCATGTGACATGGAATCATTACTGTACATAATACCAGAATAGTTAGCTACTTAGTCAGCCCTTTGAGCTTACCCACAAAGCTGGAAGAAAATAGGAGAATGATCTTCTACTACACAACCAAAATCACATGGACATTCCATAGCTCAGTTAGATCAGGTAACAAACTGGTAGCATGTCTTGCTTGATTGGGGACTCTGAGGGCAGCCCAAAATTCTAAAAAATCTTACTGAAATACTCATGAACTCTAAATATATTTAATGAGAAATAATGAAATCAGCAAACAAAATCAGATCAATTATTGAGTCTCTCTCTAATTCTGTATTGCAAACAGCTAAATACATAATTAACTATAGCCAAAGTAACTCTAGCTCTCAAGTAATTTCACTTGGCACATGACATCTAGCAGAATTCATCACCAAAAATAATAAGATATCATTATTGCAAATTCAAGTCTTCAGCATTTATCAATCTTATATATCAAAGAAGAATTCTAAAGTGCTTCTACTGAATAGTTCACAGCTGATTTAATCAGAATCAGAGCTCTTCAACATTTTTTATTCAGCAGACTGAAATCTTGACTCATTGATAATCAGAACAGCAATTCACAAATTCATTCAGAACATAATGATAGTTACAAAGCTATCTTCTTATAGAGTGTCACTATTAAGCAAGCAAGACATTTTGAATAAGTTCTCAAGCAATCTCTTGACTAACTTGATGATGAACTTTTTGTCTGAAAGTGGTAATTCAAATAATGTTCCATCAACAACTTTCAATTAAATATAGCAGAAACTATCTATCTCAACAACATATGAATTTTCATCTCTTGATCAGATAACTACAGAAAATCAACAATCAATTGCAATCATGATCTTTAATGATCAAAACTTCTCAAACACTGACAATTCTTCAGAATCATCAATTAAAGCTCTAGAGAAATGTGCAGCTCATATAAATGACATGAATATGCAACATATTATAGATGCAGTAACAGCAAATATGTGCACAATTATACACTCAGAATTAGCAGTCTTATACAGAGAATCATCTACTTCTCTTTTAACTTCAGTTTTATCAGCTCAATATTCTATGCCTAACAACTTCATACCCCAGCAAAACTGGAAAATCACTGATATTGGCTATTTCTACTCAGATATGCCATGTCATTGAGAAAGAGACATTGTAGACTGAGAAGAAAAGATCTAAATTAAAGATGTCTATCTTTTCATGACTAGAATCAAAGCAGCAGCAGTAATTAAAGACTCACTGCAGATAGAAGCTGAATTGCACTTATGTCTTTGTGAAAATGTTATGATCTGATGAAGAGTTGAACTAAATAATCTTGCATGCAAAGTTCTTGTCTGAGATTCAGTTGATATTCATGATTGATGCTTTGCTCTTGAAAAATGTTTCTGAATTTCATCAGCCCAAGCACAAGCAAAATTTAATAACATCCACTACACAGTTCTGAATATCTGTAACAATAAGTCAACAGCAGTCTATCTCACTGATATCACAGCAGCAGCTCATCAATGTGAACTGATCACTTCAGAATTTGCAGTTGTACTGCATGCATGATGTCATCTTGAAACTTTTCTATGAGTCATAATAGATCAATCACTAGAAGGCACAACAATGAATGTCTTTTGTGAACTGCTGACTTGCAAAGAAGTCAATTGATTTGATCAATATAATATGACATCTATCTATCAATCTCTCTATAAAGCTGTCACATTTCAGGCACCAAATATGAGATGCCCATATGCAACTAGTTGATTCTATGAAAAGTTCAGCTGCATGCAAAATAATCAACAATGAAGAACAAGATCAAATGACTGATTCCAAAAATTTCAGTTCAAGCCAACTGAATGAAGTTCATCATCTCCATTTCATAATACAGTAGAACTGCAATGAGTATACATAACAGATTCAGATTCAACAAATGTTGATGAAGATTACTCATATGAATCAGAAGAAAATCCAATTATCACTGAAAACAACATATTTTCAGAATCTGAAATAGATCAGATAAATGCTGATTCTCACACTATCTGCTATCATTGTAAAGAAGTCTTTTCTTCATGAAATCAGCTTTTTGAACATCTACATACATGTGAATCATCAGTCTACCTCACTAGTTCTGAACATGATATAGTGATGTTGCAATGCATTGATCTCATTCTGAACACACAATGAAACTTCCATCACTGAAAATATGCAACAGCACAAGATTACATTAAGAACTCTTTCAAACTAACAGTCTGTTGCCTTGACTCAGAGTGCAACTCTATGTTAGTTAACTGTAAATTCCTCCAGAAACAGGATCTGATGATAATTATTTAAGATTTAACATCATTGTTCATTAGTGGAATTGGTGAGAGATTGATATCTCATGTCTCAGCATGCTTTTCACTATACTTTTCAGATTTCAACTCAAAAGATGATAAAATCATTATTTGCATCATGATAATGGTTCAAATTGTCAACACTCTTTCAGTTAACATACTCATTGAAGTTGACAATCTGACATCAGAAGGCATTATTCTTGATTTTCTTTGATGATGTGCAATATTTGCAAGAGCAGATAATGCCCACACATAGCTGACTGTCACTTCAAAATCTAATCATCAATCAAAATGAACATTGTACATCATCTTAACTGTGAACATTTCATCACATTCTTGAATCAAACTATCAATTAGAATCTGGAATCAACAATCACTATCAACAGATAGAGACTATATTTTTCACCCCCAATGCTCTACTTTAACATGCTATAATTAAGTAATGCAGACTAATCTTTCATTTACTATTTTAGAAAACAATACTGATATCCTCTACACTATTAAACATCATGCCCACATTAGATATCTAGAGAAAGTTCAGAAAGACTTTGCATATCATGTTGACATTCTGATGCTGAAAACTTTAGCTTGCATACCAGCACAACAACTGTCAATAATAAAATTAATCACATCAGTACTAGAGAAAATCAAGCTACTGAATGGAGTCATCATATTCAGCAAATCATCAGACACTCAAAAACTGACTGATGCAGTCATGACTCATCACAACATATGAAAAGACAAAGAGACATTTATGAACATTTCACAACACTGATGAATGAGAATCTCAATTAAAGACACTGCTAAATCATAAGAATCTGCAAGAAAGTATTCTCTTTCTAAATAAGAAGAAGCTATAATTGACAAAACATTTAATGAACTTCACTGCAAAGACTGTATGACACACAGTCTACATCATGCAAAGTACACTTACTCAGTCTTTATAGCATACTGATGAGTCATGAAAAATGGGCAGCAAATAGTCAAAGATCACTCAGTGATTGGCATTTGTTCATTAAATGTCCATTTCATTCCAGATATCTACCCACTACATTAATAAGAGAATATAATAGCAGCCATAGTTGACTGTTTCTACATTACAGTTTTAGATGCCACATTCTTTTTTTATCAATGGTGAGTACACTCTGATGACCAAGATAAACTAACAGTGGTAACACACAGAGAACAGAAAGTTTTTAATGTTGCAGTCATGAAATACATTAATAGTGTCTCTTATGTCCAATGTCAAATGGATTATGAATTTCAACACTGGAAAAAATTTGTCCATATATATATAGATGACATAGTCATTTTCTTCAAAACACTAGAGAAGCATATTCAGCATATTCACATCATTCTTGATCATCTTGACTCTCTGAACATTTTTCTGAATTTAAAGAAAGTCTTCATTGGATTTCCATTGATCAATCTTCTAGAACAATGAATTACTGATCTAGACATGTCCACAGCAAAAGAAAAACTTGAAGCAATCACTCAATTAAAATTCCTAAAAACTTTACATCAACTGGAAATGTATCTTGATTTAACAGAATGGCTATGTCAATACATTTCTTACTATGCACAACTCAGCAAACCACTCCAAATCAGAAAAATGGAACTCAATACAAAAGCACCATCTAAAGACAAGAAATGGCTAAACTATGCTAACAGAACTTACATGAACAATTCATTACAGTAAGAACTGAATTCTTTTGCAAAAATTCAAAAGCACTTCACTGTTGAAAATTTTCTAGCACATCATGATTCAAATTGCTACTTATTTATGAACATCAATGCTTCAAAGAAATGAGACTTTGAAGTCATGATTTTTCATGTCAAAAGTACATGAACTGGCATAATTAATAAGTAATTTATCACACCACCATCTTCAATACTAGTTGAATCAATCATGTTTCTAAGTAAACTACTCAACAATGCTGAATGAAACTACTAATCAACAGAACTTGAAGTTTCTTGTCTAGTCTGGACTCTCTGAAAAACTTGTCATTTAGTTCTAAATAATCTCAATCCAACAGTAGTATACATGGATCACACTGCCATTCTAGTCATAGCCAAACAAATCTCAATGAACATCACAGCCACTGACAAACTAAATTTACATCTAGTCCAAGCTGCAGCATATATACAGCAATATCAACTACTTATCTACCACAAGTCAGAAAAAATCCACATAATATCAGATGCACTATTCTGACTGAAATCAAATCTTGACACATCAGCACATGCTTTTCTTATCTCATACACTGTCATGATTGTTGAACTTAACTCAAAGTTCTGTGTGAAACTAATAGAAGAATATACCAAAGATTCATTCTTCATCAAAGTCTCACAAACACTTAACTCATCAATGACAGCCAAATTATCATTTTATGTACAGAATGATCTTATATGATGTTATGACAATGGACACAACAGTCTCTGCATTTCCAAAACAAGCATATCTACAATAATTAAATTAGCACATGATCCAATCCACTTTGACATTGAACAAACACTAGCATGACTTCATGAACTTTCCATTCATTAAATGCACCATAATGTCTGAATCTACATTCAACATTGTCAACAATGTAACTGCATTTGCTCAAGATGTCATAAATCATTTAATGATTATCAATTAATATTGACTTCAAAGATTCCTCATC